ACGAAGCCCCCAATAAAACCATTTACAAACCCTTAAATTTACTGTGTTCACTTCATTCTTTAACTTTCCGTTGTGGACCGCACCAGGTTTGCTTCAAAACCCACACGAATCCTTTTGAAAACCCGTATGAGGGTTGTTTTGTTATTTTGATTATGTTTGAATCCCAGAAGGAGATGGGATGGGAGCTTATGTTGGGATGCAGCCCGACAGTTCTTACGTCCGTCAGCTGTGTCAAAGCATTGGGGGTTGAAATGCTGGCAGTTGCGGGGTCCTGCAGGAAACCGGGCCAGAAGGGTTGCAACTAGTTTTGGAAGGGAGGCTCATGGACAAAGTGATTTTCCCAGGCCTGTTGCCTCTTCCAGGCCTGTGGAGCCTGGCTGTCCGGTTGCCAAGATGATTCTTCCGAACTGGCTTGTTCCGGCCCTCTCACAGTCTCCCCAACCTCCACACACCCACACAACCCCCAAACCCCCGAGCCAGAGCCTGGCTGACAGGTTGCACCAGAGCCTGTTGCCCCCTCCCCGCCGCCCACCCCCAGTTGCCTGAGGTGGCTACCGGCTGCCTGTGAATACAGACAAATTACAATACGGCAGGATACCGCCACAACCATCGAAATTCGGGGTCCATGTGTGAAAGCGTTTTCCTATCGGGGAGACATAAGCTTTGAGCAAGGCTGGCTTGGAGGAAAATAAACGTCTGGTGGTGAAGTGATGACACCCGTAGAAGCCACTAAGGCTCTTCATACCAAAGACTGCAACTGGTTTAACATGCTTAACGGAACGAATGCTGGTTGGAAGGCCTTTGCGCAATCTTAAGAAGAAAGATCTACAACAAGACACCAGGATGCAGGCCCGGAACCAGCCAACCAGGAAAAAAACCATAAATTGCAAGCAACTCGATCGAAACTGGTAGCCAAGCGTTGCCCTTGAGGCCTGTCGCAACAGGACCATCTCTGCTCCACTACAAAGTTGGCAAGAGCTTCAGGCTTCAGCAGCTTCGTGAGACAACGGTCCCCTAACCCTGGGAACTGGGTCTAAGCCCAAGCCCTTGCCACCCTGAAAACTGCGTCCCTTCTGGCTGGAGATGCGCCAAAAAGCCGAGATATTTGCGCCTAAGGCAATCAAGCGTACAAAGAGACGGCCGGCAGAAGTGGCAGCAGCTCCCTCTGTGCACACTCACCATCAAGTATGCCCATGCCACCCCGAGAAAGGTTATCTACGGAATTTTGCCTTCAGCCTTATGATGAATCCCCGGATTGAGCCGGAGCCTCCGAGAGGAAATTGGCAGGCGGTTGCCCGAATCGTTTCTCCAGGGCTTGCATTTTAGCTGTTTCCGCGCCTTTGCGAGTTACTCAGCATCCCTTTCCTAAAAATGTTGTTGCATTCCCTTCAGTTATTGAGGTTTGCGCGCCGGAAGGGCAGTCCACCTCAACATCATCTACATAAACCCACGTTTAAACGTTTTAAAGCTGCTTATAATTTTTCTTTTGTATGTATTATATCTAAGCGTCTCCTACATAATCTATTTTCTTTGTTTTGCTGTCACAGTCTGGCAGCTGACTTCTCGGAGCAGGTCAACAGAAACATGCGTGTTGAGCACAGCGCAGTGCAAGTCACACGTTTTCCCAGATGCCGCCAAACTGCCAAACGCTCATCACTTTTCGCATTGCTGTATGTGGAACTGGATACAACAGAGGCGAGGCCTAACTTGTTGGAGTATTGCGATTGAAGCGCAAGTTTTTGTTTGTTTTGCGGGCTCTTTGCTTTGGCCGACTGTGGACTCGGCATTGCACATTTTTGCACCATCGGCATGGATCTATTGCGCAGTTCTCACACATACTTGGTATGGCAGTTGTCAGGTGGCTTATAATAGTCGCGGTCACAGGAGATGTGGAAGCAATATTGTCATTGTGCTCCTGACAAAAACAATCGTACTCGTAGACAACCTAGCTACTGAGTTTGCTAGTCTGCAAATGATGGCAAAGGATCGGATTCCGAGTTTGTCTGAAGACTGCGTGCGTAAACCCCTTCGCCCTACATCTTTATGCCTCAATCCTAAGCCGCCCTTGAAGAGGTACCCCTGGGAGTGCTGGATATCAACCAGGACTCAGGGGTAGCGGGATTTCCCTATTTTGGCGTATGGTTTCGGGTTTAGAGTGTTTGGATGCATGTAGGGCTTATATGGAAGGGGTGCCTGGTGTGGTTTGGCAGGGTTGCCTGACTTTTTGACAGTTCGACATACAAAGCTCTGATAAGCCTGAGGCCGTCAACCCTGAGACTGTCAAGTTCTCGGATGCATATGACTCTGCTGGCCAGGTCTTTTTGGAGCTGAGTCCTAGAGCCAAGAGGCCACACATCCCAAGAACGACGAGCCTTCAACCCTGCTTGCCGCAAACTGGCTACTCCATGCCCTACCTGTGAGGCCTTAGGGCGAAGATTCTTGGAGCCAGCTCCATAAGGCCCTCATTTTGAGGGAAAACCATGAAGCACTCAGGCATCGTAGTACTGGGGACGCGAGCAGGTCAAAGCACAACAAGAAAGGATAATTTGCTGGTTGTAATTTGGCCCATCTCATCGCCAGATATGTTGGGCACAAGTAGCTATATCCGATATTATGTGATTTTTTTGCTCGTCGTTCCTTCCGTCCTATTTGTTTCGTTGGATGTGCCCATGGTTTTCTTGATGCTTTTGAGATGGAGTCAGGCTTTTCAAGCCTTCTGCACGAGTCACGAGTGGAGTAACCCTGCACAAACGACTCGCAGCTACAGACCGGAATGGACCCTGCCTCTGCAGGCACGCACGCGGACGGACGTTTCACGGCATTGCGCCTAAACAAAAACGTGGATCGGGAGCACAAGGCAATTGCAAATCACGAACCAAACGCCTAATCCCAAAATTCCAAACGCGAACCTCTCGAGTCTAAACTCCTACTCGCCATCCTGTCAACTCTGAAGCGAACTCACAACTTTAAATTACGTCCTCAACGTGCAAACATCAACTTCCGAAAAAGTCCCCCAAACAGACTCAACTTCCAAACAAAAAAACCTCCACTGCCAAACTCGTACGCTGGTTGTACTTTCACCCTGTTTTGACACCTGGTTGTAAAGTCTCCCATCTTAGGCTTTGTGGTTGTAGATTCCCCTTCTGGGGCTTATTCAGTTATAAAATGGCGGCTCTGGTGGCAATATTCCCGTGTTCTCGTGGGGGTGGGGAGGGGGTCTGGGGTTCGGGCCACGTTGAGGGTTTAAGTTTATGGTGCAAGTTTAGGGCGTGCATGCGCCAGGTTGGGGTGTCGGGTCTAGGCTACGGTCTAGGTGGTGGCTGGGGAGAAGTTGTAGGGTTTGGGGATTCAACAGTTCGGGAGTGTCGTGGCTTGGATGAAAACATTGGGCCTCTGGGAGCAGGATTTTGCTATCCAGGGTCCTTCCCGAATTCTTTCCAGGAAGAATACCATTGCATGCGAAAAGCTCGAGCTGAGTTATTCCCGGTTGGGGTCTGCTTTGGTACTAGAACTTTAAGCCCTGCACATCCCTGTACAACAATAAGCCCTACACATTACACACCCCGCTAACCTCTGTCACTCTACAAACAAGACTTCAGCTGCTGGTGTGAAGGACTCGGTTGAGCTGACTGACAAGTTTGTCGCCGATGTGGTGGCGTTCTCTGGCCGCATACAGCTGGAATCTTCACGAGACAACCTGCAAAAATCCAGCAGGCACCAAGGCTCTTCGACCAAGGCCTCGCAACGCCCAAGCATCTATTTGATGCTGACAGGTCTTTTTCGATCTTGGGCAGCCGTGAGCGGTTGGGGTCCACATGGAGTCGGCCAAGCATGGGGTATGTATGGGCGCCAGGGTTGATCATGGGACCATCATGTTGCTAGGGACGAGCCGGGTCTTTCTCGGCGTTTACTAGACTTAGCTCTGGTTCAATTCGTTTCCTGCTGGATCACGCGAGCCACGCATGAGATGGTCAGGGCTGCGGCGTTGAGTAGACTTCCGAAACCCCCATGCTTCAACCCTAATCTTAGACCGCAGCAGCCCCAGCAACAAAGCTGAGGTCGTTCAGTTCGGCTGACCTTGTCATTCTCGCCAAGAATGGTATCACAGTCAAGGCAGCCAAAGGAGTTTGCGTTTGATTGGGGCTGAAGGGTATCGCGGTTTGGGTTTAGGGCTTAGCTGGACGGTTATGTTGTCACGCGCTGCAGGCTCATCATTCTAGGTCGACACACTGCTTCGGTCTTGCTTTCTGGGTTCGGCTTTAGGACTCCCTTCTTGGGCCAGACGTTGACGGCCGATAACCCCGGGCTGCACCCAAGAGGCGTTCCTAAACCCTAATAAGGATCTGGACTCTCGACCCCGTAAGTACAACATAATATGGTTCCCTGTTTTCAGGTACTTGCTTTGGCTGGTTTTGCTAGATACGCCCTTCACCTCCAACCCCAAAGGCACTGAGAACGCTGTGCGAACAGGATCTGGAGAATGCCTACCAGCATCTCGCCACCCTTCCGAGGATTGGAGTTGGTTGGGATTTATGTACCTCTTGGTAGAGCCAGGTTACTCTAGACTCTAGATATGTGCATCCGTGAGGTACCCAAAAGGCCTGGGCTCTTTCGGGCTCCAGCTCGGAGCATTGGTCGTTGGGTTCGAGAGTTTTTTGGTTTAGGTCGTTTGTCGGAGCTTTGCAGCTTTTTGCCGCTTGGAATCCCGGAGGATTCGGTTTCCGCTCAATGAGCCCATCGAGCGGCTGCAGTTGGACGCCGTGAGACAAGCGGCCGGACAGGCCTTTGCCGGTGGGGTGCCTTGAAGGTCTTCGAGAGGGACTTGAGGGTTGAGGGTTTTCGGGTGACGCTGAGAACGCCAAACATCGCCAAGCCACCGAGTTCGGCACGCTGAGAAAGTTTGAGGCCCCGACTCCCCAGGGACTTAGGCATGTTCTTGGTCCGTGTCCGAGAGAGAGACAGAGAGACCTTGGCTATAGAGCTCCTTTATTCCCTATTCCATGGTGAAGGAGAGGCACATGGTCGTCGGTCTTTTAAGTACGGTCATTCGGAGTATAAAGCCCTGAGACAGGAACTGGCCCCATTTCTGAAGAAGCCGAAGGTGATCCCTCTGGACCCAGAGAAGGCGCTGAACTGTTGGGACGGGCCGTAAAGAACAACCCGAAATCCTGAACCCGATGGGCTCTCTTGGGGTGGAAGGGACCTGATGCTTTTCACGATGTTCGAGAGAAGGCTTCCCAGCAGCGAACTCCACGTAACTCCATGACCCCTTCTCCCCAGCTGCCAAAGGGCCAAAGCTAACCTGGGCCAGCGCACGACAATTAGAGCCCATCTAAATAATTTGGCACGTGTCCGATATGTTCCGAATTCCCAAACCCGCAACAGCCCACGTGGACCGTGAAATCAACCCCCATGCTCCACCCCGACAGGTGGTCTACATCGTGTTCAACACGCGGGATGACTCGCAGTGCAGCGTTGCCTTCCTTCTCAGGTCTCCTGGGCTCTGGGGAGTGGTCGACCTGGGAGTCAAGCGTAGGAATCCTGTAGTGGGGCCCCGCAGATCTTGAGCGGAGCACTGGAAAGGAGAAACTGGAGAGCTGCTATGCCTCAAAAACGCCCTTGAACACATCCAAACCCTCAACTTACCCTCAATCGCAAACCCCTCCTGAAGCCAGGCATGAGTTTCGCCAGCGCCGCTGGGATGCCAGGCTCTTCTGCCCCGGCCAAGGCCCCGGGAAGTGTGGGAGCAAATAAAACAACCGAAGAACACCCTAAACAAACAGCCTGAGACGACGTGTGTTGATGCTCGTGTGCGCTTCTGCGCTGCTAAGTGATCTCCAGTCCATTCCAGTCCTATAGCGAAGCCTCAACCTTTCTCAGAAACCTTCCACCTTTACATAAATCTTGGACATCCCGAAATCCACGAGATTCAGCCCGTTGTTCAGCCTTGGGTCCGAGGTGTTGGTTAGGATTGCCGAAAAGAAGCTTCTAAAACCGCAATCCCTGCTCCGGGCTCTAGACACTCCCCTGGCCCAGATTTGATGCAGCGCACCCCGTCTGGTACTCAGAAGCTGCGGAAAAATGCGAAAGCACGTGAATCCGAGCCAGGCGGGCTAAGCATTTAGTGTCCATGGGTTTTGGTGGCGACCGGGTTTGCAACCATTCACAACCTTGCAGGGCGGGTATTTTTGAAGGCCTTTGCTGCACCTGAAGGAGCCAAGACCAAACTGAGCAGAAGCCCTCAAACCTTCGTGTGTCACCAAAGCTACAGCCCATGACATCGCATGAACACATGATGTGAATCACATCTTATGAAGAAAAGGGTTTGAGTGCCATGAATCTGTGCTTGGTTTCATCCCAAATTCTCGATGTAAACCTTGAGTGGCTGTGAAGGCCCCCACTTTGGTTAGAGTCCTCGGGATCCAGCCATTGGGGAGCTCTGAAGATTCGTTTTCGGTCCCCGCGAGCGTGTGTCACCAAAGCTGCGCAACGCATGGCATCGCAACACCACATCCAACGTCCGCTTTCGGTGCCGCACTGTGATGGACGCAGACTTCGTTTCACATCTCATCAAGAAAAGAGTTTGAGTGCCATAAGTCAGTTCTGGGTTTCATTCCAAATTCTCAATGTAAAACCTCCATTCGCGCAGGGTGAGGACCTGTTCTCCATTTTGCACTTCGTCATTTGTTACTTTCGATATGTGGAAAATTGGTTGCCTGTTCAAGTACTTTTCTCGCAATCTGCTTTTGACATCTTTGATCATACCTTATATGATGTCACTGTGCAGCTATACAAGGTGTTTCAGAAAGTCGTATCCTGCCAAGTCGTGTCTGCAGCTTGGTGCTGCAAAGTGGCCAACCTCGCCCTTCCGTCATGCGTGCTGTGGTGTGGACGAGCTGGGCAATAAGGGCAGCAGTCGAGTCCCTTGTGGAAAAAATACTTGAGTGGATGTGAAGCCCCTAAGACTTGAGATGGCCCTCGAACTCTTTGGCTCCTCAAACCACTGGCTTATTTCTAGATGCCCCCACCTCAAGCCGCCAGTTGACTTCGATGGTGTTCTCCCGGTGGCAACCAAAGCCGTAGCCGTAGCCTCCGGGCTGCACAGGATCGGTCCTAAACCTTGGCCGCAAGGGGTTTCAGGGATTTAAGTGGCCGTAGCTGGGGCGGTAGGCGGTATGGGGGCTTCGGAAGGGCCGGAATCCCGGAATTTTGGTTGCCAAAACATGCTAACGGTTAAGCCTGAATTCGAGGTGCTGATGTCGAAGGGCCTACCCTTTGATCCTGTGGCTCTTGGCGCAGCGGCCATCCTCAAACGCACAGGTGCGATTTAAGGTTTCGATTGTCTTGAAGCCTGTAGCCAAAGGGTATAGGTCCTCATCCAATCAGGTCTGGGTTGAAGGGAAGTCTTGGGCGATCTGGTCGCAAAGCGAGAGAGGCTGCAAACAGTTCAGGGATGAGGTTTATAAGCCCTAGGTTTATAGGGTCCAGGTAACAGTCCTGCAACACCGAATGGTGTGCCGGTGGACAGGCAGCAAATCTACAGGAGTCATCAGTGTAGAGGTGCAGAAAAGTCAGCAGCATTGAGTAAACCCTCGACACCCCTGAACCCCTTCCTTTCCTCCCTTAGGGCCCCGGCCCCCGAAGGTCTTGGCGCACTCACGGTCTTGAGCCAAGAGTCCTTCTGGAAGCCGGATGAGGTCCTCCAACTCTGGCTCCATAAAATTGAGCGTGTAAAGTTGGGAGGGGCCGTGGACCCATTTCATTTGGCTTTGGCCAATAGGGCTCTGTGTTTTAGAGTTTGGGGTTTAGGGTATACAGGGTTTGAAAACCCTCTCTTCGTCAAAACAACGTGCGCCCTGGTAGTGTGTGCGGGTGGCAAAAAATGCAACGATAGACCTTCTCACTCCACCCGCAGCTCAAACGATCTCGCACTTGGGACGTTAGAGTTAGAGATTTTTGCTTGAGGACTTTCAGTCAGGGCCTTGGAAGGCTAGCGCTTGGGAGTCTTACGGTAAGGAAGCCTCAGTGGGCTTGGCCATGCTCGGCCTGAAACGTCGAAGCCCTAAACCCTACGTGTGTGGGGCTTCATGCGGCCGGCTAGTGCATGAGGATGGAGGTTTTAGGTGGATCCAACTTTAGAGTCCAACCGCGCATTAGCCCCTGCCAGGACTACTTCCAGCTGCTGCGAGATGGCTCTGTCTTGCAAGAAGAAGACCGTGATCTCGTGGAACAAATCTTGCCAGGAGCTTCGCGACGGCTGGGATCTACAACTACATAAATGAACCGCTCGCAGTGTTGGACCGGCAACACAAACTTAAACCCATATCTGAATCAACTAGACAGGCAGCTGGAGTGCCTCACACAGAAACTAGCAAATCCCAGGCAACAAATCATACATCTTGTCATGGCTCGCACAGATACCACTAAATCACAGGCAACAAATCGTACATCTTGCCATGCCTCATACAGATGCCAACAAATCGCAGGCAACAATTCGTCCATCTTGCCATGCCGATCTGCCCAATTCTTAGACACTGGAGGCTTTGCGTTATGTGGTACGATCTGTTGACAGTCATTGCTGCACCTTTTATGTAATGTATCTGCTCCCAGTCTGGGGGGGGGTCATAAGATCGAGAGATGCGTGGTGGCAGGATATACCGATGCGGAGCTTGCAGATGCCCTGCGGCTTGACACGCAGCCGAACCCCCAAGCACCCAAACAATGACTGAAGGCCTACAACCCTACAAGTTTAAACGTACTAAACCTCATACCTCCGTTACATACAGCTATAGGCCCACTTCCCACACACCCAAGATCCCTACGAAGCATTCATTCCCCCAAGTCCTGAAACTTCCTTCTGCCGAAGGTTCCGGAGGCAGGGCGTCTTTCAGTTTAACGAGGGATAGGGTAGAAGGGCTCCTGGAACGCGAAATTGGGACGCTGTCTTCGGGCAAGGCCGTGAACCCCGCAAACCTAAAATCATCTTTAACCCATTGAAATCCTAAACCCATCGCACTCAGGGCTCCCCTCTACAAGATCCTGGCCTGGACTGTGAGCCCGGAGCAAAATCAGCCCCGGAGCTTGCAAGGAGGTTCGGGGCAGTGTGGAGGCTTAGAAGTCTTGTTTCGACAAGGGTTTTCAAGGGGTGGGGGTGGGAAGCTTTCACTCGATGACAGGGCTCTTGCCGGGGTTCAGGGCCTTCAACCCCGCATTGATGGTGTTGTGGAGCCAGATGCAGTTTGTGGTTTAGGGTGGGGTTTAGGGTTCACTGCGTCTCTGATGAGCAGGGCTTGCTCAAGTCACCAGAAAGCATGCATAAACTCACCGGCCTAAGCCCTAAAGCCCAAAGCTTATCTGTCCATCCGGCTTGGCAGCACGTCTCAGTGCACCCTTGCGAACATGATTGCGGGGCAGAGGCAGAGGAACCCTCGGCCTCGGATCCCGACCGAGGTCCAGACCCCTGTAGGGTAAACACGCTTGCCTTGCAAATTGTCTTCCTTCGCAGAGCTCCAAACCATTTCAGGAGTCTTCTCCGACAGGAGTTCAGCAGCCTGGCCTTGAGCATTGCGCACAGGATTTGGGTTGAGGATTTGGGTCCTTCAGCTTAGGGCTCTCAGTTTGGGTCAGTGAGCGTTTTTAGGGGTCGAGGTGTGGTCAGGGTTCAGGGTGAAGGCGGAGCTGGCATGTCAATCTCAGTTGGGGTCTAGGTGGCTTGGGGGTTTTGGAGCACAGTGGTGGTCTAGGCTCACAACTCGAAGCATCCTGAGGATCTCAGATCCCAGCAGCACAAGAGCCACAAGAGGGCGCCACAAAGCCCAGGCATCGTGGAGGAGCGCGCCAAGAAAGAGTTGCAGCGGCGCATTGAGAAAGTTGAGGAGCAAGGTGGGTCGGAATAAAAAGTGTTGGGACCAAAAGGGTTCGACGATGTTGTGTAATTAGGGCTTGAGGCGGTGGTGGGTGTTTGGGAGTCAGGGCAGTTTCGGTCTAATTTCAGAACAAGGCGAAAGCCGCCTGTGTCAGCTTGCTGTTCACATTTCTAATACTTTAGAAGGACTGAGCAAAAACCTAGGGTGCATGTGTTCAAGCGTACTGACTCGGGATGGGCGCAGGGCCTTGTTTCGCTCTTCGGGGGAGGAAATCGCTCTGTCGTGCAAGATTGCGGTATACCGCAATCTTGCAATATATATATATATATATATATGGTACCCCCCCCCCCCCCCCCATTGGCCCACACTTTTGCTATAGTTTTGCCTGCCTCAGGTGCCCTGGCTACACCGGAGGGTTCAGGGGTTTCCAATCTTTTCAGGGTCTCCAGCTCAAAGATTGTGACAGTACAGTGTTTTTGCGTCTGTGTCCCAAAAAGTTTGGGACAGTACAGCACTTCAAGCTCTCCAGGTGCAGAAAACGCTGTACTGTCCCAATGTTTTTGGGTCCAGGCATGCAAAAACGCTGTACTTTGGGTTCGGCCGGTCCACACTAACAGTCAAATAACGCTGTGGCCTTGTAACACACAGGCCAAAAATAGCACCAGGAATCCCAGTGAATATTAGCATTTACCGGGTGCTGCTTTTTGTGGGTCTGCTTGTGGTGACTGCTAGTCACATAGCACCAGAAACAGCACCAGAAATAGCACCAAATAGCACCAGAAACAGCACCAGAAATAGCACCAGAAATAGCACCAGAAACAGCACCAGAAACAGCACCAGAAATAGCACCAGAAATAGCACCAGAAACAGCACCAGAAATAGCACCAGAAATAGCACCAGGAATAGCACCAGGAATCCCAGTCAATTTTTGGCATTTCCCGGGTGCTTTTATTTGTGGGTCTGCTGGTGGTGGCTGTTAGTGTGGACCGGCCGAACCCAAGCTGTACTGTCCCAATCCTTTAGGCTCAGAGAAGCAAAAACGCTGTACTGTCCCAAAAAAACACCAAAAAAAACAATATTTTGAGGGTTTTTAGCTCAAAGATTGGGACAGTACAGGGTTTTTGCTTTTCTGAGCCTGAAAGATTGGGACAGTACAGCACTTCAGCCCCTCCAGGTGTCGAAAACACTGTACTGTCCCAATGTTTTTGGGTCCAGTCATGCAAAAACGCTGTACTGTCCCAATCTTTGAGCTGGAGACCCTGAAAAGATTGTTTTTTTTTGAGTTTTTTGGGACAGTACGGTGTTGTTGCTTTCAATGTCCCAAAACGATTGGGACAGTACAGCACTTCAGGCCGTCCAGGTGCAGAAAACGCTGTACTGTCCCAATGTTTTTGGGTCCAGTCATGCAAAAACGCTGTACTGTCCCAATCCTTGAGCTGGAGACCCTCAAAAGGTTGTTTTTTTTGGAGTTTTTTGGGACAGTACGGTGTTTTTGCTTCACTGTCCCAAAACGATTGGGACAGTACAGCACTTCAGGCCTTCCAGGTGTACCAATGGGACTCCCATAAAAAGTGCGAACCCTTAAATCACAGGAATCCTACAAAAATCAATATGACCCTAAACCAATAGGAATCCCTTTCAAATGAATGAGATCCCTTTTAAACATGAGTACGACTTATGAAAAATATTTAGGAACCCTATGAAACTTTATTGGAATCCTATGATAATAAGTAGGAACCTTTCATTGAAATCATACGAGTCCTATCAAATTTTGTTCGGATAAAAGCTAATAGGATGCCGATTAGAATGAAGAGGAACCCTTAACAAATCAAAAAGAACGCTTGGTAATTCATAGGACTCCTACTAGACGGAGAAGGTTTCTTACTAAGATTAATAGGAAGTAATAGGACTCCTATGAAAAAATAAGATTCCTTTAACAAGGATTAATAGGAATCCTACTAAATGAATATGAGCCTTACGAATCCCATTAATATGAATAAGAACCCTAAAACTGATAGGAATCTCATTGCACTAGTAGGAGCCTCATTATAAAAATCATGGACCCTATGAAACTTTGTTGGAATCCTATGAAAATAAATAGGAATCCTCTATTGAATTCGTAGGAATCCTGCCAATATTTTTCGGAACCGAGAAAAGTTAATAGGGAACCTTTCAAAATGAATAGGAACCCTTAACAAATTAAAAAGAACCTGTTATAATTCATAGGAATCCTGTTAAAATGAGAAGGAATCTGGGCAGCAAAAAAAGTAGTAAATTATGCTTGTTTGTGTGTAAGACACGCTAATACACGCGAAAACGTGGGCCTATGAGAGGGGGGGTAGCATATATATATATATATATATATAGGTTCCAACCTGTCCTTAAGTGAATGGACTCTTGCGAATGGCCACAGGTTTCGAATGGCAATGCCCCCTGCGTGGTGCAACCTTGGGGAGGGGGGCGGGGTTGTCCCTGAATAAGACGGGATCATTAAACCCTCACCCGTAGAGCCGCTTGCCCTGAGCCACCAGGTGCCGATGCAGTCGAATGCTTCCCGCCGTCCGTCACGCCCTACCACATGCGCAAGGACGTTTAGTGTTGGGAGGTTAGGGTTTTATAGGGGTGCGGCTCCCTTCTTGTGACATTCGTAATCCTCATGCAGGAGGTTTGGCGCGGGCTTCCTTCTCTTCATAGTCTTGTTCCCCACATCACGATGTTGGGTTCTTGAGTTTTGGGCTGCCCCCCGCCCGCAACGACACGCCACGACGTTTGGGTGACCCAAGAACTAAAATTTCAGGCCTTTGGGGAGTCTGGCGACTGGGTTTCTCACCGAGGCCTGAAGCCACGCACTCTGGCAAAATCTCGGCCTCTCTAGAGGAGCTGGCTGTTGCCCCCCAAAAATGAGAGTTGGGGTTGCGCGCCGGGGTAACATTTCATCCAGGCCCAACCCAAGTCATGCTCATGATGCATTGCTGGACCACACACCAGCTGATGCCCATGATGCTCGCATGTGGGGGCGGGGGGGGGGGGGGGTTGCCCTCTTTTTGCACTTACTGTTCTTTCGTGCAGAAAACGACCAAAAAATGCACCCCAAAAGAACCAGCATCAAGCAAGAATGCGGATTGTCAGAATGCTGGGGTTCTCATTGATGGGCGTTTGGTTCAAAACCCACCTTGGCTCAAACAACTGTCATTTTTTGGAGGCCTGCACGCTTGCGAGAAACTTTGTTTTTTCAATGCTTTATTCGCACCCCCGAAGCATCCAGCCTTTGTAATGTGGGTTGCGTTCAAGGTTCGACGCCAGGAGCTAACTAGATTTGCGCCAAGCATTGCTCAGGGAGGTGAGCGGACCACAGTGTCGAGGAAATTGGTTTAATTCTCTTGGCTCGCACAAACCTCCAAAGAGCCTATAGGGTATTGAAGAATATCAGTTCATGTGCAGGAGTCCGCGCTGGAATCTGAGCACAGTAGCGTCATCAACCTCAGCGAGGTCGAGACACGCATGACCAAATCCCAGAGCCTTGCCACGTACGGCATCATCATGGACGAGGGGGAACCGGCACTTTGTCCAGCAGTTTAGAGGGTTCGGGCTTCATTGTTGACAGGCTGAATCCTGAATCTTATGTAGTCTTATGTCTTGCAGCCTCTCACCTGAAATTTCGTGGAAGCTCGTCTGGGTCAACCGGGCTTAGGTCCAGAGTCGCTTTCATTGTCGGATCCGGCTGCAATAATGCACGTCGTCCTAGCTACAGAATCGTCTTTTGGAAGAATTCTGGCTTTGGAGAACAACGAAGAGTGCAGCCCAATGAACTCCGAGAAGCCCGGAAAGCCCCGAAACCGCGGAGCCTGCAAACCCGAGAGCCTGAAATGCGATGCCATAAACCCACAAGCCTGAACTACGGAATAAAGCGCGACAACCTTCAGGTCCCAAACATTGCCAGCTGGTAAGCCTGAATTTCGAACTTCGAAGCCTTCCCCAAACTTCTTTGGTACTGAATGCTGAAGCCTTGCTTGGAGTTTTGCGGCGCCATTCACCATATCCTGCAAGCGCCAAACCAACTCTAAGGCCTATCAGACATGTTGTCAACACCAAATACCTGACAGAGGTACAAACGGATGAGTTCTGAAGGAATTCGTCCCGTGCGGCTGAATAATCCGAGCCTTTGCAAGTTGTGAGCCAGCGACCTTTGCTTATTGGACAGTGGTTGGAGGCCGCTTTTCGCCGCAGAGGCCTGCATGCTGCAATTTAGAAATCAAGTGGCCCCAGCTTGCAGCTCCTTGTGATTAATCCTCCTCAACTGTTGAACTTGTGCACGAATTAAATGAGAAAAGAGCACACAATATTATTAAAGTGAAGAGAACTAAATAACCTCACAGAATCTCCCATTAAATTATTACGTGAATGAAGTGAATTAAATTAACGCAGTTCATATATTCACGCTACATTCACACTAATAATTTGCCCTTTAATTTTATTTGCATGGCGCACGAAATAAGGCTTTTTGTGCTGTGCGCCCCTAACCTCGTTCATAATATTCACCCCGGCTTTCATGCGTCCTTTTCGTCCTTATAAAGCCGGGTTAATATTACTCTCTTCGTATTCACTTGTCATGCGTGCGTTTACTGCCTCATTCATAGTGCCCCTTTAATAGTATTATTTTAATGCAAACTTGTGCGCGATTACAATAATAATATTAAATTGGGGCACGAATGAACGCAGTAAACCCACCATTGGCAAGTTACCGCATTAAAGGACTATTGTAACAGGCCTTTAATGAACGCATTTGACGGGTCCACAATGTAAAGCAAGAGCCACCAAGCACTGCCGCAAGGTTTGTGGTGTTCCACAAACCTTGCGTGGTTTTGCAGCCCATAAGCTGTGTAGGCGGGGAGCGTGTGGGCGTCCCACAGGGAATACACTGGCTCCCCGTACCTCGACAAAGGGGACCTTTGGTTGGGGCTTTCCGGGCTCAAGAAGCTCCCGTAGCTGAGAGCCCACGAGTTTTTGAACAAAAGATCCCGCGAGCATCAGCCTGCGAGCCGAATCCTGGACTGGCAGGCATGTAGGGCGCCGCATTGGGTTCTAAAGGGTCCGGCAGACCAGCACGGCAAGATGCCCCTCAAGTCTGTAGGGGGTTAGAGGGTGTTGAGGAATCCGGATGGTAAAGGTGCATAGATCCATGCCCCGCGCAGGTGCTGTTGTGCCCTTCTTGTGCCGCGATTGGCACAACCCGAGTTGCATAGTTCGCTCCGGGTATTTAATTTGCAGCCAAGGGGACGCAAGTCCTTGTTTTTAGTGGTTGTTCTCAACCCAGGAGCTCTTCCAAGCTAAGCTGTGCTGCAAGATTGAAAAGGATACTGAACTCAGCAAGGGATTCGGAGAGAGGTGGAACTATATGCCTACTTAGCCCTTCGCCCTTTATTTTCAGGACAGTTTCCCTCACCCTGGAATAGAGGTCTCCTTACATACGCACGAAGCCCTTATCCCGACGTCGAGGCCCTGGCCAGGGTCTAGTCTAAATTTAGGGGACGCCAGCGGCATCCTGGCACTTCGTGCGAGGTGCATGTGTCGCATGAGGGATCGAACATCTTGAAGATTGTTCAACAATGCTGTCATGGTATTATTCAAGTTGCTTGTCAACTTCCAAGTAGCCTATTCTGCAGACAAACTTAAGACTCTTCTCTACCAATGCACCTTAAGACCTAACTCCTAAACAGTTGCTAATCACTTGGAACATTCCTCTACAATGACTTCGAACCACGCTGCTTCTCAGATCACCAGCTGTCATACTGCCAGTCCCATCCCATGTCCCCCATTCCCCGAAATTCAACCACCCCGACTCCAGCATTCATCGTTGCTCAAGGCTCAAGGTATGACGTAAGAAAGTCGGGTCCAGGCACCGCTAGTCTACCAGTACCAAGGCTGAACAAAGATCGTGGATGCCAGCAAGGGTTCAGTGATTGCAAGTGAGATGTCAGCATTGGAGGGACTTCACGGTTGGACTTGCTCGTTCAAAAGGCTCTGCCGTGCATTCCTCGAGCTGACACGAGCAACATGTGAAAGCCTTCGTTCGCACCCAGCCACACTCCTCGATCCAGCAGCCATGTTTCGGAGCTGGTGGAAGCGTTTGCACCAGGTCCGGCCAGCGTCTACGAGGTGGAACTAGGGCTGACGTAGCAAGCCCGAAACAAACAAACCCCCTACCCCCCCTTTAATGGCGGGCAGGTCTACCGCGCAGGCCCCGCTGCCGGGGGGGGGGGGGAAGGACCTTAGGGTGCTGAGTATGCATTCATACGCTGAGATCCCGGGACGTCCATGCGTTCCAAAGTCTTATCGCGGGCAGGGTGCGCTGTAGGGTTTCAGAGTGTGGGCTCACAAGGGTCTAGTGGTCTAACTGGCACACATTGTAGAGAATGCCGCCCTCAACTCCCTTGCAACGAGTAATCTCCGAAGCTATGCATGGGAACCATGCATCCACTTCCGCTCAAGGTGCCCGGAGCCCTACCTAGAGAAAGCTTTATCTACCCTACAAAATGGTGAAACATACCTTGTAAGTTATTGGGCACATTTGCCGCTATTGAAGCTACAAGGGTGGCAAGCTCTGAACTCTAATCCCCAACCCTAGACTAGACCACGACGAAAATACCGACGACAACAAGAAGAATACTACGAGCATTCTTTAGCTACTGAACGAATAGTAACAAATCTAAGAATAACAAGATGATAGCAACAGCAATACATCAATATTGCCAATAAACAGGCAGTGATAATCGAGAGAAAATTTTGGGGCGCCATGGCACGCCGGGCACGGAGACGTGGGGAGTCGCTGGTGTTGTGCTTGGCGCTCTGCGTCGCATGTCGAGAAGGCCTGCCGGGTCAAGATTAAAGCCTATCAGGGCTTAGGGTTTGATTGGGTTTATAGTTAAGGATTCAGGGTGTAGGATTTAAGCTCAGGATCTATAGGCACAGGGAGGCTCTCGCTTGAGCTAGGGGAGTTTCGAAACTAGGGGACATTTTTTCGGCCCTTACATAGCCTTGTGTAGTTTGCGCCGCGCTTAGTAGAAACCTTACTGCAGGACCATCGAAAGCCCTTTGTTGGAAGTAGTTGGGTTGGCAGGCTCAGACATGTGCGCTTGACGAGACAGTTGGGAAGACCGGACCCGCAGATAGGCTTAGCCCTCCAATACCAAGGCTTCATACTCTGGAAGTTTGAACTGTTGTATTGGGGCAGTGAACAGGACGTATGGGAGGGAAGATTTCGTTGGGTAGGATTACCTTAAACTCCAGGTCAACCCCAACACCCTCCAAGAGCTCAAGTCAGCTTCCGATTTCAACCAGTTCTTGCCTTGCCGGTGTGGAAGGTTGCAGGGTTAACTGCACAGGGTTTAGGGTTCAGTCTTATGTTTTAGGGTTCAGCTCATAGAGTCCTAGGTGCAGTGCCAAAGGCTTCCGGTCCCGGACTTAGCAGCATGTCATGGTAACCTTTACGCTCGCCGTGACCTTCGTGAGTGGCTGCAGGGTTGGCCTCCAAAGCCTAAACCCTGCACCCTAAAGCCAAAGGCCCAAACCCTCAACCCTAAAACCAAAACCGAAGTTAACTGTACACAGCATTCCCTCTTCAGTTGCCCCGTGGAGCATGGCTAGACGGGTGGCAAACAAAACCAAAACCAGGGTCTCTCAAGCCTTTGGGGCACAGGGGTTCGGAGCTGAGGGGTTTAGGGTCTGCGGCTGAGGGTTCAGGTTTAGGGTTTCGGGGTTCAGGGGGTCAAAAAAGCGTCCCGGGTCTTAGGGTATGGAGACCTTGATGAGCGTTTAGGATAGGGATCTTGCCTCTTGAGCCATCAGAGATCAAAAGATCGACCATGAACCTACCCAAACCCAACAGCAAGAGTGGTGTAGGGTTTAGGGCATAGGTTGTGCTTAAAAGGATCAGGGAATGCACATGTTTTTTAAGCAGCATTACAGTATCCCTGTTGTCCTGATTTGCATTCTTGGACGTTATTTGAGCCAGGCCCTTAACCTAAAGTCCCAAAAGCGCCTTTTCGCCCTTAAAGCCCTAAAACCCTCGGAGCCCCTAAGCTTCTAAAGCCCTAAACCTTCAAAAACGGGTTCCTGGCGCCAACGAAGGATTCTGCGCAGGCCTCCAGCGGCTTGACTGAGCCTTAAGCTAAACCCTACCTAACGCAAGGACCACGGGACTTTATAAAGCAGGTCGTGATAAGCATTTAGTGTTCTTGAAGAGGTTTACGATTGGTTCTTTCAAGGGGCTTACAAGGGGTTTTGGTTCTCTCTAGACTCTAGCTTGACGAAGGGTTTGAAAGTTGTTTCAGGGCCCTATAAGGGGATTGAGTCACCTTGTCTTTTCAGTTCCTCGTAGACCTCAAGTCCCGAAACGGTTTTGAGTATTGAGGGTTTGCTACCTAACTCCGGGCTTAGGGTGTAGAAATTCCGGGGCTTAGGTTTGAAGGGTTTAGGGTTCAGCCGTTCACGGTGTGAGTTTTTCTAACCGTCTAAACCCCACAAACTTCTGAATCTGTCAACATCATGAGGCCGCCTTGCCATCGCAGAGCGGGCTCAGTTGTGACCCGGCGGGTGGATCCGGACACGGCTCAGAGCCTTAGCAGCCTCGACTTCGACACGCTGAAGGCATCGGGTTCCTGGCGATTTTCTGCGGGGTTTCGGGTTGTTTTGAGTGTTTTGCGTGTTGTGGTTTTTCTGACAAATCAGTGGGTTTGGGTTCTTTCGGAGCGTGAGGTACATATAGCTTGAGGTGTAGGAAGTGCTTAGGATTTCGGTTTCAAGCTGTTGCTCTTGTGCTTGCGGTTTTGGGCGTCCCATCCGTCGTTTGCACGAATGGACCCTCAACCTGGGGCTAAGAGCCTCGACGCGCTGTCGTCCTGATTGTTGCGTGTTTGTTCCATCTCGGCTATTTCGCGTTGAGGTTGGGTGTTCTTCGCACGCGTGCGCGCTCGCCCGTGCGCACTCCTGGGCACATGTGTGGACACATAGTGCAAGCGGACTGGTTTCGGGTCTGGGGCTTTGGGTTGCAGACATATAGGGTCCATATCCTGGGTCAAGTACGGCTTCATGAAGCTTGCAGCAACGACTAATTAAACTTAACCCCTCAACCTTGAAAGCAAACTTATGTTAGTCGCGAAGCCAGGATGTGACGACGGCTGTTGCTCAGTCTCCTGTCCTGGACCCGAATGTGAAGTACCTTTATGGCGCGGATGGAGAGGTCCACAGTAAGCCCTAAACCGCACCCCCAAACCCTAAACCCCCAACCTCTCAAGCCTCCATGTTATATTTTGAATGCAACTTTCAGTGTTTATGTGTGAGTGCTGGGATCCCTGAACCGTAAACACCTTAAAGGTTTTCAACAATTTTCGGGTTCACTTCAAATTTGTTTGCTTATTCCAACAAACCTGGAATCTAGTATAACGTTACACTATATCCTAGTATGCTACCCTGTACGCATGCATACATACATATGTATATAGATATGTATATATATATATATATATTACATTCTTTGTATCTATGTATATATATATATATATAAACATATGTATGTATACATAGTGCACACATGTACACATAATTAACGTTGTTGAAGCCGAACACCTATACCTGAAAGAATCCATCCCACTTATCCGTTGTAATGAGTGTCCCTACCCTGGGCTTTCAACCCGAAACCGAACAGCGCCTAAAGTCCCTGTGAGGTCTTAATTGACCTGGCGAGCAAGAAGCCACTCGAGGACCCAACAGAGGGGGTCGGGGAAAGGTCCAGAGTCAAGATTTAGAGCTTGGTGTTGTTTTCCACTCGGTGTGGGGTTGTTGGATGCTAATGTTAGGTCAACCATGCCTCCGCAGCCTCGCCTTCAGAGAAGCTTGCAGGTTGGAGCTTTTATCCCCAGAGAAGCCCGCTCCCGCCGAGTATCCTGGGAGTGCCCACACCCCCGGAGAAGCCCGCAAGAGTCGTGCACGGTACCCTAGGCCCTACGATCGAATGAAGTATGTTGTGTTCTGCTTTTGTTTCAGTGAAAGCCTGCACCAATACTGTTACTCATCGGCAGTAATTGGGTTTACAGACTTTGTTTTCCAGGTTGTTTGCGTTATCATGCTGTTTTTGTTGATAGGCCGTACGCTGGTCTTGACGAGTGTTTACCTGTTCTTGTTTTGTGGTGGGTTCGCTCTTCAATTCCCAAAGCTGTACGGCTTGGAGCCTTGGTCCAGGGCTCTACTTGTATCTTCCGGAGGGTTTTCAGAAGCTTTGGACGACTCAATCCTTCAGTCGTGCACATGACATCCCAGACCCTAAGCCTCAAACCCTTAAAAAAAGACCTGCTGAGAGGTTCGACCAGCCATGTCAGTGCCAAAAAAAAACCCTTGCTACCAAATCTGTGCTATGCTGAGCCACTGTACGGCCCTTAGCCCCTATAAATTCTGAGCCGCCCGTCCAGGACAACTGGTTCAACGCAGCTTGCGGCTTCCAAGCGCAGATGATCAAGAACCTGGACCAAGGTCACTGGCTTCGGAACCCTGAACGGGTCCGGGCATGTCCGGGCTCGTTCGGGATTTTCTTGTTTTGATGAAGTTTCCGGAGAAGCGCGCCATCACTGGTGTACATCGTACAACCTCTAAGCCCTACCCCCCTGAACTCCACTGAGCCCCATAGCCCAAAGTGCCAAGCCCAAGAGGCCTCCGGTTCATTGGCGTGCCCCAAGCCTTCGGCTGGGCGGTCCTGAGCTACACATGTCTGGTGAAGGCAGGGTTTTTGGAGAGGGTTTAGGGAGTTTAGGGTTCAGGATTGAGCTATTGAGGGTTGAGGGTGTGGGGGCCTGGATTCGACTCCCGGCGCTTTTGGCTCTCGATATTTTTGGTTGCAAAAAACTTTTTCATGAGAAACTTTTGAGCGAGAACGCCCGCGGTTTCTCTGCCACAGTAGTTCAATTTTGGCTTTTTTCCATCGCATTCCTCAAGATCGATTCCTCCAAAGCGGGGGCATCTCGCACAGTATCCCATTGTGTAAACAGGCAGAAGAGGTGCATAGGTGTGTGATTGTGCGTGTGTGTTTGTTGCACGCATGTATGCACACATGTAGACATGTATGTATGCATTCACCCTATCGTGTTTCAGTTTGTGAGTTGTTATTTAAAGGCTGACGCCGCTGACGCCGACCCCCGAGGTAAGCGCTGCGGATGAAGTATGATTGATAGCCTTGGCCACCTTCTGCCAGCAGGGAAGGGGGTAGGGAGGGGGGGTGGGGGGGGGGTGGGTGGGGGTGGGGGGGGAGGGGGGGGGGGTGGTGGGGGGGGGTGGGGGGGTGGGAGGGGGGGTGGGTAGGGGGGGGGTGGGGGGAGGGGTTGGGGGGGGGGTTCGGGGGGGGGGGTACGGGGGTGGATGTCAAAACAACAAATTCGGTTGTTTTTGGTCCTTCTGTTGGGGGGCGGGGGGGGGCGGGGGTTGGGAAGGGGGTAGGAAAGGGGGCGGGGGGGGCGGAAGGGGGGGACGGGGGGTAGGGGGAGGGAAGGGGGTCGAAAGTAGGCTTGGCCGCCTTCCAAAACAAACAAATTCGGTTGTTTTTGATCCTTCTCCTGTGGAGGGGGCCGGCTAGGCAGGGAAGGGGGCAGGGAGCGGTGTGGGGGGGCCGTAGGGGAGGGGGGGGGGAGGGGCGGAACAACTTCGGTTGTTTTTGGTCCTGTGTGGGGCAGGCAGGGGGGTGGGGGGGGTGGGCGGGGGGGGGGGCGTAGGGGGGGTAGGGTGCAGCCAACACAAAACGTGTGGTTTTATTTGCTTGGCCGCCTTCCAAAACAACAAATTCGGTTGTTTTGGGTAGGGCGGCGGGGGGAAGGGGCCGCGAAGAGAAGGGCAAGGGCGGGCGGGGAGGGCGGGGGCGGGTAGGGAAATGGGTCACAAAACGTTGGAGTATGGAGGTGGGTTACAATACGCGTGGTTCCACCAGGTAGGAAGCAAGCCGCGCGGGTCCATGGGGAGGCACTAGCGGGTCCAGCGGGAAAGGTACGAGTCCAGCTTCTTGACGCCGACAAAGGGGGTCGGCGGATACCCGTCCACATGTACATTCATACATGGGTTACAAGGTACCACCTGCTCCGAGTAACCTATTCATCTTTCTGCCGAGTGGCATGCACTTGCGACGGCTAGCCAGCCCTCTGGCTTCATGAACCATGAATCGCCTTCAGCAGGAGTAGGAAAGCGTATTGGAGGTCCCCTAAACCCAGAATTCTATAACCCTAAACCCTATAAACCCGAGACCCATTTCCGCCATGCCCGCCTTCAGATTCCGCAAGGTGTTGCTGTACCCACTTGAGAAGACGACAGCGAGGACGCGAGACCCAGAAAGCAAGACCCGGAGCTTCAACTTGTAGACCCCGACCATGCAATTGATGCCCGCAAACTCTAAAGCCTTTACGATAAGCCATAAATCCTAAACTGTGTGTTCTAATTAAAGCTACTTTTGCAATCTTTGCGGGTTGAGTCCGGGAGAAACATCGAAACAACAAATATTATCGGTTTCATCCCAGGCTCGGAGTCACACTGCACTCTAAACATTCGTATGTATGTCATGATAGCGCGCTGCCGATTGTTCTAACTCTCTGGACCAAGACTATCCTTATATAAAATCCAAAGCACTTAAACGCCAGAACCTATTGCCCCCCCTGCCCATCCAAAAGAGATGTCGGGCTGCCTAGCTGCTTGTTCCTGTCAGATCTTAGGAGGAGGATGACCCACAACCTTGAACCCATTGCCCTATAGCTCTAAACCCTGATCCAGCGCGGGCAAAAAAACTTTTCCACCCTGCACCTTCTGCCCTGAACGCCAAGAAATGTAGGGGCTAGATGCCACCTGCTTGGGCAGGAATATTGCGCTTAACAAGATGCTCGCCCCCAAGATGGCCGAGATGAAGGAGACGATCAAGGAGCTCAAGTGATAGCGAAGTTTGCATCCCAAAAACCATCACCCTAATCTAGACCCAAACCGATATTCTTAAGTTTCAAGGGGCCCTACACCCTATAGCTTTGAACATCCTTGCCCCGCAAGGTGCAAGAAACTTGGAACATCACTATCCTCATGCCGTGGCAGCAAAGCCATGAGAATCCCATCACTCTTCAGCCTTAGCCCATGTTCCAACTTTTTTGAGTTCACTGTAGAGTAGAAGCACATATATGAAACTCCAGCCATCTCCAGCCTGCCGAAAGATGGGGGTAGGGCTGAGAAAAGCTCCACCTCAAACGCTGCATGGTAGAATTTCATGGCCTGTTTGGACCCTCCGCCAATCCCAGGAAACCAAAGGGCAGGAGGGGGTTTAGGAGAATTTTGGGGAAGCCTCAAGCTCCACAATCTTGCGACTCTTTCAAGCTTCAATCACTTCAATGTGCCTTTCCAATCAACCCATAGCTTTGAGTTCTTTGAATTCGAGCCCCTCGGGGCGCCAAACCAAAGAGGACAGGTGGAGCCATTAAACCCTGAGCTGTACATCCCTAACCCAAAGGACCATAAGCCGGAATCCTGTAATCGTAGTCGTAGACCCGACACCCGAACTCCATGACCCTGGACCCTGTACCTGAATCTCATAGCCCTAGACCATTATATGACCTTGGACTCAACCCTAAGTGCGTCTGATTTAGAGTCTAAGATCTAGCCAGGATCCTGGGGTTTAGGATGAGGGTGCAGGAAAATAGGGTCTGGGATCTAGGTGCTGGGGTTCAAGCGTTGCAAGCAGTGTTGGTTGTGCCACATAGATGTGTCGAGTGATCTGTTGCATGCGCGGGGCCGAAGTTCCCGAGCCTGGAAGGGCATCACACCGGTCTAAGGCTAAGGCGAGCGTAAACTCACTTAGCCACTGTGCCACCAGGGGGCGCTTTCCAATTTCATTTTTGGATTTGGAGGCTTACTGCTTTCGGGCTTTGAGCCACAGGGGCCAGATAGGCCGCCGAAAGCGACAGCCAGAAAACAGAGATTCCACCGGTCCTCCACAGGTTACCTGCTCCTGGACCGATCAACCCTGAATTACCCTAAATGCTTGACCGAGGACAAAGAGGTGCTTTCGAAACGTACTGTCAAGATTTACGAGCGCTTCAACATGAACCCGCTCGCTGGTTGCGTCCCCGTGCCTTCGATCATTTCGGAGTCCTTTTCTAGGCCCGATGATGTGAATAAGTGTACGTCATTACTTTGATGCATGCTGTTTTGCTCACATCGTGCTATTGATCTGGGTGCTGTTGATGGTTATTTAAGTGTCATCATTGCCACCAACGTCACACCTTGGTCAGTGTCTTTATCTGGTTTCTTCTTCTCATTATTCTTCTTCTTGTGAGTCAGCATCAAAACGCACTCGCGCCGGCAGCACCATCTCGATCACCAGCACCATCACCAGGATCGTCATCGTCGTAATTACTATCATCATCATCATCATCATGATCACCACCACCATCGTGATCACATTCCTTGGCAGTGCGCTGCCCCGTTTTTCGTTCTCCTTACATAACCTTTCCCTTGACCTGGGGTCTGGCTTAGAAGGTATCCGTTGAGTCTGCAAAGTTTGCGGGCTGCAGGATGGGCTTGATGGTTTCACTTGATAACTCTGATCAGTGAATCCTCAATCCGAAAAACCCTTCGTCTAGAGGATCCCTATTTTGACGGCACAACTGCCCCAAGAATCCAGAAGAGACGACATCCCGGAGTCTGAAACCGTGAACTCTGTGACTGAGAGCTTTGGTGACGCGCCTACACCCCAAGCACCAAAACATGCGAAAACCCTAAACCTCGACGTAAACCTAACCCCGAAATCCTACACCTCTATGCCGGATGCATTGCAGCCCAACCCTTCACCCGAGATCTCAAACACATGAAGCCCAAAGTGTTGCCGACGTCAGGTACTGCTGCAGATCCCTATCATCTGGAGCCTCGCCCTTCTTGTTTTCGGCTTAAAGACTTAGAGTATTAAGCTCTTTTGGTTTTGCTGGCTTAACGGCTTAACGGTTGAATCCGGTGCTCCCACTAGCCCAGCCCCATACCTGGCCGCCTGATACTTAGTATTATTTTCACCCCGGAAACGTCTGATGAGGCTTAGCATGCTCTTCGTCATAGCGACAGTTGAAGAAAGCTTCGTATATATCACGCCGGCGAAAAAGAGAACCAGGAATGCGTCCCACCTCGGCAATGTAAGCATCGCTTAATGGAGCAGAAATAGCACCAACAGGAGCAGAAAAGTCGCATCAGAAAAAGCAGAATGCATTTGTCGCTCATCAAGGCCGCAAGCACACATGTGTGAGGGGAAGCTCGGGGTGTCGATTTGCAGCCAGCCTAATCGAGCACAAACACGAGCACAAAACGTTGCACCAGAAATAGCAGAAACAGGAGCACAAAAAAGATGCACCAGAAATAGTGACAAGAGGATTAGAAAAATGCAGCACCAGAAACAGCACAAGTCTTGATACAATTACAAACCATTGGATCACTCACTCCCTGGCCAGTTTTTCCTGCTTTTGCTGGTGCCTTGCTGGTGATTCTGCTTGTGCTCTCTTTTAGTAGGGCGTCCCAAGCCTCTACTTTTCATCAGGGCTCTGTGGGAAACTACCGGCTGCAGGAACCACAGGACACAGGAACGTAGGACTGCATGGTCTGTGGAGTACCGGATCTTCAAAAGGAGTCCCACATAAGAAAAAGAAGCTGATATTCAATAAGTTGCCCTTGGAGAAAGTCCTGTTCTTCAAAAGCGAAGGCATTGAAAAACATTACGTTCTGATCTTGAAGAATAAGCACGGATAAGCCTGACAGAGACTTCGTTAACAACCTGATTAATTCGATCTTCATAAAACCTCGCAAATTTACCTCCAGGACCTTGATCTTTGGCGTCCGACGGCTGGCTTCCGAGCACTACGAGCCCTTCAGCGAGCCATGGCTCTGGGTTCCCAGGCTTCTCAAGCATCCTTTCTTAAGCGGTTGGATTGCTGAATCTGTGGCCCAAGCAGCTGGCAGTTCCGCGGCTCCGGCTGTGGTGTGGTGCGCGTTTCCAAATCGCGTTCTAGCACAGTTCTGCGTCGGTAGCATGCGGCGGCGACGCCGAACGCGGCGACACCCGCACCGACTAGAGCAAGGCAAGGACACCAATGATTGATACTGCTAATAAAAATAACAACAATGACGATACCATACCAGCAAGATGCTACCGGTACGACTACGGTGACGCGGACTGACGACCACAATGACAGAGCTAATTCAGCGCTCAAGACGGTAGCAATGTCGCGGTGTCCTGTGAAACCAGGAGATGCCTTAATTGCAAGGTCGAAAGGTCAGGCTGAATGGCACGAACCTTCGGGCAGCCACAAACAAAGTATTGAAAAGGACGCCTGAACTGCGAGTGCTGGGTTTCAACATGCGGTATCATTGCCGCCGTCACCATCACGGTTCTGGTCATTACCATCACGTCCATCATCCCCATTTCACTCGTGACCGGCGAGAGGTTCCTTCGCTGGGTGAGCCAAATCCTGGATTCGAGTTCTCTCTGGACTGGCTGCTGTCTTTCCAGGCCTGCGCTGCAAGGGTCTCATGACACGCTCAGAGTCAGCGGGCTTCGGGCGCAAGGAGTTCGAGGATGCTGCAGGGTCCTTCTTTGGATTCGAGGATATGAAAAGGTCGTGCGTTGCATCAGGGTTCAAGAGCTTTCTGGCCTTCGAAGGGTTTTGAGTTGCCGGTCCGAAGACCGACCGGCATCTGCCCAAATCAGGCGTCCATGACGTCTATGATTCGGAAAACAACGGTGCAGTCATGGAATTCCTGAGCCCTAAACCCTAGCACGCCTAGACCCACCCTAGGTCTTGAGCCTCGCCCTAACAATCCACCCCCCAACTTGGAAGGTTGTTTTAATGCTTACATCCTGTTGAACTCCCGAAGTCCCCTCAGCCGGGCCAGCCCAAAACCCTTAACTCCAAGTTTTCGAGGGTCTCTCATATGATCTGAATTCTCAACCGTCGGCGTTTATCCAACGGGGTTTGCCGCGAGGCTGGAGAGCCCGTGATTGGTTGGAACATCTGGCTTCGGCAGATGATTCTTCCAGTGACCCTTGTGTTCAGAAGCATTTTGTTGGGCAGGTTGAGGGTTGTGGGTTGTGATGGCCGAGGTTTGAAGGACTCCGGGGGCTCTGGGTTTGGGATTTCTGGGGTGTAGCGTTGAAAGACTTTCAGTCCACACTTCAAAAAAAGGGCCGCTCGGCATCAAAGTGTAGGGAGTTGAGTTTAGGGTTTGATGGTAAAGGGGGCATGGGCTTTGGGACTTTCAACGTTTCTGGGCTTAGGGTTCTTGACGAGCTCTAGTGGTCTAATACTCACGGTAAAGATACCATAGCCGTACAGTACCAGAATATCGTAGTAACAAAGCTCAAGCCAAACAACCTCTCAAACTTCAAACCGAAGCCTTCGACATTTCAACCCTGCTAGTCACAGCGCAAGAAGAACGCGTTCATAATCATCATGGTCGTCAGACGAAGTCGTGGCAGTTGCACGGGTAGAGCCAGTCGCCAACAATGGCCATAGTGCCAGCAGGAATGAACCTTTTAAAGCTGGTCAGAAGTATGCACGAGTACCAGTAGAGCAAGGCGCCTGAAACTTTGATTGGCCCGCGGGACTGTCATCACAACCCACTGCGCCGAAGCTAGGCACTCCTCAAGCACATTCCCAAAACTAATGCCCCGCCCACCCCGCAAACCCGAAAGCAACACTGCATCCGGAAAAGCTGAAGCTCCAAACCTCGCCTCTCCGAGGGTTTTGGTCGGCATCAATGCCTTTCCGCTGCTGAGGCGCCTTTCAGCCAAGGAAGGTTGAAAAATTGGGGGACGTTTAGAATCTTTGCTTGTCTCGCCCTTTCGCACGACTCGACCAGGCACTCTTAGACTTCGGCTGGTTTAAGCGTCAAGGGGAAGGCCAGCCTTAACAACGGCAGTGGAAGTAGAACCCCGAGCCTTGCTTTTCCCTCCGAGATCCTTCAAGTCCCAAGCTTTTGATTTTTGCTGTTTGGGTTTGCAAACAGGACCAAGTAAACCTCAAACCCTTCGGCTTACATGTTGAATCCAAATCCCGGATGCCATGCAAACCCTGAACCCTGAACAGTCTAAACCCTCGACCCTGAAGCCGTGTCAGCGTCGAAACCCTGAAGCCGTACCTGCCTGAGGCAGCAGCAGAAGGGCGAGGAGGTCGGCGTCACGTCTTACCTTCCTTTGCTCCTCACGCTCTGGATCACCACGGAGTTTCCACAGGCTGCTTGAGGGTGTAGTTTTTCATAGCCTTTGTTAATTATGGGAATTCTGTATAAGGACTCCGTCATTTTTAGAAGGGTTCTGTAAGGGGCTCTTAGGGTTTCGGTCTTCTAGGGCTTAGGTGCATTCAGGTTTTCGGAGATTTGGGTCGAGGGTCTTGTAGGGTTATGTAGGGACTGGGGTTTAGGTTCTTTTGCGCACCGCTTCTTGAACCTTCAATCTCAACCGAGAGTCCCGAACCCTAAAACCAAAGCCACCTCGAACCCTAAACCCAAGCCCCAACCATTTAGGGTTTAGGGTTTGGGAATGCAGGAATTAGGGTCTCCGGTGAACCCTAAGCCCAAGCTTCAAGAGGCAATCTGCCTCTACTACTTGGCCTTCTACGGAGTCAAAGCCGTTGAGGATGAGTACGCGAAGCGCGAGATCTGCGAGGAGTTCCCACAGTTTGCCATCTTCGAGGAAACCGGAAAGTTTCCCGAGGTGGGTTAAGATTTAGAGTGGAGCAAGGGCATGTTGTCAGAGGGTGGGTCGGTTGAACGGTTGTTGGGCTTGAGGGTTCAGAACGAAGTATTATTGAAGACGTATAGGAGTTTCAGGCCATAATGCAGAATCTTCCGAGCCCTGCAGAAAGGTATCCTGTAGGAACATGAGTGGTCTTGACGCTCCTTCTAGCAGGGTTAGGGCAGTTCTGGGTATGCAGGGTTCGCGGTTCTGGGGAGACGTAAGATCTGGTTGAACGAGTAAATGCTGTTACGGAAATTGGCGGGTTGTAACGGAAACTATTTCCCCGAAACCGAAATAGAAACAACGGGGGAAACCAGCCTGGGACCGTTACGGAAACCACGGCGGGACGTAACAGAACCCACCTACATGATCTGTTTTGTCACCTGCATGATCTGTTTTGTAGGGCTTCTTACCCTTAACCGTGAACGTGAGGGTTGAGGAGTTAAGGGCCTAGGGTTGAGGGTTTAGTTTTCTGTGTTTCTGTTAGTTACAGCATCTCTTTTCGGTTCCCGTTGCAGGTCTGTCTGGTTTTCGTTAAACCTGCGTATTGTTTCCAGAGATTCGGGCGTAGTTTTCGCGACTTTTTTTTTGGTTTCTGTTATGTTTTCGGGTTGGTTTCCGTTACACTCCCTTTTGGTTTCCGTTACACCCCTTACCCCTGGTTGAACAGCAGCTCAGACTCTCCGAAACACACCCCCGACACATACCTTCGGCAATGAGGATCCCAGTGTGGATCAGCCGTAAATCCTGCTGATCAGGAAAGGCCAGAACCGAGGTGCATCTCGACGGCTGCAATGCATCCGAAGCCTCCGCGAGATGCAGAAATTCAGCAATGAACAAGCCTTTCGACATGTCGCCGTGTTTCGAACGTAGCTGAAACAAGCTGGAATTCGTTCCAAAAGTGAGCAATTGGCATTTCTTGAAACCTTCAGCCCACAACCAAGACAGCCAAGCTTGCATCAGTCAGAGCACACGTCATGGCCATGGCCTCAAGATGTGGCCCTAAACCCGAAACCCTAAAAGCGCCCTTCAGGGGAATTTCGACGACGTCTTGTTCCCAAGTTTGCACCGGGCCGCCAAGAACGGCTTGATCACAGAAATCGTCGAGAGGGCCGAAGAGGGCGCCGACATCAATGCGACGGATGACATTTAGCCCTTTATAGCTTTTATAGGTGAGTCTAGGCGTGTAGAGTTGGGCTCTAGTGAATTTAGGGTCTTTTCGGATTCTACGGTTTGTGCTTGGGCTCGGGTGGTGGACGAAGCTTGAGGCTTCTGCGCAGCTGCAAAGGTTGTTTCCTTACGGCCCCTGAATGTGTGATAACAAGGCTACCTAAACTCCAATCTCGGGGGTGACAAAGATGCTCGACTATCTGCAACGGAGCTTGTGAGTAGGATGAGTGTGTTCAGCATCAGCCTTTTTTGTTGGTGCTTGTTGCATTCCTTGCCCAAGCTCCCTTCACCAAATTCTTTCTTCCGAGCACTCCCGAGTAGTCCCTGCAGAGCGGCATGTAAACGACGAGACTCCCCTACAAAAGCCTTGACTTGAGCCCTTCAGCCTTTTGGACAGATTAGGATCTGGGCTTTGGGGTTTCGGGATTTGAGGCTCAGTTTGGTGCCATCACGGAGGGGTAGCGGCAGCTGTTCCCCTCCCCCGGCCAAGAAAAGGCGAAACATCAGGAGAAACAAAAATCCTTGGGGTCCTAGCACTATACGCTTTGAGTCTAAGCCAGCCTGAAACCTTAAGCCAGGACCCTCAAGAAATCCCCATATCCCGACAATCAGGCATACTCCCCGAAGTTGCTCTAAGTCTGGGTTCAAAAAAGGCCCATCTCACAACAAAAAACGGGGATGTTGATTATCGCAGTGCCCCGCATATCTGAAATAAGGTCTTGGTGTCTACACTTATGCAATACTAGAGTAACGAGACGATACGCTGCTATGGCTTGTTGCACCCAGTGTGTTCCTTTTTAGGTGCTAGTCAGCATTCACATTATGACTTTTTGCAATGGCTTCGCGGCCAATGCCAAGGAACAGGGCCTGACTCCCGTGGCTTACGCCGCTGGCCTCGGCAACGTCCCGGCCGTAGCAGCGCTCTGCGCCCTCGGCGCCCGGCTTTGACATTCCTTGTTAGAAAATAAGACGAATAGACAAACAGTCGCAAGAAAAAGAACACGAAGAAGAGAAGACGTAGTCGTAGAGGTAGTGGTACAGTGGTAGATGATACTTGATACCGTATAGCAGGGCTTCGGGTGAGAAGTTTAGGAGTTTTGGGAGTTTAGGGCAATAAGGCTTTAGGGTTTGGGGTGTAGCGAAGTTCTCGGGGGCTTGAGGATATAGAGGGCTTTCGGGATGTTGAAAGGATCTTTAGGGGTCTCAGATACAGGCTGTAGGGCTGGTAGTTCAGAGCCAGCCTACTCTTGGAAGAAGGACTCTCTCAACTCTTGACCCTGAGCTCCGTAATCCTGCCTTTTCGGATTGGCGGCGCGGGCTTCTTGGCAACACTAGATACTTGGGGACAAGTTGCGATTCAAAACCTCCAGTAGCCCCATAGCCTTAGTCGGCGAACCCGAAACTCACACATACCGAGCAGCGTCAAGCATGAAAGTTTTCAGAGTTGAGCCAGCGAACCCGTGGACGAGGTGCCGATGTACGCTGCCGGGACTTACAGCAAAACTCGCTCTTCCACCTCGCTGCGGCCTATGACCACGTCCTTCAGTGGCAAGAAACGGGGGGCTTCTCAACGCTAAGAGGTACCAGTGAGTGCCTCCTAGATGATCCTACCATGTGCTGTCTTGATGAGGGCCCTTTAGCTTCTGAAACTACCTAATGCGTAGAGTGCATTTAGCTGTCTTTGCTCAGCTCGTCTGCGCTTCTTTTCAGCGGTGGGTTGTAGAAGCTGCCAGTGGGAATGTGGGGTTCAAGGCGAATTCGCATGTCGGGGAAGACGGTTTCCACAGACATGGTAAGGCTCATACGGATATGTTCGATTCCTTTTTGTTGTTTGACGTGACAAACCATCCCTAAATCGTATAAACCCTAAGCCGCCAAATATGCGGGTCATCTTTTGAGAATTCGGAAAGGGTAAGCAAGCTTGTTTCAGGGCCTGCACGCTCAAAGCATGGCGAAGGTGTTCTTGTCTCGGCGTCGTTTCGGTGGCCCCAAATGCCCAAATCCTGGTCCGCGAACAGCCGAGATCCGGAAGTTTGTGCGCAGTGTCTCCTTTGTTTGTGAGCCTGCAGCCAACGACTCTGCTTGAGGATTCGGCTTCTTGAGGCCTACCCCCCCACACGCCAAAACACACGGGGTGATCAGGTTGGTGTCATATCGTACCTGGACCGCTTCACGGAGGACGATCCTGAATTCAGTGACAACGTTTGGATCAATTGGAAGATCCTGGGACGTATGGAAACGAAGTAAGGTCTACTTTAGGGCTTGCGGTCTTTAAGGGTAGTTCCGAGCAAAGACAAGACTAATTACCTGGTGCTTCGTATAGGGTGAATGCCGACTGTCGGGGCACGTCAGGGCGAATCTAGATCTAGCTACTGTTGTGTATATTATGAGTACTATGATTTTAAACTTGACATTGCAGTCGCAGTCGTGCAATTCAAACGAAGCACGCTCATGATTTAAGATTCGTAGTAGTGGTTGCACCTCAATATTGCCGCAAGACTGAAACTGGTACTAGTTGTATGAATGATGCCGATCCCCACTGTTGATCTTACTTCTACGAGTAAGAACCCGGCGGCAGCTCAGGAACGATCTCGGCTACACTGTGCTGGACATTGCAAAGCAGGATTCCGAAGTGCCTGGGATTTCGTCGTACGAACCGAGCGAAGTAAGCCATGTCTGGTCAAGGGTCCTTTTTCTCTCAGGGCTGCAGTTTTATGTGCTGGAAACCAGTGACCACAATATAGAAATTTAAGAACCCCTAGGGTAACCATGTCTGTTGCATGTGGAGGGACGACAGTAAGCCATAGCTCCAAAACCCAAAACTCCGAAGCCCGGCAAGACCGAGAAGACGTTCCCAGGTGCATAGCTACCTGAGCAGCCGACTACAGCCGGTCGCCGCACCTCCTATGGCCCGGTCATTAGACTGAGGGTATACGTACATATAGAGAGAGAAGGTTGGCTTCGGCTGCAGTCAGGTCTTTATGCTGTCGAGGGTTTCATGGTTTTGTAATGTTCAGGGTTTAGGCAAAAGACTTGTGCGGCATATCGCAGTCCAAGAGTGCACACGACTTGGGAACATCTCATCGCAAGGGATCCCGACTCTCGACTTATGGTAAAACGAGTTTGAACTGCATTTTCATCCCTAGCCACAAAGGATCCCTTGTTTCGAGAGGCGCAGGTTGCATTTGATCTTTTTTAAAGGCATCATGCCACAGAGTTCTTGCGGGTGATGGATGGCTGCAACGCGGCACATTCACCTCAAACGCTAAAGCCCTGGGACTCTTACAGAAAAGCCCTAAGCTCTATACAGGCTCACTTTAGGAAGAGCACCTGCTGTACCTAAAGGATCAGATGACTTCGTAGGTGGGTTATAAGTAGGGGGAGAACAAAGAGAGCGAATTACTTGTGACCCCTGAATGCCTAATTCCTACACGACAACAAAACTCGGCGCCTAAAGCCTAAACCCAAAGCCCCCACACACTTGTTTGAGTTTCCTGGCTCGGCTTGCGGCATTGGATGCGATCGGAAAAACGCGAGCGCCGCGGAGATGCCGAAGGTGTTTCAGGAGTACAGTTTCAGTCGCAGGGTTTCGGGTTTAGGCTACTAACAGTTTAGGGTTTAGAGTGTCGGGTGTGGAGGGTTGTAGGGTTCAAATGTGCAAGCATTGGCTGCGTTTTAGGGAGCGTTTTTGGTTGCAGGCGGGATCTTGTCGCAGTCCTACAATCCCAAGGCCCAAGGCCCAAGGCCCAACAAAACCTCGACCAGGACCCCTCACCCCTTTGGAGCCTTTGAGCCTTGAAGCCGAAATCGGTGAGCCCTACATCCAGCTTTAAGGATCACGGCCTTCGTCAGTAGGTGACTTCGGTTTTTGAGTACCCAAATTTGGGTGATCTGTTCTTCTAATCGTTAGAACGCCGGCCTTGCGACTGCGCTGCAGACTGGCTTCTTGAGGGGTGATGAACGCTGTGGTCTTGGAGCAGGGTCCCTAATATTGGGGGCTTACCATGCGCGCAATGGCTGCAGGATCTTGGCATGAACCTGGTGACGGAGAGGCGGCAACCCACCAGGCTAAGGTGGTGTCGTTGTGTTATAGGGGGAGAGCCTGGACCATCGTCTTGGATGTTAGGGTTGAAGGGCTTGCTCTGTTAAGGGCTCTGGGCTGGGAAAGACTCGATAAAGCCGAGCAAAAGGTTTTCAGATATTATCAGCACGGCAACCGTAATCAATGCCCGTGCTTCAGGGTCCCGGCTGTCACCTCAGGTGATTTCCGATTCCTTCAGCTGGCAATGGGGGCTAGATTCCTTTGGCGTGTGATGCTTAGGTCAGTTTATTCAAGGCTTCGAATGGTTGGGAGTTACCTGTCGGCCTTGGAAGGTGGTGGGCCATTTCAGTTCAGGGGTTCTGCTCTGGCATGTAGTGGGGCTGGGGTGCAGGAGTTATAGGCTGTAGCCTGATCGGTAGTCTTCGAATTTGGGTGTTGGGTTAGGCTAAGGCAAGAGGTCTGAGATTTGGGCTGCAGACGTTCCGCTGAGCCTTGCATGCTGAACCCGGGACGTTGGGTCTCCAGCCCAGCAGGAGTTCACGCTTTTGCCCGGGCCACTCAGAAGCAAGGCGTATGTTACTATCAGTACTGCGCTACAGGCATTATTACTACTACTAGTGCAGCGGCTGCTGCTGCTGCTGCTTCTGCTACAACAACTATATAAATCATACACTGCACCAGAAGCGGGATTATCGCCGGAAGACTCATGCAGTGAGTACCCAGGGCTTGTGGACACTCGTGCCTAAGCCGAGTCCCGTGCATCTGGGCCAGAGGTGTGAGAGCCTGAGGAAACCAGTCGGAACAAGCTTATGGGGGCGCAAGGGTAGACACGCCATGAACCCTGCACTTCCCCGCGAGACGTGAACAAGACCTTTCTGAACGGGGACCTACACCCCCGTCATGTCAAGTTCTAAGAGGTCCTCGCCCCCATGACCCTGCACTGCGGGCGAGGCCCACGTGGAGGGCCCTTGCTGCAGCGCTCTTCCTGCAGTTGAAGCACATGGTGGCGTGTCGAATGCTGTCGGCTGAGAAAAGGAGTTGAAGATCGGGTTCGCCTGTAGGAGGATGCAAAAATCGCTCCTTCACTGAGAGGAAACTAGACGACTGTTGAAAGGGTTTAGCCAGGATCTACGAGACTTAGCTTGCAACCTGCTTCACATCCTCACAACTTGCTAGCCTCTGGTTTCAAAGCTCTCCCTCTAGCCTTCGTTGTGGCTAAGTCCAAGATGACCCCCAACATATTCCAAGGATGTCCCCCCCCCCCCCCCCCCCCCCCCCCCCCCCCGCCAGCAAAATATCAGTGGTTCTTCAAGTCGAATCAGTTCAACTTGCTCTTGGTGAAGGAACCACATGAATGAGGCACCCTTGGCTGTTGCAAAGCTATCCAAGACATCTGCCTCCTCGTTCTCTTGGATATATGCTCATCTCCTCCATGCTGATGCTTAGAAGTAAGTGAGACGCCATCGCAAGGTGGTGCACTGTGCAGCAGTGCAGCACCAAGTTCAGGCGGAGGTGATGCATCGGCTAAACAAATCCCCCCTGCAGCCACTTCACTGTGTGACTGTGAGCCGAAAAGAAATCATCCCTGCCATGAGGAATCGCCTCAGCTGCGCAGGAGGGAGAACAAAAAACATCCCAACCCTAAAACCTCAAGCAAACCCTCAAAACCCCCGACATGTCCTCCACGGGGTACTCCCTGCCAAGCTTGGGCTCAAGTCTTGCTTAAAGAGCCTGTAGGGTGACGGGGCTCATGGACCTCACCTACCACAGCTGGATGTCAGTCTCGGTGGCTGTGGGCTTGGGGGCGCTCGTCCTGGCCTTCCACTCCCGCGAAACATACCACGACCGGCGGTACAGGTTGTGTAAGGCTGCAGGGATGGTTGGGTGAAGGGCTTGGGGTTTCGGGGCTTGGAAAGGTTTACAGGGTTCCGGTGTAGCGCTCTTCTTTTTGGCACAATCCCCCGAGCTTTAGGGAGGGTTCAGGCCCAGACCCTAGCCTGGGGTTTAGGGAACTGAGAGTAATCCGTTTGCCTTTTAGAAACGAAGTGTGCTTTCCTCTTCGCATTTGGGTACAGCTAGACTTCAACCCTTGGTATCACCCCAAAATCCTGAGAAGAAAAACAATGCTCTGAAACTGAAAGTTCCCCGCCGTCCCTCCGACAGGTTCTGACAGTAAACCTACGAAGTATGTACAGTATGAATAAGTCACTTGCTGAACCTTATCAACCCTGAGCATCAGTGAGAAGATCGGCGAGGTTCTTGCAGGAGATGGCCCGTCGGTGCTTAGCGAAAGCGAGTCGCTGCGGGTGGAGGAGGAGCTCCATGAGGCGGTTCTTCGGGTTTTTCGGGGAGCGGTTCTATGTACACTTTATATTTGTGGTTCAGTAAGTTCAGGGCATTTCAGGGTTTTAGGAGCTTGAGGCTTGCTCTTGGAGTTTGCTTTCGCCTTTTCTTCAAAGATGTTCTTTCGACCGTCTCTCAGCTTGAAACCTAAAACCGAAAGAGCGCAGGTCCGACGCGAGATGCTCATGAACTGGACCCGGGCATGCTGTCTCAAAAGGAGGGTTGGGAGGGCTCCGCCATTGGGTCGCGATCTTTAGGTTTTTGTTTGGTTTTAAGTTTAAGGGCCGGGTGATGGTTCTTGGGGTGTAATTGGGGCTTAGGGACTCTTGAACACTTTGAGATTCTGGGTGCGTGAGCAGGCAGCAGCCACGATCGGAGGAAGGGATGTAGGGTTTAGTCTTCAGGGCACCTCCGAAAGCCTGGCAGACCCCAAAACCCCAAAATTCGAAACCTTGCACTCAGCTTCCTTCAATCCCTAAGGCCTATAAACCCTCTAAGCTCTGTAGACCCTACGTGGCACAGACCAGTACAGCATACTGGTAGCATGGCAGAGTCGCGTCTTGGGTTTCGGGACTGGGGTTTGCAGGCGGTTTGGAGTGTTAGTTTGGATGTAGGGCTACGGGTTGAGAATTTTCGGCAGTTTAGGGCTTACAGCTGGTGAGGTACTTTTGCGCAGCCCTGTACCGTACTTGTTAGACTTCTGCCATTGTGTGGAACCCATTCGGCTTCAGGCGACCTGCCTCTGTGCTGCTCTGTCTGTTTCGGTCTCTCTCTCTCTCTCTCTCTTTTACGTGTCTAGAGATTGGCAATATTTTTCTTTGGCTCTTCATTCCTCCGCAGAAGGAGGAAAAAATTGATCCACAAGAAAAGCAGAACTTAAGAAGGCAGGAAAGGCCATTTTGTTTGTCGACATTCGCCTGGTCCTCCGAATGAAAAGATTCGCAAAACGCAGGAAGGTGGGGAGTGAGCCTCTTGCCAACAAGAATAGCAACACAGAGCATATGGAGCCTCCTCCTATGCCTTGTTTCTTAATCCCCTGCTCTGCTGGTGCCTCTACCCCTCATTCTATGTCTTGGCTTGAATTCAATCATTGCATCCCTGGACAGATGGCCAGTGGGCGGGGGCCTTTCTCTCTTTCATGACGAGAGTGGTCCTGTACTCAAGCTATTGAAGAGAAGCTATGAATACAGACAAGGGAAAGAAAGTCATCTCCCTACCCGCTCTTCCTGACTCTCTCTCTCTCTCCCTCTGTCTGTTTGTCTCTTTTTTTCTGTATCCTCTTGTCGCTTATTTTGCTTCCGTCCACAAGCTGGATTATGAAAGAAACGGGGTGGGGTGCGGCTCGGGAGCTTTCCTTTCCCAGCATGTCTTCCCTTCCTCAAGATGGGGATGAAGCAGCAGTTGAAGAGGAGAGGCAGAGACAGAGAGAGAGAGAGGGGAGGGAACAAAAAAAAATAACAGGAGAAGAAGAATAAGAAGAAGAGAGAGAGAGAGAAAAGAACAACAAAAACAACAAAAATGAGAAGAACATGAGAAAAACAACAAAAAAGGCGAGGGAGAGGCAAGCCGAGCAACCAGCTCAAAGGTTGCGACGAGCTTTATCAGTTGCAGCTTTTTCTTGCCCTTTTTTCTTGCCCCAGGGAACAAGCTCATGTTTGCGATCATATTGCAGAGCTCTTTCCAGGAGGATCCAGAGCGCCGTGTGCTGGACTTCCGTTCTCTGTCCTTCATGTTTGTGTCATCGCAAGCTCGTCCTTCCAAAGGTGTGGCAACAGAGAGGCGTTCTTCTCTCAACCTCAGCTTGTTCTTCTGATGAAGAAAAAATTGAAACGAGTACATGCCTCTTCATACCTTCTCCTGTATTGATCTCTGCTTCTGCTCTCTTTGGTTCCTGTTACAGTAGGTTTTTGAAGGCAAGGTGGAAAAGGGGGCTCTCACCCCCCGCCCTCTCCTTTGCATGTCCATGGCATTTTCTTCGTTGGTGAAAAACAGTTCTTGTTTTGTTCGAACTGGGGCTTGATATAGCTTAATTCTCAATGCCTGCTTGCTTCATGCAAGCGGTTAATATGTTAATGTGCTACGTGCTGAAAATAGATTGCCCACCATATTCGTGATTTGTCTGGCGCCACGGGGTTGTCACACCTGAAACACTTTAGACACTTGAGGCACTGAAAGGCTTAGGCAGTTCATGTAATTCGGTGGGGGATTCTTCGGGGAATTTGCCCCGGAGTTGAAGCACTTGAAACAACAAATAGAGGGGCACAGTTCTGTTTCGCCTGCTTCGGGCCCTTTTGAAAAAAAAACTAGACACCGATTATCCCGAAAGCAATCAGTGCGAAGATATCACTGACACGTGTAGTTGGTTGTGTTGTCAGTGCGGTGATCGTGGTGTGATGTAGTAGGCTAGGAAGCAGGTGTGGTATCGACGGCAGAGAGAGCGCGAAACGCAAAGAAGATGAAATTTAACAGGCAGCGTAGAGAAAGCGGTGTAGCTGAGGCGATGGTAGTGCGGTGATGGTAACGGGGTGATGATAACGTGGTGATGGTAATGTTGCGACGGCAGTGGGGTGATAGTGTGTTCTTTTTCTCTGGCAAGTCCCCAAAGTGAGACGCCTGCAGCCAGATGTGTCATGCTTACGTTCACAGAAGCAGACAGTCACGGAACATGCGCGGCATGGCTACCAACCACAAGCGGCACAGCAGAGCAAGCCTAACGCACCAGAGAGATCTTGTCTGGAACGTGCACGTGGGTGCACCCTAGCCTTCAGCTTGTCAAGTTCCGCTCGACACAGTTCGACACCGCGGCCTGGTTGCTGCTCTGACAATTAGCCTCGAAGCTTGTGCACGAAAACATCGGCCGCAGACGCCGCCATGCCACGTACCCAAAACTTTGCACAGCTAGACTGTAGGCTACTATTCGCTGCGAAGGGACATGCCGCTACTCGACTACCCTACACGCAAGGACATGCAGCCTACTCTACCGCCCAACACGGCGAAGTGACATGCCGCCGACGCTACGGCTAGACGCTGCCACTCGCGACGAAGGGACATGCCACCTACTCTACTGCCCTACTCCGACTCGCTAACGACAGTGCCAGCTATACTGCATGCGCTCCTGAGCGCCCGACATGCAGCGACGAGAATAGACAGCGTACAGAAGCGATGCAGCTGAGATGGTACTGTGATGGTGGTAGTGGTGGTGGTAGCGTGGTGATGGTGGTGTGGTGGTAATGTGGCGATGGTAGCGTAGTGATTAGTGTGGTGATGGTGGGCGAACATTTTTTTTCCGAAGAACCCTTCGCTGAAGCTGTCGGGAAAACACATGAAGGATTTGAGACATGTTTGCTTCAAGTGTTGTAGGCAGGCGGACTTTCCGGGCTCTTGTGAAAGCATGGATGACATGGAAAACCCCCATCGGCTATCCAGATCATCGATTTCACCGGCTCTAAACGGATGAAGTGATCAAGGGGGAAATCCCCACATGATTTCTTACCCAAAGGCCTGCCTAAACCCTGTAAGCCATAATCGTAAGCCCTATCGACACCCTATGAACCTAACCCTGCAAGCTCCAGCTTGGTGGGTTGTGGTATTTGGCTTAGGGTTCAGGAGCGCAATTTCGGTGCTGCGTTCACGGTTAGGGCTTAGGGTCAAGGATTCATGTAGAATTGGTGGTTTGTTTAAAGTTTGGGGCTTAGGGTTCAGGAGTGCTTCCTCTGAATCCCTGCTCACCACCCCAAACTCTAAGGAGCCCTCCTAAACCCTAAACCGATGTGAGGTGGGCATTCATATCTGTGTTGGACTCGTGCTGGTTTGCGTGATGGAGTTCTACCGAGTCCAGAGCTTCTGAGCTAGGTCGGATGGTTTAGGGTTATAGGCTCTAGGATGTAGGGTTAAGAGCATTTTTCACTGTCATGGGACGTCACGAGCAACTGCAGCGAACGCAGCAGCCGTCTAACTGAATAATGTCCCTCATTCACGACAACGACCGGACACCCCAAGCCATAAACGTGAACCAACAATCTCAGCATAGGCCAGAAGCCTTAGTGTGTAGAGCCCTAAAGCCCTGAACCTCCAAGACCCTCAAACTCCTACCCAGGCCTATTCACCGGGTGCTGGCTTCTCCTCTCCCTCTTGTCCTACGGCGCCTACTCCCTGATCATACGAGGCATCCTACGCCTAACGCCTCGAGACCTCCAGCGCATCTGCGCTTCCCTGACTCCTGGCTCTGGCTAGGGCCGCTAGGGTTTAGACGCACAAAACCGCCCCCCGCCGTGCTGCAGCGGGCTTTAGCCGAGCTGTGGAAACCCTCCTAATCTTCCTAAAATCAGTTCCAAGATGAATTCACCAAAGCCCTGCATGTCTTCATCTTTGCCATAATTAGTTAAACCCTAAGCAAGCCCCAGGAATGGCATAGTTCTGGCAGCAGTGCTGACGGACACATTCATCGGACAGGATGGCCTGGGCCGCTTTGGACTTTGCCAGGGCGGGCAAATCATCCTGTGCCTCATCTTCCCCCCTTCGCGGACGACAGTCTTCTACTCGATCCTCACCCAAGACCTGGGCCCCAGACCTTTAATTGGGGTTGGGGTTTAAGTTGTACGTCAGAGTTTTAACCCCCTGCGCCACGCCCTATGATTTGTTGTGGCGCTGGGTCAGAAGAAAAGTTTGCCGGACAGGGGTCGTAACAAAGTAACAGAGATCCTTGGTTTTGTCGGCCTTTTCTTGGCCTTTTTTGGGGCCTTCTGAGTCACCTCTGGCTTCTTTTGGCCTTCCTGCAGAAAGATCGGAGTTTAAGGGCTCCAAAACACCCTAACATAGTCAATGGACATCGTCCATGAAACGCTTTTGTTTCGTGAGAGTTCCGGCCCAGAAGAGATTTTATATTCGCGCCCCCCACTTTACCAAAACCTGCCCAGGATGTGCTACACCCTCGCCTTCACCTGGAGCGTGATGCCAAGTTCGGTAACTCCCCTGTTCCTGATACAGCAGCTGGGTAAAGGAGTATTGTGATGCACGAAACCCCTAAACCCTCTACACCTTAAACTCGGGAATGGGAAGTGTGAGGTCAACAGGCTGGGTACCTAGAAACCTCGACTATTCCCAGCGTTAACATCTGAAATTCAGGCAGGCCTTCCAAGCGGGTGTGAGTGTTAGCTTGCCCTTCTTCATGGATGCGGTGCTCCGGGATCGTATCGAGGCGTCTCTTCGGTCCAAGGACGATTTAAGGTTTCTTTGGGTTTCTAAAGGGGCTTTGCTGATCCGGGTCTGCGGCTTCCAATTTCGGGTTTATGCCTTTCTGCTTGAGGGTTGATAAGCTTTCGACTACTACCATCTGAAGGACTCTGACTCGATGATCTTTGGCTTTCGGCAGATGCTGAAAGGCATCTGCGATGGCGCGTTGCCCCTTAGCTTTCCATTAAGAAAAACTTTAAACTGTTCGGGTTCCGTGCTTCGGGGCATCAACGAAAACTGGAAGTGCTGATGCCATGGCTGTTGGGGAGTCAGGCTACTCGACAGTAGCTTGCAGATCAACGGCAGCGCCGTCTGCCTGCAGCGCCTGCTGTCCGTCCGCGAGGACTTAGCCGGACACTCCCTGGAGGATTTCATCGACGGCGAACCAGCAAAAGACCGGTTCAGGTGTCTGGGTGTGCTTTCGGTGATATAGTTCTTAGTTGCACGTGTGGGTCTACATTCGAACCCCAGCTCAATAAATGTTCTTGTGGTATTCTGATTTCTGGAAATACCCAGGTCTGCGTTGACCTCTGAGCCAGAGAGCTGCGTGGAAGGGGGCAACATGGATACGGAGGAACGAGCTCCCCCGTGCTTGCGGGTGCCGTTCAGAGCACCATCCGGGCGCGTGGTCTCGGCAGATGTGTGCTACGTCCGTCTGCCCAATCTCTACGGTGCAAAGTCCTTGCATTACCTGCTGTCTTTGACCGAGGACGTCGACCCTCGGGCGATCCCGGAGGTAGAGCAGCTTCAGACGGACCAGGCCCCACAAGAAAGACACTTTCAGCATCCAGGTGGGCAGTGCGCACAAGCACGAGCAGAGCCAGCGTCGGTCGCAAGCAGCGAGAGCCACGTGGAATGCTACGACGAGCTCGCTGAGATGACCCTGTGTCCTGGTTCGGCCTTTCAGTTTAGGATCGCGCCAAACTCAATCGACCTCTTCGAAAACTCGAGGACTTAGGGCAGGGGCTTCAGATGGCTTCAGGGGTTGCAAAATTTCGTGGTTTTAGGCTTATGGACTTCGGGGAAGAAGGAAAACTCTAGAGTCCTGAGTCGCGCCCCTGCACCCTCATCTCAAACCAACGCGCTGGGCTCATAGGCAGAACAGTGGACACACGCCACTCTGCACTCGCTGTTTTCATTTCATGGGGCCATGGTAAGCACTGGCACACGCCACCTCCTCATGATTCAGGGTCATTTCTTCGCAGAGCGAAATTTGCGAAAACAATAGTAGAAGCAGAATTTGTTCAGCGTTTTGTGTCGGTCCGTCAACTTCCATGTTGTGTTGAGATTCCATGCGACAGACGTTTGCTTCCTTTGTAGCATTGCAGTCCATATAATAAGTGTCCCGCGCAGCATGACCACGCCATACCACGCCCAAACTCAACCCGAATGATGCCACGGCACACTTGTACTGTTTCCGTATTAACCTGTGGTGATATTTGCAGCTGCGATATGTGCGTGCGAAGTTCGTACCCGAAGTTTGCCACGCGAAGTTTGTTGCGCGAAGCTTCGCACGCGAAATTTGGTCCGGACGTTTGGCACCCGAAGTTGCGCCTGCGAAACTGAGCGCGTGCGAGGATCATTTTGAAATTTACGCGGAGGATGCCGCGAAGGTTGACGTGAAAAGCGCGCGAAGCTTTGAAGAGGCGATTGTCTGTTTGATTATGACGTTTATGAAATTCCACCGAAACTTCAACAGGTTTGTTGTAAGGACTTGCTTGCGCTCGCGCTCGGAAACAAGATTAACGCGTTCTCGTTAAGGTCGGAGAGGCCCTGAGGCGTGTATGTCCCACATGTTTCGGCAGGGGCTTGCGCTTTAATGCTGTACGATGTTGGCAAGAGCAGAGCAACGTGTGATTAACAAGAGGCCCTGAGCAGTACTTAGGGCCCCACGCGACTCGCGGAGCTGTGCTTCGAGATTCGGTCGTATTTCAGTTTGGGCCCTCTGTATAAGGCCGCAATTTCGATCACTGCAACCGTGCTGACCGGCATCTTCACTGTTTTCTACATCAATATATTTCCAATGTTTGGACGAATACAGGGTCTAGCGTAAACGCAATGTGGACGCACAACTGGCGAGCAATTACATATGATCATCATTTACAAAGAAATATTGCGCATTTATAAACGCTTGACAATCAACATATCGTACTTATAAGTCAAGAAAAAACTGCTCATTACCAAACAATAATTAGTTATTATTCACTTAGATCAACTGTTCACTTATAATCATATAGAGATGCCCCAACCATAAATGATTGCATTCTCATATGTCCGGCACTCAGAAAAAACGCAGGCGAAATCGTCTTCCCGAAGCCCTACACCCCAAGGCTTCTGAATTTAAGCTCGGAGTTGGTGGACGTCGAGGAGGCCCACCTCCGCTTCGAGCGCCACACCAACGAGGCCCCCTTCATGCTCGTGTTCTTGGGCGTTTTTGGGTGTGCAGGGTTTTGACGTTTACAAACTTGGGGTTTACAGGGTTAGAACAGCCATCGTTGGTCCGCCCTCCGGGTTCTACCCTGAAAGGACTAACTTTGCACGTCTGACTGGTGTGTGAGTGCAGGGGTCACCGTTCCGCATAAACCGTTCATGGACGGGCAGCTTCACATAGATTAGAATCGGTCTTGCCGTTTCTGAAGACATTGCGGGGCATAACCTGTGCGACTTTGCTTCTTAAACTTCCTTGCAACTGACCCTTGAACCTTCAAAAGCAACCTCCTAAGCCCGCGGACACCCTGAACCCTTTTTCCAGCTCACGAGGTCGGGTTTCGCATGGGCATGCCCACTCTGAAGCGCTTCGCTCGGCCCCTCGAGTGGCGTTACTTGGTTCTCCGATCAAGCCTTTACACTTTTTCGGGTTGCTAAATGCATTAAATGGCTCAATTGGCTCAGCATTTTCAGTACTACCGTACTACCCATAAGACTGCAGCCCGGCCCAAACCCTCTCAAATTGCAGAAAAGAAAGGCAACATCGAGGCCTTTCTTCGACACTATGCCCACCAGGTGACCGAGGGAATCTGGGCAGCTGAGCCCTAAGGGCCAAAGCCTGAAGTCACAACCCCCAAGACGTGAGCGGAGAATGCCCTCTGGAGTTGTATGTTGGGTCGTCTAGCATCCGGAACAACTTTGGGGGCGCCGATTTATATATCGGGGGGGGCAAAGTGCGGATCGAGAACCACAGATGAGCGGTTTTACTCGCGGGGTGGTGGCATTTTTCGTGGATGTTGTCGTTATTCTTGAGTTTTTATCCGCCCACCCTGTGTCTTCGCTTTGGCAGCCAGCGAGCCATCAAGCAAGCGAGCACGTGAGCAAGCAAGGCAGCCAGCCAGCCTATTTGCTTAAGAACCCCTCAAGAAAGGCATATTCCTTTGAATGGCAATAGGAATTTGTGTTCTTCGGCAAATCGCAGTTCTTGTCAACAAGGCCTGAATCCTGTCCAAACCAGTCATACGAGCATTGTGTTTACAAATGGGAGGGGGCAAACCCCCCGCCAAGCTCCTCCTCTTTTCAACCTTCGCAAAGCTTGCCAGGAGAAAGCCAGGCTAGAGGTAATGTGGCAAGCAGCGCTGTAGAGTTTCGGTTTCAGGGTTAGGGGCCCCGAACAGCACACCCTGCAACGAAAGACCCCGAGGACAGGTTGCGGCTGCGGAGAAGCAGCGCGTTGGGAGGATCATGCTGCGTGTGCCTGGGGAATCGCGAAAGCACCTCCAGGCTGCTGGGCTGCTGGGTTTCCAGTTGTTCAGTTGTTTGAGTTCTTGGGCCCCCCCCCACACCTCGAAGAGCTCTCGGGAGTTGTTCTGGCTTCAGCTTCAGGTGCCCGCTCAAAATCAGGGGGTTGTTAAGTTTAAGGACCTTGATGGAACAGTTGTAGTCTAAGCTTAAGAAGGCCTACTTGGTCGATTTGTTTTGAAATGTTTTCTGCTGCGATTTAATTTTCGGTAATTTAGGGTTTAGGTTTACAACCCGATGTGGGGTCTATAGGATACAAGGAGCCAGGACTGCAAGTCTGTGTTTTGGGTTGCTGGGTTCAGGCTGTTTAGGGCTTAGATGGGCTTTAGGGCTTGGATGCTTGGGGGTGTCGAGTGTAGGGTTGGTTGTTTTTTGGGCTCAGGGTGTACAGGGTGCAGGGTTTAGAGAAAAAGTTTAGGGTTTAGGGTGGTTTCGGGTGCTTTCCAGGCCAAGGACGCTACGATCAGCTCACCCTTCGAGCGGACCTCAGCTCAGGACCCGGTCTACGCTTTTTTGCGTCTGGTCGCGGATTCAGATTTTAGTATGATTTTAGGGTTTAAAGTTTGAGGCCTGGGGTTGAGGGGTTTTCGGGTTGTATGGTGCAAGGTTTAGGGGTTCTAGGGCAGGGTGTCGATTTCGGGGTCTGAAGCTCAATGTCATCCCGGCTTGGGAAGCAACACTCGCAAGAAGTTTTTAGGATTTAGCGCTTTGGGTTTAGGCCATTCGCGCACTCAGGCCCGCTTGTTTATTGGAGTTCTCCAGTAAAGCTGAAGAGCAAAACATCAGTGATACCCTTCCGATGTGTGGGGTTACCTGGCACTGCGAACCTAGCGAAACTGGAGGCCCTCCTGAGCTCCGCATAAATGCACAAAAACACAAACTGGCCAGAATGGCCGCACAACAGTCGCGGGCGCACGTGGGCTACGAACCCTCCACGTTCGCGTTTGCCAATCAAACCCCAAACCTGAATCCGAAACCCTAAACTCATCCAAACGCTAAACCCTGCCCTAAACCCAGGCATATGCAGAACTTCCGTGGCGACCGGCGAGCACGGAGGCGACCCCCACGCCTGGAAGGTGTGGACGAGGTCGTGGCCCAGGCGTGTTGGGCGCGAAGGTTGGGTTAAACCTGGTTTTAGGTGTAGGGACTGTTGTCTACGGCCTAGGGTTTGGGACACCTAGCTCAATATTCCATAATCTTCCTGTCGATGTGTTCTGAGCCGTAAATCCCAACCCTAAACCCAGACGCTGAACTGGTGCCCCTTCCAGGGACAACAGGCAACACACTGAGCTCCTGGGCGGGGACGCCTTCACATCGATCTTAGCAGAGGTTTCACATCTAGTGTTAGGAACATCTTCGCGCTCAGCAGGAGTGGCGCTTCTTGTCCGACACTTGTGCTGCCAACAGCAGACAAAAACTGCAAGCTGTGAGGCTCCCTGGTTTGCGGTGTTTCCAAGATAGTACTGTTGTAAACCGACTTCCATGCACCATAAGCAGCTTAACCGAATCGTTTCCCTCACGAAGCAAATTGAATGCAATGCAATTTAAAGTTAAACCGTGGGTCTATCGAAATCGCGTCCGCACTGAGGCATTCCAGTCTGAGCAAAAGATAGAAACAGAACCATAAGACGAACCACTCAGCTATGCGGTTGCCACAAACGAGCCCCAAACTTAAAACCTAAGCCCTGAACCTTGCATACGGATGGGCCCCAAACCTGTGGGTGTCCTGGATCGCACAGTTTGTCAGGTCCTCGCAAATCTGATAGCAAGGGTGGCCAGGGAGCCGGGAAGGGCAATGCATAAGAAGGGCAAGGACGATAAAGGCGATAAGGCACAAGTACCCTGCAGACCCCAATCCAGGTCCGGGTGCACCCGCACACGAAATTGTTATGCTTCATGTTCTGAGAAGCCGCAGGAGAGACCATAAGTGTTGGAGACGCGGTTTCTACGCCCACCCACCGAGTGCCCAAAGGCTCATTGATGGCTCCCCTCGCAATCATTGCAGGGGCGGAGGTCAGGCGCTGAGATGCCAGGAGCTCTGCATGAGCGGGCTGCTTTGGCTGAGGAACTGGCCGGCCGTGGATTCGAGGTCCGAGTAGGTGGCGATGAGCCGTCTTCAACACGTACTCGCAGCATCGTGGCTTGGACAGTCGCTGGAACAGAGTCGTTCCTGGAAAACCTTCAGAGGGCTGAGCAAAGGCTTCGCGTTGCCACCCCACCTCTGAGCGGCTCCAGCCAACCCCGTATGTCTTTCAGATCTTCTGTGGTAGGGGTCGTGGCGGTCGTGGTCCCGGGCCCTCCTGCACCAAGGGTTTAGCGTCCTCTCATGTGACGTGCACCATTGCGCCCCAGCGGTACTTTACCCCAAACGGACCTCACATCCCCAGGACGGTCAGGCTCCTGTCGGCTCACGAAACTCCTTGCCCGTCTTGGGCATAGCGGCACCACCAGGGCGCCTCGTACCTGGCAAATGCCGCAACTCAATCTCTGTGAGGCACTGTGAGGCTCCGTGGAAGACTGTGATATCTGATAGCAGCTCGAAGAAAGGGGTGGCGCTTCGTTCGGGGTCCACCATGCTGGCACTGGTCGAAAACCATGGGACACACGCGAGGAACAACTCGTTCAGACGCAGGCACGAGGGATTCACGTCTTCCAGAACAAAATGACGAGTAGCACACACTAGCTTTGCTTGACAATGCAACCCGACGGCATGGCTTCAGGAATCCAAAGTCCATGCTTGAACGATCGCAGGGATGTGTTTGAAGACGTGTGCGAAGCACCTGCATGTGCCTACATCGCACACTCGCACTTTGGCTCCCAGCGCTTGAAAAATCTCCAGCGTGACCGCTGCTCTGCCGCTTGGGTTGCAAGGACTAGAAAAACTCAGTCAACAAACTCTACAAGGGCGAAAAAAGGACTTTCTCCCAAAGCAAGTAGTTGTGGAACCTAGTCTCCCCATATAAATATCTATAAAGTCAGAGTATATTTAGTAGTTTCACTGACCTCCCCTAAAAAAGGTGGGAAACTGCGAGCTAGGTATGCAGCACTTCTTAACTGCGTGTTCGGTTTGTCACCTTTGCCATGCCGCCAGCCAAAGTTGCGCCATTAAAATCCCTGCATGTCCGACTTAGAGGCGAAAATGAGAGCATGTAGGTGCAACGGGCGCTCCTGTCGATTTGGGGGTTGAGGAAAAAAGGGGCTCTTTTATGATCTCCTTTTTGTCCTGTGCGTTTAGGGCAACAAAAAGACCCATAGCTTGGATCAACCCGGACCAACCCAAATTTAAGAGTCCCCTCAATTTGGCTTTGGGCCTGTGAGTTCGGTTTCTTGAGCTTCGAAGTCTCCTAGGTCACGGACCTTGTTAAGATCGCAAGCTTTCCTGATACAGCAGCTTTGTCGACACGACTTGTGCTCTACTGTATCGTGAGGGTGCCCGCCGGTACGATGCAGCTGTCGGCAGTCTGTTCGTGCTTCGACCAAGGCACTCTGAGGCATTACATGCCGAACATGCGGAGCGTCCTTGCCGCCCAGCGTACTTGTGGCTGTGTGTTTCGCAGAGAGATCCCTTGTGACATGAATCGCGACGTGGCACCGAGGTATACACATTTCCAATATTCCTTACCGTCGGGGCGTCATCGTCCCATGCCGATCTTCCAGGCCAGCATATGATCAAGGAGGACATGGTACCTTTCAGCTCCTGTGATTACACGAGTCAAACACGTTCAAAGCCTCCCCGGCGATTGGGTGGCCTGAACTTCAGAAGCTTTGGTTGGGATTCTGAGCTGCTACACAAGAGCAACAAATTTGTAAAGGCTTTGGAGAAGGAAAAGGAGGAAGGAAGGGGAGACCCAAGGGAAGAATAAAGGCATCGTTAAACTTTAAGCAGCACATAGCGCATGAGGCTGTGTGAAGGGTTGCGCCCAAGATTGGTTGGATACAGGAGATCTCTTAATTACTTGCTGGGATAGGTTTGCTTTAAATTAGGGTTTAAGATCAGGGCAAGCTTCACTCATGTTAGTTCCCAGCCGGTCACGGAGAACACCTGCACCGCAAGTTGACTCCGAAAGCCGCATCATACGGGGACCCGAAAAAGGGACCCTAATTGACAAAACTACCCCACATGCGAGCATGGTGGAGAATGTTGATGGTGCCCTTTGTTTGGATGCTGCGCGCACGATTTCGCCAGGTGAGCCATACGCGACTCCCAGCAGAGCCTTATTGCAGGTGTGGGGGGGGGGGGTTGAGCGAAGAAGCGTGCGCTGCCTCTGCTTCACAGGGCTGCAAGTATGGCTATGGTGCGCTGAAGGTTCGAACTCGGCACGTGATGGAGCCATCTGAACTTTCAGGCTGGGCCTTCGCTGAAACATGTCTGACGATTGAGAGTGGCGATTTAACATAGCTTGAGTTTTGAAACCCCAAAGCCCCCAAACTCCAAAGCAGCTTCCAAGCTTCAGCCTCTGAGCTTCTCAGCTGCTCAGCTTCCGAAGGGTGAACCACGGCCATACTGTAGATTCTCCTAGGGCTTTGTCAGCGTGCCAACGGCCTCACGAGGAAGCAACAACCAAGATTTTCCTAGCAACTCAAAAGCTCAGATAAAGCTCGGAGGGATCGGCCGGAAAAAAGGTTCTCCGAGCATCACGCTCCTGGTATTAAAGGCTCGTAGCGTCCCCATCGGGCTTTTGCTTTGCCAGTTTTTTGCCAGGTTCGTCATGTCGTCCGAAAGTCCTTGTCACCTCGATCTAGTTCAGTCGGCTTCTTCTTCGTTCGTTGGTTCTTTGCCTTTTCTTGTCTTTACTTCTTTACTTCATGGCTTGGGTAGCTGTGAACTCTGACCTCCGCACGGCAAGCTTCGGGCCAAGACATACCAAGACTGTTGTCAGTACTTTCTTCACCCGTAGGTGGGCCAAACGATGCCGGGCGAGAGCACATCCGCAAGGCCCGGCGCAGAGACTACCTAGCCGCCTAGCCGGGCACTTCTCTTGCCTCTTGAAGCGCAGATTGTGCAGGAGGTGCCGGAGGTGCGGGAGGTGCAGGTTGAAGAACTGGCACCTCCAGAGGGCCCCTTGTTTGAGCAGTGCCGAGCTCGGAAGAAGAAGCTGGTGGGCATGGCAGAGGCTCCTTCGCCGCATGTCGTGTTGTCTGCGCGCTGGCGTGCATGCGCGTGCATGCCTATTGAAATTGGGAGCGTGCATGCCTGCTTGCGTGGGCTTGTGAAGGACCATGGCAACCGCAATGCCAGCGTCAGTCTACTCTCGAATTCACTTGGAAAGCAAGCCGCAGCGTGCAACTTTGGCAGCACTGTGCGTTTCTATCGATTTGTTTGAGGATGTTGGTACATCTTGGACAGACCGCTTGCATGTCTCTCGCCTTCCTGCCTCTTGTTAGTCGTCTTTTTAACATGTTTTTTTTTTGTTTATCGTCTTTCTTTTGCTCCTTCTTCTTGGCAGTGCCAGCAGCCCGCAAGCCTCAGAGTCCAGGGCCTCGGGCTTAGCACCAAGGCTCTTTGGAGCAAACCACTTTAGTGAACTTCGCGAGCAATGGTGATGCCATTCATAGCTGCTGTGAAGCAGCGAAGATCCTTGGATTGGTTTGTTGCTTTGTGGGCATAGTTGGACAAGTTGACAGGATTCTCCATTTTGAGGCTTGTGTTTCCTGGTCCTTCCAACCTGGGTTTAGGCCCGTAGCTTGCATCAGGACTACTTGCTCGGGCTGCGCGCAAGTCAGTGGATCCAGTTGCATCCAGTGTGCTGGTGGACACTTGTCACAATGCCTGTGCGGCGATCTTGAACGACATGTATGTTTGCATTCCAGCAGGCTTGGCTGGACTTGCGTACAAGTGGAAATTTAGTGGAGCCTTTGTTCAGAATGTGAGCTGGTTTCGTATCAGCTGAGGATTTCGAGAAGGTCCTCATGGATGTATTGCATGCCGCGACATTCCAGGTTTCGTGGATCCTTCTGGCCACACTTGCGCAGACTACGTGGCGTGCTAGCTGGATTGGATGAGCCCAACCTACGCCCAATGCAATCATGTTAGAAGGAGGCATTGCTTCGTTGAGGCTGTGCCATTGCTTTGCAAGTTCCTTCAGATAAATGGAAGCCCTGTTTTTCTTGGACTGCCAGACGCCAAGGCCCAGGGGATCTGCCAGGATGGCAGCAAAAGTCTATCGGACTTCAACGCTAACATCGTCGCCCATGTCGCCATGGCAGACTACAAATATAACGGCCACTTTGTTCAGAAGCGTGTGAACAGGTACATGCGTTTCGCACTGTGAATCGATTCATGTGGCCTAACTTTGGCGGTGTGGCAAAGCAGGACTCAGTGCTGTGGATGCTTGCTGTGCTTGTGGCGGTGGTCTACAAACAAGCACTCCCTTCACCTACTCGGCAAACCTCCGGTCATTTGTTCTGGGCGTGCCGATGAAGGACCTTTCTGACCTTTCTGCACTGAGAGGGATATTGCGGGCTCCTGTAGGCATTTGCATGCATGTGCTATAGGACTATAGGATGTTGGAAACGTCTCAACGTCTCAGGACCAGCCCCACCCGCGCACAGCTTCCAGCTACCGGGTGGCTGGTGTGCTGGAAGGCTCAGGCTGCGATCTGCACTCAGTTGGTTTAAGCCTCAATGCCGAGACGGGCGAAATCTCGGGGACTCCTACGGCGGAGGAACCCGTGGAGGTGGAGTGCGTCATCCAAGCGGTGCAAGACGAGTCGAAAGGCTTGATCGAAAACAGCAGCGCCACTTGGTTCGGTGCAAGGTTGGGTAGCATGTTTGGGGCAGAAACAGTTAGTGGCTGCTAGTGGCTGGGTAGTTCTTCTTGAAATCTTCCCGTTGTTCGTGCGACATCGTGCGACATTGGCACCAGCTACTGAGTATTGGCCGATCAGTTGCCGCCTCTAGAAACCAAGGTCAAGATAAGTTTGCAGCACTTCGCTTATGCGGGGAAAATTCTTCCGTTTCCAGCAGAGAGCCCCTACTTGCCTCGTGTATCCAGCGGTACCTACAGCAACTGGCGCGTGGCATGTACACCACACGCCCCGTGGCTGACGATCGATCAGCACACAGGCGCTCTGGAATCATCAAGTCTTGGAGCATCCCGGCTTAGACAGGCAGCATGTTTTCGAATGTTTAATTGCTTCTCATCTGAAGATCTTGATGAAGTGTTTGAGTTCCTGTATAGGCACCTGAAGCAGCTTTTTGCACCGTCACCGCCTACAACGGAACGACGGACCTAACGCTGCCCTTGCCTGTCGTGGTGCCCAACCAGTGGGCGTCGATGGACCTGAAACAAGTGATTATGGATAAAAAGGTGGCTCAGGTTGCAAAAAGAGCACCAGGTCGTGGGTCCCCCCAGTCCCCCCAGGCTCCGAAGCTGAGGTGTCCGTGGGATCTGTCTTGGACCTTGTGGCGGGACGAGCCGTGCCCCCAGTGGCTTTGGCATCTGCGGATGGTGTCTCGGCAACCAGAAACTCGAAGCTGCGCGGAAAGAGAGAAGCTGTGCGATGATGCGGCATGTAGTAGAGTCTCACGGTGGTAGAGTGGCAGTTGCGGGCCTATAGCCTTGATGGCAGCCCTCCTAATCGTCTGCGGGATATGGAAGACACTGGAGCAAAATGGGAAAGACTTATCGGCATGTGAGGCTCTGACCATCTCACACCGCCTGTGGTTTTCTACGCGGCCTGCGATAGCGAAGGGAACGGTGACGAGCACGTCTCCTTCGACACGACGACAGGCGTTAGCAACGTGGTTCGTCGTGAGTCATCTCTCCGCATCAGTTCGAGACCTCAACTTTCTGGGCTCCGACCAAGACTCCAAACAAGAGATGTTTCGGCGCTTTCTCAGTGCTTCCAGTCCTGCTTCAAAGATAAAGAAGCTGGCAGGCGACGTCCTGGTTCGCGGCCACGTCGCTTTCCGCCTGGAGATGCTGAGCGGCGAGTTCACAGGCAAGTGATCGCAATCCTCGAGCTTGCCCACCCTAAACCCTGATTGCCCTAGAGGGCCACTTTGTAAATGCGAGGCATCCCTGACATGGGAGTCCTGGGTAGCTGCAGTTCTTCTGCACGCTGCAAAGTTCAACTCCAGCAGCTTGGTCCAGAGAGGGTTTCAAGGGTGGTAGCAAAGAGTCTAAGAAAAGAGGCTTAGGGCTGCAAACTCTTGGGATTGCAGGACTTTTTTTCAGGAGAAATGCCCCCCAGTTTCTTCTGTGTCTGTGTCACTTCGACGATGGCCAGTAGTTGAAAGCCGAGGTGCACGGTTTTCGGGGAGCTTGCCTATCAACCCCCGGGATCACTTCCCAAGTTTCTGAAGCACAGCCTCACCGACTCTCAGAGTCAACGTTGGACCTTATTTTGCAGAGTGCTGTGGCAGCCTTGTGAACGACCTGCCCTAAATCAAGCTGGGAACCCTGAAAAACCCTAAGCTCAGGTGGTCATCCGCGATGACACTTGCTGGCAGCACGTGTCAAGTCCTCAGAAGACCTGGACACGACTTGGGCAGCTGGAAGGCCCAAGACCAAATAACGAGACTTAAAGAGGGGGGCTTAAAGAGGGCCCCAAGCCCTGCAGCTTTTTTGTTATTCTGTACTTTCAAAATACCGCCCGGCATGCTCCAGGAACTGGAACCTGTCGCAGTCGCTGCCTGGTGCTGAGAGGTCATTCTGAGACTCACGTCTCACATCCCCAAACTGCCTAAACTTCCTAAACTTCCTAGTCCTAAACCCTAAACCCTAAATTGCTGAGTGCCTTGCGAAGCGCAGATCAGGTCGCGCTTCGGCCGGCTGCTCTGCATACCAGCAGGAGGTGCGTGAAGAGAATTGGGCTTCTGGGTCTGCCAATCTTCAGATTAAGTACCAGAAAGGGTCCAGCAGTTAGAGCAGCCCCCCATGTCAGAACAGCTGAAAAAACATGAGACTAGTCTCTTTGAGACCTTGCAGGAGATGCCTCTCATGCCTGGGGTTTTAAGATGTTATAAGCTTGCTCGGTGCCCCAAGCCCAAGAGCTTTGGAGTGCATAGCTGGGCTCTGAGACGAGCTGTTCGTGCAGGAAGATGGGGAGCACCTGTCCACATTTGCTGAGAATAACTTTAACGACTCCTGGCAGCATACAGGGCCGCTTTGAAAGATTGGGTGCGTCGACAGGGGCTGGTGATGGGCAGGACTTAACCAGGCACGACTTCGCCGTAACCTGTAAATTGCTCGGTTGCAGTGTAACTTGCAGGTTGTAGTGGTGGCTTTGCATGTGACTGAAACAAGGACCTGGGCGACACCAACAGGGACAAGACCAAAACTTATGACTATACGCTCAGCAATGGCTACAAGTGCTCTTTGTCGGGCTGGACACATACCCGGAATTACCACAGCGGCTACCTTCGGCACGCCGACGGCAGCGGCATGGCCGTGGTGTCGGGGCTGGAGCCGGGCGCCCTCTACGCGTGGAAGATCTACCAATTCTCACCCCAGGAGTACCTTGGACAGCCTTTTGTGGGCGTGGTGAGTCGTGTTGTGTCTGTTTCATGCTCCCGGTCTGGAATTGTGCTCGAGACTGAGGGGGTGTCACGCGGGGGCTGTCGCTGCCAGGAAATATTCTTACACAAATCCGCTGCTCGTCAACGGCGAGAGCGTTGGTTCGACAACTTCCTGGGCAAGTGCAAATGCAACCAAGACAGGTTCCGGGCCCCACCTTTCGTTTGAGCCCGTCAGTCCTGAGACTCTACGATGTGTTTGTATTTAAACACATTTTTGCTAAGATGGGAAATCTCCTTGGCTTGAGGCTTCACGAGAGCAACTGATGCAGGTCGAGGCCTCAGATTCAGCCTTTAACTGAAAACTAGACAACTCAGACAGTTCCAGCGTGGTATTTCGGCTCCCGAGGTAAGATTAGCTTCGAGTTCGTGCGGAAGGCAAACCACGCCACCGTGTCTGGAATAGCTCTGGGCAAGGCGGCTGAGCAAGAAATTGCAGATGCTTTCAAGATGCAAGCTTTGGGGTCACGTGCTCGCCATATGCTGTTGCCACGTGCTCATGTTGGCCCATATATGCTCGCGTGCTCTGCCGCCCCTTGTAGGCACCTTCCTGCTTCTCCGTGCGCTCCGTGGCTTCGGAATCCTGCCCGGAGGCTTGTGACGTGGCTCACAAGATCCCACCACGCATCAATTCAGAGGGGTTCTCACAGGTGTCTTTGAGGCTTGGGACCTTGTGTCCTGCTTGCTAGATGGCAGAGAATTCTGGTCATGCGGTCATGATTGTACTCGTCGGATTTGAAGCAACTGAAGCCAGATTTCCGATGCAGAATCCATTTCTTTCTCTATGAGTCTATGAGCTAAGGCTACTGTGATGGTGGGAAGATGTGCAAGGGCTGGTGTGCTCAGGAAGCTTCTGGGTTTCTGATGCAGTTTCCGTAGGGGTAGCTTCCATGCTCGCCTGCAACTTGCAAGTATTCCAGGACGGCACGTGCACGAACTCTGCACCCCATTGGGGATTTGATTGCCGTGGCTGTGGCGCCGCAGAGTTTTCCAGCGCATGGGTTCGGATCACAGATTGTGATCGACTTAGTGGAAAAGGGCCCATCCTGGTCTACGATGATGTTTCGATGTGTGTCTTGCGCACTAAACTCGGACTGATAACCTTCGGGAAGCTTGGTGGCGTGGGCCAAGTCCTCGCAGCCAGCCCGGCCAAGCCCGAAGCCTTAAAGGGCCTGAAAAGGACCTGAAAACAAGAAGGGTTGCCACAAAGGTGATGCCCAGAGCAATTGCCTCTCTGTATCGAAGAAGGGTGGTGGGGCTGCCTTCTTGGATGGCGTCTACTGCCCAGCTAGTGATGGAGAGCCACCTGGAAGCGCAACAGATAGGCGCAGAGGTGTGAATCATATCTTGGATCGCCCATGTTTGTTGCGATGTGGGCCTGACATGGCCTGACATACAGTATGGCTGAGGAAAGATGGGCTGCTCCCCTACTACGCAAAACCAGGCAGATTCGCTGTCTTCTTTCTGCTTGCGTTGATTCTGTTGTACGTGATTTTCATTGCAAACGCTTGAGTGCTCCCCGCCTCGGCAACCCGGGTTCCTACGGCCACTTGGGCACCCGGAGTGTTTTCAGGGAAGTGCCCGAAGGGGGTCGTGGTCGCAGGCAGTCTGCAGGCTGTTTCAACAACCGTTTACTGTCATGACACCATGAAGACAGGCATACGAGGATTCTGGACGTCAGACTGAGGCCAGACAGCTTCGAAAACGACTTAGCCGAGTGCTGATTCAGGACGATCTACTGATCACACTGCTCATGTACTAAGCTACCGGAGGGCTGCAACAGCATCTAAGACTGAATGTAGCACAGATCCACACTTGGAAAAAATTGCTGGCTACTATCTGGAGCTGGTACAAACGTAAACGTCTAGTGAACACTGCAAAAACTGAACGGTCCGGTCCCTATACCACCAACGCATCCCACTTCTCTGTCAAAACCTTGCCCGCATCGTGTGGGCCATTGAGCGCTTTTCCATGACTCCTGGCAGGTGCTTCACGTGGCATGTCTCGGTAGATGGGAACAATTGACTCACAATTGGCACTGACTGGGCTCGCAGCTTCATGCTGCTGCAAGGCACAAGCAGGAATCATGTCATGGCACTTCACAACTTCAACATCGGAGTGCACGTGCGCACCACTCAGGGAACAAGCCGGATTCACTCCCATTGAAACGCCACAGAATTTCATGCTACAGAGCGTCCAAGACAATCATTCCATGGAAATATCATTGGCCGGACAATAACTAACTGCCATGAGGCGCCCTTTGACGCGAAGTCGCCTTCGCTCCAGCACATGCACGTTCAAAGTAGTCTGTAAGGCATCACAGCACAACTGAGGTATGAAGAACGGTGAAACGATGGTTCAGGGTTCAACCCACGAGCAATCACCGTAAACAAAACACGGATTTCTTTTGATTACTTACTATGTACTACCCATGCAAAATGGGACAGCAGGGTACAAAACTTCATATAGTATGATGGGAACTTGATTCAACTGCAGTCTTCTTAGCCAGAAAGACTTTGGTTGAATCTGAATGAACCTGAATATTTGTGAGACACATTCGTAAACTTTCCTAGGGTAAAAAGCTTGCAAATTTAGAAAAGGAGGGGAAATTGAGTTTTTGTTTCAGCAGCTTCCGCTACCACTATTCGTATTGCTGGTCGGCAGTGACGCGGCAGTATGTGGAGCAAAGCCTGAATAAGAAACAAGGCACTGTTCGGGGGGGAAGGCCAGTGAGAATGAGATCAATAAGTCGCAGGAAACCAGCTGTCTGGAGGGGAGGTGGCAGGCAAACCGAGCCTCTCTGTAGGGTTCATGTACTGTATGCCTAAACACATAGTTCATAGGCTTTGTTACCACCTGTTCACCGCAACCGACAGAGTTAGCTGACGCTCCTGTTCTTGTGCTTGCACGGGCTACAAAAGCTCAAGCACGCATCTTTGAGAAAAAAGGGCTTTGGACAAACCAGGGTCAAGCACAATCCAGGGGGTTAAGCGCAATCCAGGGTTCAAACCCGAAGTAAACGAAGTCAATGGTCGTTTTGTTCGGCTGTTGTTTCAACTGCTGCCTCACGGGACTCAAAAAACTGTGTTGGACAATGCTGCTCTCCATCACTGAGGTCGTGGGACATCTTGCCTCAAGTGCTCAAAACAACACTAACTGTAAGAAGCTGACTCATGAAACTTTTTGCCAAACCTCTTTGGGGGCCGGAAAGAAATTGGTGGCCTCTCTGGGGGCCGGAAGTTTTGGGTGTGGGGAAGGGTTTCGAAGGGGTTAAGGAGACCTGCCTTCGTCTGTTTGTTCGAAATTCTAAACGCCTCTCGGCTAGAGGCCGAAGCGATGCATGTCGAATTGGAGGTTTCTCACTGCGCGGAGGTGAGGTGCAAGAGGCCACCTTGTACCTGTCTCCCTGGCAACCTTCGAGAGAGACGCACCAGGGCTGTCCAGCAGGCTCGCGACCACAAGGTAACTGCGTATGGCCAGCGTGAGCCCAAAACCCAAAACCCCGTACCCCGCGAAGTGGACTTCAGTTCAGGCGGGAGGCAATAAAAGCAACAGTTTTGTGCACAGCATGGTCACCAGCATGTTCATGCAGCCTCAACAAAGTTAAGGATCCATGGTTAGTCGCCAGGACTTCATTGTGTGGTTCGAGTGCGTAGTATATGTAGTATGGAATCCAATGGGTAAACAGCATTCCGCTGTCTCAGGCATGGCTTTCGGGTCAAGTCCCTCGAAGTTTAAACCCTAAACAGGCTGCGCAGGCTGAGCAATGTTTGGATTTGGGAGCACCTTCAACCGGCTTCTGAGTCGTTTCTTCAATCTGCCCGCATGTGTGCATGTGCATCATTGTGCATCCTTTCAACCGCGACTTCCCCTTGTGTAGAACAGGAAGCAGTGGAGCCGCAATGAGACAAAACGTGCTATCGTGGCAGGCACGGGTTGGGTGATCCGCCGAGCAAGTCCTCTGGACTTCTTCCAGGGCGAGTACGTGGAGCTGCGGGGAGACGTGTTGGCCTGCTTCCACTCTTTGGGCCACTTGGGTTCCAATCGGACATGTGCACATACGTGTATGTGCACCCACATGGGCACACAGGGAGCATCATAGGAAGGGCTATCGTACCACGGTGACCATTGGACCATTGCTTTGCCCGGCATTGTGTTGGGGCCGTCTGGTGTACGTTAGGTACCTGTGGCAATGTGTAACCAACGTGCGCAACACGAGGTCACTCTGGAAGCAAATCCTGGAGCATCGGAGACGCCGTGCTGGACGAAGTGAAATCTAACTTTCACCTGACAATCCTTGATGCGAGCTATGTGGAGAAGCGGACCCAGGCCCATGCAGACGTGATCTCACGTGTCGTTGCTCGTATTGCTTGGGTGCCTCACTCCCATGAGGCATCGCCAACTGACGAGGTGCACATGGTGCCAGTCGCGCGGACGCGCCACGGTAGAAATGCACACGGCCACGAAGCAATGAAGATTAAGAGGGCAATGTCAGCATCATCGATATTCGTTGCGTGTGCATGGCCGAGGTGCACAAATCCGCTGGAAGAAAGGCGTGCAAAGAAGAAGAAGGGGGAACCGAAGGACGAACTGACCAGCGAGGAGCCAGTCTGCCTTACAGTATAGATGCTGATCACTGCTCTTCAATTGAAAGCATCATTGGGCGTTAAGACTGTTACGAGGGAACGCGTTGGCCCAGGGCGCTGCTCGTTTGATGGCGCCCTTGCTCTCAAGGGCCACAGTCTACGAACTGTAGCCTTCTCAGCGACCCGAGCCCTGGAGAGGAGGTGTTCACCTTCGACGTGCTGCGCTCAGAGCAGCGCCATGTACACATGGGGTGTTGTTCTAAACTAGTAGGTCTTGTTAAGGAGTAGACTATGTGTAGTTGGGTCCCAAAACATTCTCTGCACATGACTTTGAGTTGGCTGCGTTGGTCCAACCGTTGGCCCAGTGTGGGCCCAGCGGTACCAATGGTAGCACTTCAAGCTTCTGCAAAGTTTGATGTCCTGGAAGAGTCTCGTGCTGATGAAAGGATCCCGATGCCCCAAGCGGCCTTGGACACTTCTACTCGCTGAACCCATGCCACCCTTCTGCAGTTCTGTAGCTCTGGCAGCTTTATGGCGGAGCATCTAGTCCACCTGCTTGAGGTCGTTAGGGTTTACAAGGTTTGAGAAGTTTTTAGAGCTCTCGGCCTGGAGAAAAGCCGTTCAGTGCATCACGCAGCTCCTGAGGCGAGTGCTTCAGTGGAACCTTCGGAGCAAATCCGCCAGTTTCGGAAACGACCTTTTCCATGAGCCTTGGAGGTCAAAGGCGTAGATGACCGGAGGTGATGGAGGTGTTGAACCAACGTTCAGTGCGCATTGCAAAGGACGCCACCAGGAAGTGACAATGATTTCGTGCCCCCGAGCACATTGCTGGCTCCTTGGCGGACATCTGGAGCTGTGGGAGCAGTGGCGGCATCGGCATCGACAATCAAGAAAACTAAATGTTTAAATGTTTGATATAGTGCACCAACAAGTAAATTAACAAGGATCACTTGTGCTTGTCCTGCCTTAATTTAGACAGGGAGCTCAGTGCCAGTTGGCGGGCTGCGGGCTGCTGGCCCTGTTGGAACAGGGGAGCCAGGCAGAAACCATGCTCAGCCCGCCAAGAAACTGGAAAACCAGTAGCTAGGAGCCAACCGAGCCAACAAAGCCAACAAACCAGAAAGCACTTGGCCCGTTTGGCTTCTAGCATCTTGGAATTCTGGCATCTTTTTTTTTGTTTTGGCTTTCTGCATTGGTTTCTTGGATTCCGGGTCGGCTTCGGGGCCTTTTTCAGGGTTTTGTGGGCTTGGCTGGCTTGCAGCTTCCTGCCTGGTTCCTGGCTTCTTGGCTTCTGTGGCGGGGGACCCAAAAGCTTAAGGCGGTGCTGTGGGCACAAGCAACCTTCGTTTGTGGATTCGGCAACTCATTGACGCATCATGCATCAGATGCCTGTTCAGACCCTGCTCATTTGTTTTTTTATTGCTTTTGCTCTGGAGTTTGTGTTCCCGCAGATGGATTAAACTCAAATTTGCGTTTTCCCAGCAATACGATACGACTAGTTCTACTACTGGTTGCGTGAGGACTCTACTACTGCACTTTCTGAAGTGCCCGGGCGAGCACATCGAGAGGAATTGCCGCAAGAAACCTTTGAACCGTTTCCAATCCCACCATATGCAAGCACTGTGGTTGCACACGGCCCCCGCTTTATTGAATCGCGCAAGCTTCTTTTAAAGAACGTGATGCTACCAAGAGAGAATTGCTGCATGAAGAATCCATTCCAAACCCGTCACATCCGAGCCCCCCCCCCCCCCCCCCCCCCCCCCCCCCCCCGCTTTCTTCATGGGATCCATTCAGCCAGTATCCTTGAGTGCCCCCAAAAAAGACCGCAGAGAGACCCAAAGAGTCCCGCCGAGTATCCCGGAGCGCCGAAGCCCCCTGCGATTCCGCCGAGTACTGTACCGGGAATCTCTGCAGTTCCGCAGGGAAACCAGCCGAGTATCCTCGGAGTGCCCACCCTTAGAGTGCTGCGAGTGCTGCGAGAGAAGCATGCGGCGAGTATCCGTAAGTACTGGCCTTGAAACGTCAGGATGGCTCCCGCATTGTAGCCGCGGGGGGGGGGGGGGGGGGGGGGGAATGATCGAAGATCATAATAGTATGGTTGTGAGCCTGTCAACATTTCCCAATAGAATACAGATAGAGGTCTCATAGCAAAAATCTAGAGGAAATAGAGGTTTCAATGTAGGAGAAACAGAGAATTTGTGTTTACCACATAGAAAGAAGTTTCTGTGCATACACTCCGATTCGAAGATTTCCCAAAACAGTGTGTCGACAGTGAGGGGTTAACGTATAGTGTCAACGGGTCTAGATCGCCGTGCCTGCATGACGCGCGGCGGCGCCCGCGGCGGTGCATTCTACTAGTTACAGCCAACACTGCTCTTTCAGTGTTTGGTTTTTGATGATGCATTACCCGAGGAGCTGACTAGGTCCTGACTAGGTGTCACACTTTCCTTGATGATGAAGGGGTGAGAGGTATAGTCAGTACTACTTGCAGGGAGTGATTGCATATCTGCAGTTCATCGATCGGTCCAAGGATAGAGTCTTGTGTTCACTGCTTCGCGCCGCATAGGTTTCTGGAAGCTTTTCGTGCGAACCGAAATACTTGATGAAGTCGTTGGTCGCCTGGCAGCAAGCAGACTTCAAAAGTTTAGCTGTCCAAGCTTTGCTTGTGAACTCGGGAAGTTCTCCTTGTCCGATATTGGCAATACACTGTCCTCGACCTTGTGTCACAGGGAGCAGTTGTCTTTGGTTGCAGTGAACTCACCAAAATACAATGCCTTGCGCCACATATCTAGAGCCATCATGCAAGCCAAGTGACAATTGAAGTGCTTGTCCTTCGCATTCCTGAAGCTGGAGGAATGCGTCGCACGTGGGCAGTGCAGAAGCCTCCAGATCCCGTATAGCAACAAGCTGCATGTGCCTGTAGTTCTCTAAATTAGGGTTCCTGTTGTGAGTTACTATTTTCGGCACCCTTATATCAAAGTCCCCCGAAAAAGGGACCCTATGCTGCACTCCGAGCTGCACCGAAACTTGAACGTCGGTAGGTTGGTGTTGGCGCTACAGGACTGCTGCTTTGGTGCTACATCTGAACATTCCTGAAGCATCCTGAAGCCTAAAGTCCAAAAGCGCTCTTGTTTGGATTCTTGTTGCTCCATGGGAGGAGCACAGTGTGACCCAAAGCATTCTCCCAAGAGCTGTGTTGTAAAGTGCTGGCAGGATGTGAGACAGCTTGCCGAAGTGGAGATCACGACACAGATACGGAATCATGTGCCTTCTACTTCACCGGCTCTTACACTGACGCCGCTGAGCTTTGTTGAGAGCAACAGCTGCTGCACACACATCCACCGTGTGCTGGCCCAGTGCTTGCCCGGTCTCAGGTCACTGTATGTCGCCTCTACAGCTCTTGTGGAAGTCTGGTCCAAGAAGTGAACAGCCACGGCGAGCTGTTCGGCGTTATCAAGAAAAGGTCGTGTCTCATTGCAGATCCTGAGTCGTGCCCGGGCAAGGTCTTTAAGCATGTCTTCGCTAACTGTTTCGACAAGTGGTTTCGTAGGAATTCTGGCCTCGCCGAGCCGAAGATTTTCACAGTAACAAGGAAAAAATGGGTCGCCCGCCGCCGTGGCGCAAGCTGCCGTCGTTCCATTCTAGAGGAAATTTAAGCTGCAAACAAAAGCATGCTAGCAGAAGATGGGATGGGCTATCAGGTGCAAACCTATCAAGCGCGAAAAGTGGCTCGCTGGCGGTGCTGATGCTTCTGGCCACTGCCTGTTCGAGGAGCGTTTCGCAAGGGAGCGTGTTGATGGTTTCTTCATGGTCATAGTACCCACAAAGTAAGCCCATTGCCCCTTCATCAATTTTGCCCCTAGAAGACCTCAGCCCCAAAACCCTGCCTTGTGCGAGCGTTCGCATCAAGACTCGCCCAAACTCTCTTACAACCCCTTAAGCCACTTCTGATCAAAACAGAAGACAATCTGCAAAACTCGCCAACGAGTCTTCATAAAGCCGCTTTATTTCATCTTCCCCACATCCAGAAGCCCTCAAGAAGCCCCGACGTGGGAGGACCTGATCTCCCAATGCGACGCCTCGTTAATCCACGGCGGCCACGGCATCTCCGAGTGCGGCCAGTGCCCTTTGAGCTGCACGGGTTGATGGACAAAGTCCCCCCATCATAAAACAAAATATGTATATATCAATTTTTTGATAAGCCCTTATAAACCCTAAAGCCTAAACCCTAAACCCTATAAACCTATTTCTCTTATGCCTGCTTGAGGCACACACATGCTCGTGACGGAGCATGCCGTGCAGCCCTGCTTGAGGGTTTAGGGCAGGGTTAAGGAGGGTTGAGGGGGGGTAAGGCTTGCTTGTAGTTGCCGGCGTGTGCGCGAAGGCAGCTTTCAAGAATGAAGCGGCCGTTGCCGTCACTCTTTGAAGCTGGGTCGATGATATCCGTAGGCACGGAGTTGTGCCTTCAGCATCCCAGGGTTCTCTCCCCTCCCTTGCTGCTGCTGGGCGAGGCTGTGGCGATCGCTATGCCGGTAGCCTGACTGTCATTGAAGCTGAGATTCTGGCTCATTTTGCTCTGTGGCCTGACCAAGGCTTGAATCGATATGGAAATGACGATCCTAGGCTTTATAGCTCGGCTCGTTCTTGAGGTGACCAGAGAGCACTCGTTTTCTGGCTTTGGAGTTCTGGCCGGCCCTTTCGCTAAACCACACCCACAAAGCGTGTGAGCTGCGCGAGCCGCCCGTGTCGAGGTCCTGCCATCCCAGCGAATCATTTGCCAGGACAGGTGCTATGAGTTTGAGGTGTATACCTGTTCAATAGAGGGGTATTGGGATGTGTTTTAATTGTAAAAAGTGGGAAACAACTCTTCAAACAAAGGGGGTATTTGGCTTTCTTTGCGGTTCCCCAAAGCGGATCTCCCCGCCCGCGCGCGCGCGCTCCTTCTCATAGGACGGCGAGTGGGTGGATCCGAACAGCGGGCCGGGCCTGTCCGCTCTGCAGTGCGTGGCCTGTGTCTTGGCTGCTCTGTTCTGAAGGTCCGCGGCAGAATTGGGGTCTACTATAGTGTTTGTATATATGTACATATATCAGCAATCTCTGGATACATCAATATAAAACCAGAGAGAAACACGAATATGTAAACAAAGATATATACACGCTATATATAAATATATATATATATATACATACATACATACATACGTACATGAGGACAGCCCGCAGGAGGCTGGAAGCAACATGACGCTGTGATTGCAGGCGTCCGGACCACACCGGGAAGCAAGTCCAACAGCCTCCTGGACATTCCTTGACAGAGCTGTTCACTCTGCACCTTCTGTGTTGCCTGGTTTCCACATGTTTCCACCACACTGCTTCTCGTGGGCCTAGGGAGGTAGGAGGTCGAAATGCCAGAAACATGGGAAGACAAGCGGCGGGTGCGGCGGGAACCGACTGGCAGGGATCAGGTTTCGGTGCAAACTTGAGACGATGGGATGCAGGACGGGGGCCTCGGTGCTTGCCAAAGGCCATAATGTTGGACTCGCTTTAGTGCGCAGGGCCCCCCCCCACCCCCCCCAAACAATTTTGGGGTTTTCGGGGATCCTGAATAATGTGGGCTGGGGCTGGGACGGGGCTGGGGGTAGGGCGGCTAGGGGTCGAGGGTTGAGGGGAAGCCTTGAAGCTTGAGGGTCTAAGCTTTCCAGGCTTTGTAGCTCCACGGTCGCCAGGGCTCCGCACAAATGCGGACCACCGAAACAACTTGCTAAAGCGAATCAGGGCAGCTCATGGGCTACTCCCTTGGAAAATTGTTTGGGGGCCTGTTTCGTAATGAAATTTTAAAAGGAACTTAAGGCTGGACACCAAAAAATTCCGGAGTTTCTTATTCAAAACTGTTTTTACTTTTTGGCTCCCCGGCCCCCCGCCCTTCAACCCTGGCCGGGCAAACGTCGCATAATTGAGGACCACCCTAAACAATGGGGGGTCCCCTATAAGGATTTCCGGAACATCGCATAATAGTGCCCCTTCTCACTAAAGCGAGTGCACCATTAGGTGTGGAGAAGGAGGAACGAGCCTCTGTGTGGCCGAGCGATCCATGCGCGATGGGGTTCTCTACAGAGAAGCTTACCGAAGCAACCTCTAGGAGGCTCAGCCCAAGCCGGGGCCACAAGATAACCAGGTTATGTCTTTGAATATGGGGTAACAGAGTCGACCTCGAGACCTACAACAACTAGGTGCCCTAGACTAGCTGGCAGCTCGGACAGCGGCCATGCGCTGTCCATATCCCAGTGCACCACTGACACCATGCACTGCAGAGGACTTCGTTGGCAAATCGCAGCAAGAGCGATGGTGGCTGCAAAGGCAGACTGCATGGTGTGTTCGCCATGTCTGGTCACTGGTCATGTGCATTCAGCTAGTCCCTGTTGAATTCGTCGTATCCGTGCTTCATGCATTCTGCGTGCAGGCATGCCGTTGAGATCCGCAGCTGGAATGATCTTTGCTTGGCAAGCGATTCGGACCAAACACAACGGGCGGAGCCACCTGGCTGCCCTGGACAGGCAAGTCGCATTACATTCGACTGTTGCGCATGGTGTGGCTCAGGATCACTTTCACTGACAACACAGATCTACCGCCACACGTCGTTTCTCCGTCACACCGCCGCAGGTGAAGTTGCGTAGAGGAACTGAGACAGGTGATAGCCTCATGTCATATATGATACGACCTTCAACCAGACCCTTGTCAGACGGCGAGCGTACACAGATGAGAGCTACCGCCGGCGCTTTGTGGACAGCGGCGAGAAATTTGGGAGGGTTGGCTGGAAGTCTGGCTTTGGCTTCTCGGATGCACAGAACATCACACCTTGCTTAAGCTTACTTTGGCCGCCAAAGACTTGAGTCATAACACGAAACCAGATCTTGGCCAGTGAAGGGATGCTGGCCCTCCGGGTCCGAACTAGAGATCACGCCACCCGTGGCACCAAGAGATTGATTCACCAGACTCGAACTTGAAACAGTTGTTTGTGGGCATCGGTTTGCGAACGCCCCGGAAGCAAAGCAGCCGCAGAAGCATTTAAATTTGGCAGCAAGAACGGCAAGAACGGCCTGATGAAACCCAGAAGTTGCCATCTCCGTCACAAGCAGTTTGCCAGGGAAAGTTTTTGGCTGGATCCAACGAACTCTGTGGCCTCCCCGCTTCTCTGAGCTCACAATCGGGCTTTTTGGGTTTAGGACCAGGCTTCGAAGAAAGGATGAAGCCATGTGCAGCTTCATTGGCCTAGTGGCCTAGTGGATCTTAACCGAATCTTAGTGACGTCATGCACTCTCTGCTGCTTGTAGCGCCCAAGCCCCAAGCCAAAAAACAAACTGCCAAACCATGCCAAACCAACATGGCTGTCGCCAAGTCTATGGCTGGCGGGGCACAGATGAAGAGTGCCAGTTCGACCAGCGGGCACAGGCCACTTGCATGGACTTAAAACGGTGTGGCTGAGGGTTTAAGGTGACAAAAATGAAAAACCGGGATACCCAAAGTACCATCATCCTTCCTATGGTAATATATTAACCTGACAGTAAAGGTTGCGCAGCGCTGGGGGGTTGTTCTCTGCATGTTCTGAGACCCAAGGTGTCCGACACTCTCAAGCCGAGCTTTGAAGTGAATGGAAATTGTCGAAGGAGAAGAAGAGTCTGCTCCCCCGCAAGATACGAAGACGTGCCTGCAATCGTGGAATCGATTCGCTATACCATCAGAGCCTCAGCAACAAGCCTTGGCATTCGCACAACGACTTGCAGCAGCAGAAAGTCGTGGAACTGCATTGCCCAGCTTCAGGTTTCAAGGCCAGAGTGATCGCGGACTACGCCAGTGGTTGGAACTGGCCTGGACATTATAGCAGCTCCGCCTGTGCACAGGCACGGGGCGGGGACCGCTGTCCTTGTAGACAATTTCATGCAGTTTCGTTCGTGTCAGCATCGACATACGCACGTGCAAAATCGATCATATGTATGTACTATATATATATATACACCTCGACATTCGCCAGCGAGCATGCTTCGGTCAGCGCACGTGCGCGAAGGGCAATTGGAATGACTCCGATTTGTGCTTTCAAATGACCATGACCGTGTCTGCTTTAGGCCTACACGATTGTAAAAGAAGAAGTAGGTGACGGAGAACCCAGGGTGTGCGGGGAGCACGCGCAATCCTAGCAAAAGTGAGCAATCGCCTGCGTTGTTTTTTATTTTTGCGGGGCTGATCACCTTGCCTTGCTTTCGCGGCCTCCTGTCCAGTTCACATGTTGTCCAGCGCTGGTTTACGGTTCCTGCGTGGACATGGTCAGAGCACAGAAAGAGCAAGCAAGCTCGGCCGATTCTTGAGTCACCGCAAAGGCTACACAGGTCAACAAGCCACTCTAGGCCCCAGGCGTGTCGCCGTAGCGTCTCTGAAGCCCAAAGCTCGAAAAGGCACTGTGAGGATAGCTATCACATGCTATCACTGCCACTTCCTTTTCTCGCAGATTTCGCAGGACCGCTGCCTTGTGAGCGTGAACTGCCCCTCTGACCACGTCATGGTCCGGTGCGAGGCGCCTAAGCAGAGCATAGCAGATAGCAGATGCTCTGAGCACGGCGTTGCTCTTGCCTTGCGCCTTTAACCATCAATAGGTCAATAGGTCACGTTAAGCAGAGAATGATAGAGAATGTGGGCATGGCATGGTTTGGGTTGAAGCACAATTTTTGCTGGACATGTGGTTTCCTTTTTTCGGTGACGTAGGTTGGAGTTAGCAATGTTTGAGAGGATTGCTTCGAGTCCTGTTGTTGTCGCAGCGGGCTCACAGGCTTTGTCACGAGATTTGTGCTGCCATACAGCCTGGACGGTCCGAAGTGGTGGTTCGGTGTAGTCGTCCGAGGACGAGATGAAAAAGACCGTGCGGATGAGACTCTGAATGTCCCGACGACACCGAATACACTAAGATCTGGATTTACCCCTGAGGTGGAGAGTTATCCCTAACAGACGAAATCCAAGTTTTGATCTTAAATGTCTTAGCATCTCCTAACTCAAGAGCATCCGGAGGCCGTTCCAACTTTCGGTGCTCTCACGGCATCGGGTGGTACGAAAGTGAGCGGAAGCAGCTGTCAGGCATTGTGCCTGTAGATCCCTGTTGGGCAGGGTTGGCTCTCATTGCAGGTTTCTACTTGGTTGGCCGCCTTTTTTTCTTGCACTGTGCATCGGTCATCGAAGCAGTTTCTCTGGGTTGAGAGCTTGTGTTCTCGGCGAACTTTGCATTGATTTCGTTCCCAGGCCGCTACTGACAGCCCTCAACCGTCCATGATCTCACGATCAGGCCACAGGCGGGAAGATCGGGGCGGACGTCAAGCAAGGCGCAGGCCCCAGCGGGCCGCGCTCATAGCAGATTGGCTTAAGGGCTTTAGGGGCTTCACGGGCTTTAGGGTTTTTTTTTGTCTGGTTCCAAAGCCAGGCATAATGCTCATTTCCTTTTCTTGGCTCTTAATCCTAGACGGGCACCCTGATTGGATTGCAGTGCGCCTCTAGCGAACGTAATCTGGCACCTGAGGAACCACCAAGGAAGGCAACAAAGAGAGCTGGACGGCGTGGGCAACTTGCCCTTCCGACCATGCTTCCTGTCCGGCACGAGGGGTTTCGGATCCCTGCACAGTTATGACGAAGTGTACTTCATCTGCAATACATGCTTGGGATGGACTCGGATGGACTGTCAGCCCAAAGCAGCCTGAACCCTTTTCAAACCTCCCAGGTTGCTGTCACCCCTGCGAGCTTGCATGCTGGCGTGACCTTCGGCGGCTACGATTCAGCATATTACCTCAGAAAAATGGGAGACACTCGACGCCGACATCCTTATTACACCAGGATATGCCCTGAAGGCCAGTTCTTGAAGACAATGAAGACGTGCGTTTCTCAGCTGCAATCCGAGAATCACCTAAGGACCTAGTCCTTTCTGGGGAGGCTTGATGTGACTTCGAGCCATGTTGGCGTATGTTGATGCAGCAAATCGCACAGCCACTAGTGATATTGTAATATTGGTTACTGAAGTGGAGCGTTGTCAGCAGGAGAGTTGCCTCAGCGTTTCTTCCAAAAAAACTGAGTCTGGTGGAAAGTGGGACTCGATGGAGTATGCTATTTGCACTACTGGCCATCGCTTGGACGGGCATGTCAAAGACGGTTGTGAGTTTCTTGTCAGCGCTCAATCAGCGTTACGGCGGTTTTGTCAAAATTCTGCTTCACCTCTTGCCGTGCCATAGCCATAGCTGCCATAGCTGGGATGGAAGGGCATCAGCTGCAATCCGAAGCATTCCGAAGCATTCCCAAAGCCCCCCCTTCAACTCCCTCCGAAACTCAGTTCAAGACGAAGACGACGGCGAGTTGAGGTGCCAGGATCCCAGGGAGAGGTCGACAGTTCGCAGTTTCCGTGAAGAGTCCATTATTTTAGGCATGTTAGGCGGAGAAGGTCATTTGGTAGAGTTGACTCAGGGCTGCTCGCGAGGCATGCCCACGTGCAGTACGACAACATCGCCGGCACAAGGAGGGTCACAGGAGCAGCAGCCGATATGCCGATACGCCTCCTTCTTCATGTGTTTTTTTCACGCGTTTTTCACTGACAAATTAAGCTGACAATGCGCGTATCCCCACAGGACAGGAGGGAGGGAATACCGACAAGGTCTGCTTTGAAGGTGGCAGCTGCCGAGGCGAAGCTGCGAGTCCGAACTCGATACCTAAACCACAATCTCTCAGGTGGTCTTTTCATGTCTTTTCAAGCATCAGCACCAGTTTAAGTCTAAGACATGTCGCAGCGTTCTGAAGTGGGTACTAGCATTCTTTCTCCGACCTCTTATTCGGGGGTCCTGTAGTGAGAGCGGGGCCGACGGTTTCGAAACGCGAGAAATCTTTGGCGGGGTGTACAATTTTGCAAGAACCATCGGCAGGCGGATGAAAACCTAAGCCCTGGTTGGGGTCTGGAGGAAGTGGGCCTCCTTGACCATCTGGAGGTCAATTGCTCCACCGCCAACACCGACACCGACCCCCCCCCCCCCCCACACACAGTTTAGGGCTTAGGCTTAGGGTTGGACAAGCCGCTCACCAAGATGCACCAGTGTTTTTTTCTGCTTTTGCTGCGTTTTCATCCATTAAAATTGCAGCTCAACATATCAAGAGGCAACACCAACTCGGACTACTACTCGGAGACCTGTGGTGACAGAGGTCTTCTTGCAGGCCAGGCAATTCTGGCAAGTTTGGCTGTGGCACCTTGTTCGCATGCGGTCTGAGCAGAAACCTTCCATCATCGCCGAATCATCGCATCATCCTGTTTTCGGGCAGCACGTGTACCTGCACAGGCTGGAGAGAATATGAACGGCGAAGGTCTGTTGCGTGGATATGCCGCGAAATCAAGCCTGTTGTGATGCTTTGTCTTAGTTTAAGAAACCTTTGTGGTCCTTTTTGGTGGCCACTTCAGCAAGATCACTTGCAGACACGTTAGGGAAAAGCCTGGTGCTTTGGTTGGCAGCCTTGCAAGCTTGAGTGCAGAGTCAGATGGCGACACCATGTGAGCTAATCAGGAAGAAATTTGAATGCTCCTCTAGCGGGTGCAGAGCTGAGTGCGCCTTATCTTCGACTTTAGGTTTTGCAATTGCTCATGCTTGGAACTTTGCAGGAATTGGTGGCGCCGAAAATTTTAGTTTCGGCTTGATGCCCAGGTCATGAGGGTTTTGCTAATTTAAGGGCTTTTGGTACCCTAAGTATAATACATGGAAGTCTTCAAGTTGTAGCTCATGTGCATATAGAGCCTGGAAGTCAAGCTGCTTACGTACTTCTAGTGCAGGTTTACATTCAAAAGAGACCTTTACGCCAACGGGGCCTGCTCGTGATGCTGGCCGATGCCGGATTCAGGTGAAAGGGCCCACAGCTGATGCTTATGATGCTGGCCCTGAGGCCGGTTTGAAGGGGAAGGGCCCGCAGCTGATGCTCGTGATGCTGGCCTTTGGGCCGGCTTTAAACAAAAGGGACTGCAGCCTTGAGGCGAGATTCAGGTGAAAGGGCCCACAGCTGATGCTCATGATGTTGGCCCTGAGGCCGGTTTCAAGGGGAAGGGCTCGCAATTGATGCTCGTGATGCTGGCCTTGAGGCCTGCTTTACGCCAAAGGGGCCCGCAGCTGATGCTCATGATGCTGGCCTTGGGGCCGGCTTTACAAATTATAATTTCCATACATGAGCTACTTGTGTCTTGCAAGATGCCCTAAACCCTGGCATCTGAGGCGCCAATGATAAGTGCCAGATCAAGCCCAACTGCATCAAAGCTCCATCTTCTCAAGTGACCGACGGCCCAGAGAAGACGTCTAACGCTGCAAATGCGTGGACCCCGTGGTCGGACCCAGGGCTGAATTAGTGCAACTTCGCTTTGGCTTTGGCTTTAAGGCTTTGGATGTTCAGGGAGTCTTACTCCGCCTGCCTAAGGAGTGCCCATCGGGCTACAAGGTGCAGAGGGTCACACGGGAGAGCCGGGCTTGCAAATCTCTTCCAAACGTAATTAAGGGGAGGGGGGCGGGGGGGACCGAAATGGACCTGGCACTGCGATTGTTCATTTTGTTGGGGGGGAGGGGAGATAGTGCTCTGCAAGGCTGCAAACTGAAAGCAACATAGCAAGAAGCTGCGATGCGGAGGCCGCGGGGCTTCGACGCATGGAACTCCTCTCAGACATAAGAGGAGGACGAAGCGTGGGTAAAAGCCACTTCCGCTGCAGTAAGCCGCAAAGCGCTCTTTTGTTGGCAGTTGGGTTGCAAAATTTGACAGTGCAAGGCCTGCATCAAATCGACTGCTCCAACACTGCGTGCCGGGCATTGAGCCAACGGGACAGGATTAAGATCAAGACAGCATGCATCCAACACGCTGAAGTGACGGAAGGGACACTTATCGACAAAGACCTTGGATCCGGGTATACCGCCAAGTCGACCTGTCCGAGCGGCTTCAATCCAATTGGGATCAGGCGCTTGGAGTCCACTGGCTTCAACGACGTTGTGCGACAGTGGTGCCTCGAAAGCTATTAAAGGCGTGCAGGGCGTTTTTCCTTTCAAGTTGATTGAGGTGATAGAAGCGGGGAGCGCGATCGGCAGCCTAAGGCAGTGCGATTCCTCCGGCTGCAGGGTGGAATGTAATGGATCAGGGAGGTGCAAAGTCCGTGCGATGTGTCTCTCAGCAATGACACGGGCACGCGCGATTTGTTCCACAAGCCATAAGAACCTGGTGGTGAAGAGCCTTGGAAGCCCAGTGGTGCTGCTTTGTCTTTTTTCGGTTGGGTCTCCTTGACACTAGCAACACCTGGAAAAGGGACCCTTATTTAAGATCGATACTGGGCTCCAAGAACCTCGACGGGCCCCGACTCGCGATCCGCTCCGAACTGTCCAGCAACGCACCAAAGTATAGCATGCCTTTGCCTCTCCGATAGCCGCCCGGCGGAGAGAGAGAGGGGGAGGAGGGGGAGAGGGAGAGGGAGAAGGAGAAGGAGAGGGAAGCAAGGAAGAGAGGACTCAGAAACAAAGAGAAACCTCTTTGAATGAAAGAGAATCCTCTTCCTTTTGCTTGAAGCTAAGATCTGCATTGTTTTGGCATGCGAAGGTTCCATGAGCCGTGAACTCTAAACCCCTATTAAGGTGGGAAATGTGCGAACTCCAATGGTGTGGCTGGCGACAGCAGCTGCACGGTTAACTTTGGAGCACGGCGCCGACGCCGACGCAGATCTCACACGCCAATGGAGACAGTCTCGCGGATTTGTGCACAAGGCAATGCCAAGCTCAAAGTGCTTCTTGGTCCGTTAAGGATTTAAGGCTTATAGGGTGTCGGACCCTGAGCCCACTGTTTTCATGGCTTCTGTTCTTTTCTGCTCTGATGGGCCTTCAAGAAGTTGGCTAAGGTCCTTGGGCACGGAATTTACTGAAATGCAGGACCGGGCACTTGGACTGCCCATTTGATGACCAGACGATCTCACTGGGATAGGCAGGATGCAGGTCTGAGCTGCGTTCCGGCACTGCATGGTTTAGGGTTTATGGGGTTTGGAGAGTAGGCCACCAGAAGCAAAAGAGGGCTTAGGGTGGAAATTTCCCGAGATTCGCCAACAGCTGCCCCCTTCCGTGCAGCCCCGCAACATGCTGAATAGTCGCCATTGTTTTTGAGTGGAGGCGTGTTGGGGCGTTTAGGATTAAAGATCGCGTTTGGGGCAAAATGGTGTGGAGGGCCCTGTCTTGCAGGATCTCAGGCATGACTTCACCACCAAGACGTTGCATCTCACGGCAAAGCAGTCGGGTATCGTGCGCCTGACATTTGAGGAGAGGTTCCGAATGAATGCCAGGGCCTTGGATTCGGAACCTGCTCTGGGCGTAAGGAAGAGGAAGCATGGGGCAGAACGGTTGGAACGTAACGACAAGGGGAATTTAAACAACGCTCCGCAAAGCACAGGGAAGGATTGAGCTTGACCATTGACTGCTGCATTTCCCGATGAAGATTGAGACGTGCCTTTGTCGGCAAAGTTGTCCGATCATTTTCTCAGAGAGCTCAGGCCAGGTTGCAATTCGAGGATGTCAGCATCACAGATTCCGAATCTGATGCGAGCAAGCAGAGCTTGATGATCGATCCAAGCAACGCGCCTTGCCGTAGCCATGCGGTTTGACAGTCACAGTCCCAAAAACACAGTCCCACCATCCCTAGACCATAAGTAAACACCCCAAACCCTCAGCCCCTTTCCCCAACAATTCGTGGAATCCTCCAGCTTAGAAGCTTAGGTGTGTTCAGGATCGAGGTGGGAGATCGAGATGCCGGCCACCGATGCCGGAGCTTTTGGCGAGCAGAGGGTCACAGAACAGCTCAAGGGAACTAAGGGAACTGTATTTTCCTGAGATGCGCTGCTAAGGAACGCCTTACCAGGTCACGATTACATACGGAGACAGCCGACGAGCAGTCGACACTTCAACGTGCATGCCACTTCTATGCACATGTTGGAGACCCTTGCGCTTGTCATCGCCCTAGACTGGCCCAGACTCCCTAAACTCCCTAAACTCGGTTTCTTGTCCAGCAGACAGTTGCAAGGATCGGGACGGAGGGGCGCATGAAGGATGCATCTCACCCGGACGGGACCATTGCGAAAAATCAGTTTGTGACAGTGGCGAAGCCCGTCATCATCTACGGCAGCAACGGCCTCTCAGCTCTGTCGACAATGACATGTACTGTGCAGAAAGTGATGCGCCAGGCACCATGAGCTACCTTCAATGATCTGCATCTGCAGGCAAAGGGAAGCTGGCATTTTCGGGGGAGCTTTCGGCGGGCTGCTCGGGAGTCAACAAGCAACTTGGCTGCGTCGCAGGCCAAGCAAAGGTGTAGATTATACAGGTCTATATTAGTATACAAGTCAGAAAATAGAAGTAGCAATAGTACAATGGTATACAGTATACAGCAGTATAAAATGGTAGTATACTCGTGCGCATACATACACACACACATATATCGCACATAGCAGTACTATATAGGCGTTGACGATAAGTTGGGACCCCTGATCCCTACTAGGAACCTTTCAAAAAGGACCCAATCAGGAACTCCTAGTTTCGCAGCCGAAAAGCTCAAGGCCCTGCACATCCATGCGAACGTAGCGACGGCCTAGAAGTCTTTTCTGCTATAGCGACAACAAAGTCGGACTGCGGTGCGGTTGAGTGCCAGCAAAACATGCAAGTCCTGCCCACCTAGGGTTCCTTGAAAAAGCCACCAGGCGCCTTTCACTCTGCCTATCACCCACATCGCGCCGCTCTGTTTCTGCATACCTGTTTTAGGGCGCACTCGATCCTACTCTCAAAACCCGATCGCTAAAGCTTGTCTCGGTGGAAAGGCGGTCAACTCTTTGTTTGAGCAGGGTCGGCAAAGAGACAAGAGACTGGGCAGCCACAACAAGTGGCCGTGGATGTGGCTCTCTCTCACCCACAGGTTATCTCGGGAACGTTTTGTGGTGGTGGAGGTGGGGAGGGTATGGCGGGTACGCGCTCGGCCATTTGAAGCCTTTCTGCTCGGTGCGGACTGGCAAACTTTGGTAAACCTACCTGAACAAACCCTTTAAACACTCCCGTACTCCAAGCACTGCGACTATGATCATGACCAATGCCACATGCACCCAAGTATCATCAGGAATACTGGAGGTTTTGCACCTGCAGTGAGGATGCCAGCACAACTATGGCTTGTCCGAAAAAGGAACCTGATGCTCAAGCCAACCCCAAACCATGTTAACCGCATACGCGCCCCAAGACATCCCATGACCGGTCCTACTCTGATGCAAGCGCTCACGCAAAGCTTACGCTGCACCGCGCTTCGAATCTGGCCGATAGTCTTGGCCGGCCCCTGTCTCAACGGGGAGTTGCATCTGGGCATCCTGGGCATCCTGCTCCTTCCCCGAAACCTCGTTCTCCGTCGCAGCGCACTCCGAGCCCCTCCTGACGACCTTGCGCATAGCCCCTATTGTGCAGCCCTGAAGCGAAGAAGAGCCACGAAATATCATGGCATGTCAAACATGTTGGCACCTGGAGGAGGGTTCCGGGATTTGAAACCCCATTGTTTGGGTATCTGAAACAACAAGAACCCCATATGTACGTCAGGATCAGCATCTCCAAGCAGGACTCCGTGTTCTGGTCTACGTGCGACACGGCCTTCAGCAAGGCCTGGAGCCTGGATGCCTCCAGGTGCCTTTGAGGGTTAAGGGTTCGGGGATGTTCAGGGGTTAGGGGCCCCTTAGTGGCACACCGGGTTTGACGATGCTTGGGGTTTAGGATGCTGCGGATTTAGGGCTGTACGTAGGGTCTCCCCGTTATGATGAAATGTCGCCCGCGCGAAGATTTTGCCTCGACAGGCTGAGCTAACTAAGGCAGGCGCCGGGCAACGTCCAGCTTGTCTACCGAGATCGGCAAGCGGCCGCATGCGTCGACCCGATGACCGGCAAAATGGAGGACTGCGCGCTGGAGACGGATGTGGACGCCTTGCTGAGATTAGGGTTTTAGGGGTTGACGGGTTGACGGCAAGCAATTAAAACCTAAACCAGGATTGGCAACCCACCAGGATGACAGCTTTCATGTTCGTTGCTCCCGGAACACTTTGGCGCAACAGAGATGAGTACCTGGTTACCCGGTTGCCTGTGCTCCAGCCAAGGGTATCTGACTCCGAACCGGAACCCAAGATCTCAAACCCTCCCAGCAGCCGCACATGCTAAAATGCTGGAATTGTAACAAGAGGAGAAGCAGCCCTGACAACCCTTAAAAGCGCCCAGAAGATCGGAGAAGTGCCATGAGTTCTGGCGATGCGCAGATTCCAAGGAAGCGCACACGAAACAAGTCTTCTCCTTGGACTACCTGGCACCTCTTGCCGCGCGGTGGACCCACCTGGCCTCCGGACAGAATGTGCCTTTTGGCTTCGCAAAGTGCAAACGACCACAGAGAATGGCAGCTTGCTGTCAGTCGACAAAGTGCAGTGAATGACAAAACGTGGCTTGAAAGCCAGGAGTCCAGGAGCGCTGCGCTGATGTAGATATCCTACTTACCTACTTTCTTATGCCAGTCCCTGAGCGATGCTTTACGTGGCTCCGAGGCAGCCTGGAGCCTGTGTTCGAGCTCAAAACAGGCTGAAAGTGGCTTTTGCTGCCATACCGGTCACTTATGCTTCCTTTTTGCATGGGCAGGGCCCTCGTGATGCAGCGTCGCAGGTACCTGCCATACCTCAAAGTCGACCAGCCCCTTGTGTCCTGTGCAGAGGGGCAGGCACCTTTGCGGGCCATGCTTTGCCAACACATCTCGAGGGTCGTCTTCAAAAGGACGTCACCACTTGCGCATGATTTCGTGAGTCGAGGTTGAGCGTGTTGCGCTCCACAAGCGGCATCTCGGGTTTGATGCATCTCGGGTTTGATGCACTTTGATACATCCGCCGTCGTTCGCCAACGTGGAATCTTCCGTCCGTTTACAGGAAGTAGGGGCCCTCCGTTTCTGCCCGCACATTTTCCGATAGGTGCTGAGCTCCTTCTCCTTCCGACAAGATAGCTCTTGCAACGGCGCTGACTACTTCCGACCCCTGGCAGATTTTAACAGAGTTATAAAGTTATAGAAGCTTCATGAAGCTTCATTTCGCACTTTTTGGGGGGCAAGTTGAACTTAGCTGCTCCCCCCCCGCCTGCCCTCCCGCCCCCCTGTAGGCTATTTCTACAGTTGCACAACCATTGTGCCGGTGAAGGGTACCTCAATGTGCACCCCGTGTCTTGGCTTGATTTGCGAAACAGATATGCACGACGATGAAAGCAACTTCACCATATGTGCTGTACTGTCGGCAGCTTGTTGTATCTCACGCGCATGCTTTGGTCTGGGTTCTTGTTGTAAGCAACGTACATGAATTTACCAGAATGTGGGAGCTTGTTGCTATAGCCCTGTAAAGCCATATTATGGTAGCTTAATTTGCGTCCCTTACAAGAACCCAGGATTTCGTGAATTTCTTGCATCCCAGGAAGACGACGCGCTGCGTCGCCCACAGCGGCAGTCATCCGCACCTTTGGGAATTGGACAGGCCAGGAACATTATGCGTTGTGAGCGAGTAGTTACAGGCATACAATTTTCAAAAACGTTTTTTCTCTCTCTCTCTCTCTCTCTTGAAATCTTGACTTTCACGTAACCATATGAACTCTCCAAGAAGACACCATATATTGTCCAAAGGTCATGGATCCCCACCCCCCGCCAAAAAAGTGATGCAACAATTCGGCGGCCGCGAGAATTGTCAGAGCCACGCGCTGGCCCCTTTTGACGCGACCTATTGTTGTTATATCGGCATCAACCACACAAAGTCAGGCAAACCTGCCCGATGATACTCAAGTGGTACGTGGTTGGTTGCTCATGTGTCATGATCTATGGAAGGTTGGGGACACCAGTAGAGCGAGAAGTGTGGTGAGTGCATTGCGTGCTTGTGCGTCTGGTGGAATGGATGCTGATGCTTGTGAAAGGCACGATGTGGGATCACAATGCGGAGCACTTTGGCGAGAAAGTCACGATGTGAAGCATCTCATGGTGAAAGCACATGTTCTGTCCACGTATCACATGGCGAAACGCTTTGGGCTTTGGCTGTGCAACGTGTTCCTGCGTGCTTGCAGAGGGTTTTTGGCTGTGTAGGCTGTGTAGGCTGTGTAGGCTGTGTAGGATGTTTAACTATGTAGGCTGTGTAGGCTGAAGGAGCGCCGCACCCCATAGACGGCTCCCCAATCGAACAACCCGCCGTTCTTGAAGCACAGCGAAGGCTGGAACGTTGTTGACAAAGTTCGAGTACAAGAGCTGCAATGGGGACGATGGCATCTCGTCTTCATGTGAAGAGGGAAAAGAAAGCGTCATTGAGTGCAATCGTCCTAGCCGCTGTGCTCGGTCAATAACTGTTCATTGGCGGCTGTCGTTCTTGCATTGCTTGTCTGCATCCGAAAGCAATTTCGTCGTGGAGCGATCACCATTCACAGAACTTTCGCAGGTGCTGGCTACCAGTATGCATACACGTGCTGTCCAGCGCAAGGCGCCGGGCCCATCTTGCACAACAGAGACATTCCCTGTGTCATGTCCTGAATTGCAGAGTGCTTGCCGAGGTTTGGGCGAATGCTCCGAAGCGACAACAGAATGGGGAGAGGCCATCCTTTGCCCCACAAGCCACGAGGTCTCCTGCTATCTCCAAAGCTCTCTTTGGGTGTTCTCCATGGCTCTTCTAGTCTTGGGCCATGGTGGTTTGCTTGCTTGAGTTTGCTTGGTCTTGCTCTCTCCGCTCTTGTCTCCCTTCCATTTCCCGTTCCCATATCTTTCCTATTTCCCTGTACGGCACTTCTTGCCACTCCTCTCTCGACTCTCCTTTCCCTCTCCTCTCTTTCAGTATTCCCCTTATCGAAAAAGAATGCGCAGGTTGGCCAGAAAAGCGACCTTGCGGCCTTGACGCACCACCGGCCCCAGTGCCCTCGAGACCTTTGACCAAAAATTATTCCGCAAAAATCCTGCAGCCAAACGCATATCACAAAAACGGCCCAAACCTGTTAAACTCACACGAAAGGTGACAGCCACGGCTGCGTAGTAACGTGGTCTCCGAGGACAGCGGTTTGCAGCGCTTCCTCCTGGAGTCCAAAGTTCCGGAGGTTGCTCAAGGTGCCACTCTCCAAGGCGAGGTGAGGTGCCGGGTCCGCACTGCGCCGTCCGCTTCTCCCTCAAGACTTGCTGACGACCTTTTGTGCTGTCTGTGTTCCCCTGTTTTTGCAGACCGAGCCGTTCCTGAGGTACACCTTTGTCTGCTGCATGTTGCCTGTGGCACCGCCTGTCAGTGTCAAGACGGGGCCATTGGATGCAGGCATTGCGTGGGAAGGCACACAGCTGGGGAACCAAGTGGAACGAGAGATTCTAGTTTGCGCAAGGCCTTTGGTTCAGCCTTGCGAAAGGTTTCTTTTAATGTTCAGCTCTGCTGCATCTCCAGGCACGTATTGTCCAGCAGGACGTAGCGAAGGTCGGGCCACCCTCATGCGAGGAAAGGCTTCGGCACCTTATTTCACTAAGAGAGACTTGACAAGAACAGACATTTCAGATTGCAAGGGCTCGAAGTCAGGCACATTGCCCGACGATGTTTTGGCACAGTAGGTGAGCCATCACACTTGTGCAAGCCCCAGGAGAGGGGGTGTCATGCGGCTATCACGTGGACAATCTGGCCAAGATTGTGGATGGCGGGGCATACTTGCCCAGCATCAGGTGGGTGAAATCTTGTCTTTGTCTGAAAGCGGGGCACCACGTGTGCCGTTGCGCTTCCCTTCAATGCGCATCAGGGCGAATGCCCTGAGCACTTGTGGCCCAATCTGTGATGCGGCGCCCAGCTGCGATGGCTTCATTTGGACTGCGGCAATGAGTTTGGCGCTACTCGTAGCAACACTCGTCAATATGGTCAGGGAGTGAACTGGCTGTGTTCTTGCAGGACTGATGGGATCTGCGGCTTCCGCTTGGACACGTCAATCCATGTCATTGGGATCGCAGGGCAGCACAAGCATGGTGTCCGTGACCGTGTCAACTCGGCAGCTGTGGCCAGTTTGAAGTGGCTGCGTCCAGGTGGCCTCCAATTCTGGTGCCGACTGCTACAGCAAGGTGCCGGAGTCAAAAGCACCGTGGCTGGAACGGGACACAGCGTGAGCTGAGGAAGTTGTTTCCCATCATTCGGCATGCAATGTTTAAATGCAATTACCTGAGCTGTTCATGTCACGGCCTAATGTGACAACAGTGACAGTCATTCTTGAAGCTGGCATCCTTGAGTTACATGCTTGTTACATGCTAAAGCACAACGAAGTCAAAAGTCAGCAGCCGTCGATGCCTTGAACTCGTCCAGGCCATGAAAATCAAGTTCGATCGTCTTGCCGGCCATTGGTGCATGATTTCCCACAGCGAGCAGTCCGTTTGCTACTTTGGTCAGCACAAGGTATGCATAACGCGATTCTCAAAATGAGTTCCAAGAAGCTGTGTAGGAGTAATCTTTGGATGTGACGTTGAGGTATCACTGCCGATGCATCGCATCCACTTCTACTACCTCCAGGAGGCGAAGGCAGTGTCGACTACTCCCCGGTCCCTGTGAAGCAGATGATCGAAGTTTGCCCAGTTTCTGCTGCGAGCATATTTTCATGGAGCCGCACGTAAGATGCCACCTAGGTCCTGCCCATGGACACAGAGTTTGAGGGCAATGGGGCTGTGGAAGTGGCGCGCGACTCTATGGCTCAGAGCCTCCTAGGACTGAGATGGACTGAGCACCACGCACTCATTTGCACTCACGGCTCATCGAACCGAAAATGCTGCGGAGTGAGATCTGTTGTTGTCTTTTTCTAAGTATGCGCCACCCTGAGAAGTATTCCCCTAGGCCCGGGAGGTTTCCTGCAAGTCAATCAGATAGCTTGCAGTTGACATCGATTTGGATGCCGCATAAACCGCCTTCGTAAGACCGGAGATGATGGCAAACTGCAGGGTGGGTTTTCCTTGAACACTGGAAAACTCTAAACCCCAAACCCCCCAATTGCAGGAACATCGAATTCTGCAATTAGTGGAGCTGGGACCAACGGCGGCTTGGGAAACAAGAAGTTCAAGAGACTCGCCTACAGCACGGGCTTGGGAGGGCTGGTGGGTGATTGGGGGGTTTAGGACTGGTTTAGGCATGGCAGGGTTGCTAGAGGGCCTTTGGACCCTTTGGAGTCGGGCTGATGTTCACACATGTGCCCAGGAAATTGCCAAAGATCCCAGCTGCCAAGTTCAACATGGCAAAGTTCCAGTTGCTGCAAGAATTGGGAAGCGGACTTTGTTGGGTTGGAGGCTGTTGTCAATGAGCATGTCGCGACATCGGCCGCCTCAGGCTGCGTTTGTGAGGGGGATGGGTTGGATGTCTCAATGTAGAATCATGCAGAAGCCCAAAATAACTGCATTCGCTGCCGACAGGGCTGGCTTGGATTATGATTTTTCGTTGCACACCTCTTGTGCCTGGTCTCATCCGCCGGGATGTAGTTCTGTCAAAGCCTTCCGTGCAGGAAGATATCATACATGAGCAGAAGCTTTAGAAACCCACTGCGCCGAGACGTGCCGAGACCCTCATAGAAGAATCATTGGGCGGCGCAACCTAAACCCGAAGCCCCTCCTATTCTCGCCTCAAAGGTTCGAGATGGCGGAGTTCAAGCCATTCGAAGGTGAGCGCCAAGAGCTTCAGCAGCGTGGGGTCACCGAAGCGGCTTCTTGGCTAAGGGTTTAGGGCCTAGGGGTTATAGGGTTTTTAGGGTTTAGGTTTCGGGTTGTTGGCTGAAGGCCATAGTATTCAGATATGCCAACCCCAAGGCCGCCCCAACACCACTTCAAACGAAACAAACCAGACCTCAAGCTAGACGACCAGGGACGAAGGCTTCAAGTTCAGGGTTTAGGGGTTTAGGGTGTTAAGGCTTTAGGGCTTCGGGTTTTCAAGGTTTTGTGTTTTTTGCTAGGGTTTTTAAGGGTTTGTTTAGGGTTTTGGGGCTTAGGGTTTGTGGGGTATGGTTTAAGATTTGCATCAGGGTTTTTAATGTCGGGGTGGGGGGGGGGGGGGGGGGGGTGAGGAGGGGATGTCTCGGGGGAGGGGGGGGGGGGGGGGGGGGGAATGTCGACACGGCGACACTGAACCACACACAAAAAGATAGATAGATATATATATATATATAAATACACACACACATGTAAATATATATATATATGTATTTATTTATATATATATATATATCTCTCTCTCTCTCTCTCTATCCAATGGACCCTCCTCCCCCCCCCCCCGCCTCCCTATCCTGGTGTGGTGTGGGGCTTGGGTTTGGGGGGTTAGGTTTAGGTTTATAGCGCTTAGGGTTAGGGTCGAGGGCCAACGGTTGGGGGTTCGGGGGAGGGGGGGGGGGGGGGGGGGGGGGGGGGGGGACCGGCGAACCGCAAACATATATATACATACATATATATATATATATATATGTGTGCGTGTGTGTGTGTGTGTGCTCAAAGAGCGAAAGAATGTTGGAAGAGTATTCTATCGGACCAACTGAGCCATCGACCTGACACACCTCCACGCTAGCCGAGACAGTCTGAGTGCGGTGGAGCATTGGAAGCAAAAGACGTGGGAGAGTGTCTGCAGAACTTAACCCAAGTGAGTGGACATAATGCAATCGTTGATTAATCCTGTGCCTCGCGCAAGAACACTACTGGTACCCACAATCATCACATACAAGGCCACTTGGGCTTTGGCACTGCGGCTCAGGTGCTGAATTGGAGCCCTGAGCCGATTGTGCCTCTCGGCATCCTTCATAAGGTGCACCGTAAGGTGTGGTGTAGGGTCTTGGAGGACAAGCACCCTTTGATGTATTGCTTGGTGGCATGCAGAGCGAGCCCACGAACAAGTACAAACAGGAAAAACCTATGCAAAATTCACCACACGCAATTTGCTGTTCTCATCGGAAGACCCCCCGCCCCCCTTGTCTTGGTCAAGTGAAAGGTATGCTCCTCACTGCTTGGCCCGAGAGAGCCGTGAAATGATCACTGGCGCTGAGCCTGTCGAGGGAGACCACTACCTCACAGTCGAGGTCATTTGCCAAGCAAGTAATTGGTGAAGATTGAACCCATACCTACACGAGCATCTGCAAAGGCCAAAGGCCAAGTCCTTGGATGCCCGGAAACAAGTCAACCGCAATCCAAGAACACGTGACTGTGTTGTGGGGCACCACGAAGGGATTTGTGCTAGAGATGATAGATGGAACGTGATACAGCTAGCTGCAGCTAGCTGAAAACCCCTTAAAGCGCCTCCTTGTTTTTTCTGGAGGGATTGGGTCGGAGAGCCGCAGGAAAGGCAGAAGGACGTCGTCGGTGCATGCTACCATGCCCTGGGCGCAGATTCCAGCGGGGCGGCGGCTGTGGAGACGTGGGGGGAAGAGGGCACTCCAGGCATCGAAGGGTCCCATAGCTCGGGCCATACGGAAGGTAGCAGCAACTGTGTGCGGCGCTGCGTCTTTCTGAGTTCCCTACTTCAACCTCGATCATCAACAGCTGTTCTTGTGTAACATCTTGTGACCTTGGCCCCCTAAGCATGAACCCATACGAAATATGAGCTGAAACGACTTGTCCCCCATATTGACACCTTTTTCCCCTGCAGGGAAGAAGAACACTGACTGGCAAGAGCCCTACTTTGCCGCCAATCCGACTTTCCCCGGCCTCACCGCCGATGCGGTCTGGGACTGCAGCACGCGCGACATCAACCGTGGATACAAGTTGGCCATGTGGGACCGGAAAGAGGGAGCATAGGAACGTTTAGGAGTTTAGGGTTGGGGCTTGATCTCTACCCTTGTCCCCCGTTTGGGGGGATAGGTTCCTTTTTTGAGTTGTCGATGCTGAACAACAAGAAACCCTTTTTGTTCACCAAGTACTGGGGATCGCATGGGGGTTTGGGGCAGCAGGTCTTGGAGGTGGTGAGTACTGGTGAGTACATGCCAGCTAGGGCAGGCACTTGACGGCAACTTGCGCACATCCGCATAGGTTTAGGGTTCATGGTATTTCCCCAAATCAAGGTACCCGTCATGTCAATGTCTCCCCAAATGTGCGTTACACCTTGTGCCCCCTATAACAATTGTTGATGGAGGTCCTACCCCCCTACTGGCTTTGGACTAACGCAAGTGATCATGGCAAGTGTATACTGTGAACCCGTCTTGTGGGAACCTTATTTGAGTGCCTGAGCAATCACTGTTGTGTGTTTCGAAGACATGTACTCTGAACCCATCTTGTAGAAACTTGGTTCTTCAGTTCCTGAACAAGTGCCCCCCCCCCCTATTTGTGGTCGCATCATGTCGCGCCAGGACCGTGAAGCTGATTTTGCAAGCAGCACCATCGAGGCAAGATTGGGGCTTCCAGGGTCTTCAGGGGCTTTATAGCGGTTGGGGGTCTGAGAGGGGCGTTTAGCGAGCCTCAGGACTTTTCTGAGCCAGTTGTCACAAAAGCTTGCCAACAACTTCCTGGAACAGTGGCGCTGGCTGGTGCCATTGCCGCTTATGCAGGGACGGACATGGATGCTGGAGACATGTGTGCTGCCGTAGCCAGTGCAGTATCAGCGGGCTCCCTTTTCGCCATTGCCCAGACGCAGTATTACAGGGCGCTGAGGTACGACGAAAGCGATTTCCAAGATTGCAACCCCCTGCAGAACACAATGGCCAAGGTTTACTGCGACCTGTCCTGCGTTGAGGATGCAGTCAAACGAGGCGACCAGAAAATCCTTACCTCCATTGGCACATTGAACAGAAACATCCTCTCGGAGATGAAGGAGTTCTTCCACCATTATGTCACCGAAATCTTTACCCGGTTGACACACATGGAAGACAAGTCCTCGCATGAGAGTCAGCAGCTGAAGTCTGTCATGGACACCTATGCTCAAGCTGATGTTGATGCAGCAACTTGGTCGTAACAGAAGTCAACCTGCCGAGCAGCACTGCACAGTGTTTCAGCAGCACTCGCCCGAGATGTTTAGGCATCCTTGACACCATCCAGGTCAATTCCAATGGAAAGCAGATCATCAAAGCCATGAATTCGCAGCACAGCGCGCTCAACAAGAATCTTGGCATTGCTGCCAAGCAGATCTTTGACCTCACGCACGAGGACGCATGGAGAAGGGATCGATCGCTTGAGCCGCGCCTTAAACGCGGAAGTTTAAATGCAAACCCTAAACCCGAAAACCCGGCAAAAAAGCACCATCTTCCTGCAGGAGCACAAAGTCCTCGCCTCGAAGATGGAGCCTTGGACAACTCTACACTCTTGCACTTAGGTCCGTAACAGGCACCCTTAGATGTGGACCCGAAGGGAGTGTTTAGAGAACAGCCTCAACCCTGAAAGCTGGCCGTACACACGACCCTATAAGAGCTACTCTTGACACCCTGTGTCCTGGGAATCTTCGAGTTTCGTGAAAATCTGATGACACCGTGTGGCCTACTGTTTTCGAGAATAGGGGGCGTTGTGCCTTCCCCCCGCCATGCTATCCGATCCTGAGCTCTGAACCCGGCTCGTGCATCTCTCCATGCGTGCATTCAAAAGATTTCAAAAGTATGCACACACACACATAGACGAACAGTAGAGGGCTTTATTCTTTAAATAAGCATATATATATATATATCTATCTATCTATCTATCTATCTATATACACACACCTTCCTTGCATCCTTGCATGCGTGCACGATGATGCGTAACATCGTGTTCTTGTACTTGGTAGCTTGTGTTGGGCCGTGTGGCCATTTCAGCTGAGGATGCACATTTGGCTTCGACGTCGGATGCCATTGACAAACTGACGCTGGAATGAACTAACACTGGCTGGTGCACATGTTTAGTTAGGCTTGTCGTCCGGTGACCGGGAAAACCAAATTTGTTTAAGCTTTTGCGGGGCATCGGCGGGATGACACAGGACGGGGAGCGTCGGGCATGGGACGGGGACAGGAATTTGGAGATGTCGCCGAATTGATTGCTGTGTACGGGCCAGGGCCAGAGCACGGCACTTAGGTGGGAAGGTGTTATGAGTGTTATAGCAATTGGCTCGACACCAACGATGCTTTGCTGTGTGTGCATCCTTCGTCGTGCCTTTTCGTACTAGCAGTAGACAGAAAGGGCACATTGACCAGGCGCGTGACGAGATGTTATCCAATTCACCTCCCGCTGTGGCCAGACCTCTTATAAACCCACCCCGAACAAACCGAAACCGCCTGTCTGAAGATTCACCGCGGGAGTTGGTTCCCCCTCCCCAAACCCTAAAATTCAGAGCATCGCGTATATGGGCCTGACTGCACGAGCTGGGGGCAGCCAAAATCGCCAAAGTCCGAACCCTCAGATAAACTCAGAGAAATCAAGATCTCCCAACCCAAGATCCTCTCTAAACACTACCAGACCCTGAGCCTTCAGCCTCCAGAATCAACATCCACGCTTGAGGGGTGGTTGTTGGCCCAACATCAACATCCACGCTTGAGGGGCGGATGCTGAGCCAACATCCACGCTTGACTGGTGCTTGACAGGTGGATGTTGGGCCAACATCCACGCTTGAGGGGTGGATGTTGGGCCAACATCCACGCTTGAGGGGTGAATGTTGGGCCGACATCCACGCTTGAGGGTGGATGTTGGGCCAACATCCACGCTTGAGGGGTGGATGTTGGGCCAACATCCACGCTTGAGGGGTGGATGTTGGGCCGACATCCACGCTTGAGGGTGGATGTTGGGCCAACATCCACGCTTGAGGGGTGGATGTTGGGCCAACATCCACGCTTGAGGGGTGGATGTTGGGCCGACATCCACGCTTGAGGGTGGATGTTGGGCCAACATCCACGCTTGAGGGGTGGATGTTGGGCCAACATCCACGCTTGAGGGGTGGATGTTGTGCCAACATCCACGCTTGAGGGTGGATGTTGGGCCAACATCCACTTGAAGGGTGGATGTTGGGCCAACATCCACGCTTGAGGGGTGGATGTTGGGCCGACATCCACGCTTGAGGGTGGATGTTGGGCCAACATCCACGCTTGAGGGGTGGATGTTGGGCCAACATCCACGCTTGAGGGGTGGATGTTGGGCCAACATCCACGCTTGAGGGTGGATGTTGGGCCAACATCCACGCTTGAGGGGTGGATGTTGGGCCAACATCCACGCTTGAGGGGTGGATGTTGGGCCGACATCCACGCTTGAGGGTGGATGTTGGGCCAACATCCACGCTTGAGGGGTGGATGTTGGGCCAACATCCACGCTTGAGGGGTGGATGTTGGGCCAACATCCACGCTTGAGGGGTGGATGTTGGGCCAACATCCACGCTTGAGGGGTGGATGTTGGGCCAACATCCACGTTCGCGGGGTGGATATTGGGCCAACATCCACGTTTGCGGGGTGGATGTTGGGCCAACATCCACGCTTGCGGGGTGGATGTTGGGCCAACATCCACGCCTGCGGGCTTGAGGGGTGGATGTTGGACCAACATCCATGCTTGAGGGGTGGATGTTTGGCCAACATCCACGTTTGCGGGGTAGATGTTGGGCCAACATCCGCGCTTGCAGGGTGGATGTTGGGCCAACATCCGCGCTTGCAGGGTGGATGTTGGGCCAAGATCCGCGCTTGCGGGGTGGATGTTGGGCCAACACCCACGCTTGCGGGGTGGATGTTGGGCCAACATCCACGCTTGCGGGGTGGATGTTGGGCCAACATCCACGCTTGAGGGGTGGATGTTGGGCCAACATCCACGTTTGAGGGGTGGATGTTGGGCCAACATCCACGCTTGAGGAGTGGATGTTGGGCCAACATCCACGCTTGAGGGGTGGATGTTGGGCCAACATCCGCGCTCGAGGGGTGGACGCTTGCAGGGTGGATGTTGGGCCAACATCCACGCTTGAGGGGTGGATGTTGGACCAACGTCCACGCTTGAGGGGTGGATGTTGGGCCAACATCCACGCTTGAGGGGTGGATGTTGGGCCAACATCCACGCTCGAGGGGTGGATGTTGGGCCAACATCCACGCTTGAGGGGTGGATGTTGGGCCAACATCCACGCTTGAGGGGTGGATGTTGGGCCAACATCCACGCTTGAGGAGTGGATGTTGGGCCAACATCCACGCTTGAGGGGTGGATGTTGGTGGATGTTGGGCAACATCCACGCATCCACGCGACGCTTGCAGGGTGGATGTTGGGCCAACATCCACGCTTGAGGGGTGGATGTTGGACCAACGTCCACGCTTGAGGGGTGGATGTTGGGCCAACATCCACGCTTGAGGGGTGGATGTTGGGCCAACATCCACGCTCGAGGGGTGGATGTTGGGCCAACATCCACGCTTGAGGGGTGGATGTTGGGCCAACATCCACGCTTGAGGGGTGGATGTTGGGCCAACATCCACGCTTGAGGGGTGGATGTTGGGCCAACATCCACGCTTGAGGGGTGGATGTTGGGCCAACATCCACGCTTGAGGGGGGATGCTGAGCCAACATCCAAGCTTGACGGGTGCTTGAAAGGTGGATGTTGGGCCAACATCCACGCTTGAGGGGTGGATGTTGGGCCAACATCCACGCTTGAGGGGTGGATGTTGGGCCAACATCCACGCTTGAGGGGTGGATGTTGGGCCAACATCCACGCTTGAGGGGTGGATGTTGGGCCAACATCCACGCTTGAGGGGTGGATGTTGGGCCAACATCCACGCTTGAGGGGTGGATGTTGGGCCAACATCCACGCTTGAGGGGTGGATGTTGGGCCAACATCCACGCTTGAGGGGTGGATGTTGGGCCAACATCCACGCTTGAGGGGTGGATGTTGGGCCAACATCCACGCTTGAGGGGTGGATGCTGAGCCAACATCCAAGCTTGACGGGTGCTTGAAAGGTGGATGTTGGGCCAACATCCACGCTTGAGGGGTGGATGTTGGGCCAACATCCTCGCTTGAGGGGTGGATGTTGGGCCAACATCCACGCTTGAGGGGTGGATGTTGGGCCAACATCCACGCTTGAGGGGTGGATGTTGGGCCAACATCCACGCTTGAGGGGTGGATGTTGGGCCAACATCCACGCTTGAGGGGTGGATGTTGGGCCAACTTCCACGCTTGAGGGGTGGATGTTGGGCCAACATCCACGCTTGAGGGGTGGATGTTGGGCCAACATCCACGCTTGAGGGGTGGATGTTGGGCCAACATCCACGCTTCGGATGTTGGGCCAACATCCACGCTTGAGGGGTGGATGTTGGGCCAACGTCCACGCTTGAGGGGTGGATGCTGGGCCAACATCCACGCTTGAGGGGTGGATGTTGGGCCAACGTCCACGCTTGAGGGGTGGATGCTGGGCCAACATCCACGCTTGAGGGGTGGATGTTGGGCCAACATCCACGCTTGAGAGGTGGATGTTGGGCCAACGTCCACGCTTGAGGGGTGGATGTTGGGCCAACATCCATGCTTGAGGGGTGGATGTTGGGCCAACATCCACGCTTGAGGGGTGGATGCTGGGCCAACATCCACGTTTGAGGGGTGGATGCTTGGCCAGCATCCATGCTTGAGGGGTGGATGTTGGGCCAAAGGGGTGGATGTTGGGCCCAACATCCATGCTTGAGGGGTGGATGTTGGGCCAACATCCACGCTTGAGGTGTGGATGTTGGGCCAACATCCACGCTTGAGGGGTGGATGTTGGGCCAACATCCACGCTTGAGGGGTGGATGTTGGGCCAACATCCATGCTTGAGGGGTGGATGTTGGGCCAACATCCATGCTTGAGGGGTGGATGTTTTTCCAACATCCATGCTTGAGGGGCGGATGTTGGGCCAACATCCACGCTTGAGGGGTGGAGGTTGGGCCAACATCCCGGCTTGAGGGGTGGATGTTGGGCCAACATCCACGCTTGAGGGGTGGATGTTGGACCAACATCCATGCTTGAGGGGTGGATGTTGGCCAACATCCACGCTTGAGGGGTGGATGTTGGGCCAACATCCATGCTTCAGGGGTGGATGTTGGGCCAACATCCATCCTTGAGGGGTGGATGTTGGGCGGGTGGATGTTGGGCCAACATCCACACTTGACTTGGGCCAACATCCATGCTTGAGAGGTGGATGTTGGGCCAACATCCATCCTTGAGGGGTGGATGTTGGGCCAACATCCATGCTTGAGGGGTGGATGTTCGGCTAAAATCCATGCTTGAGGGGTGGATGTTGGGGCAACATCCATCCGTGAGAGGGTGGATGTTGGGCCAACATCCACGCTTGAGGGGTGGATGTTGGGCAAACATCCACGCTTGAGGGGTATGTTGGGCCAACATCCATGCTTGAGGGGTGGATGTTGGGCCAACATCCATGCTTGAGGGGTGGATGTTGGGACAACATCCATCCGTGAGAGCGTGGATGTTGGGCCAACATCCATGCTTGTGGATGTTGGACCAACATCCATGCTTCAAGCGTGGATGTTGGGCCAACATCCATCCTTGAGGGGCGGATGTTGGGCCAACATCCATCCTTGAGGGGTGGATCTTGGGCCAACATCCATGCTTGAGGGGTGGATGTTAGGCCAACATCCACGCTTGAGGGGTGGATGTTGGACCAACGTCCACGCTTGACGGGTGGATGTTGGGCCAACATCCATGCTTAAGGGGCGGATGTTGGGCCAACATCCACACTTGACTTGGGCCAACATCCATGCTTGAGGGGTGGATGTTGGGCCAAAATCGGGTGGATGTTGGGCCAACATCCATGCTTGAGGGGTGGATGTTGGGCCAACATCCATGCTTGAGGGGTGGATGTTGGGCCAACGTCCACGCTTGATTTGGGCCAACATCCACGCTTGAGGGGCGGATGATGCTCCAACATCGACGCTTGAGGGGTGGATGTTTGGCAACGGCCGAAGCCACCCGCGTGAAGTGACACAAAGGAGGCAAGCAGAGACGAGCAGGCCGGGGATCCGGCCGAGGCTACCGGAGACAACGGGAGAGACAAGCAGCCGGGGACCCGTCCGAGGCCACCCACATGAAGGTAGACAAAGGGAGACACATGGAGACATGCAACCCAGGGACCCGGCCAAAGCATTCGGTTAGGTCGGAGTTCCTAGAAAGGAACACGAACCCCTACAGTAAACTGTTCGGGGAGCATCGAGGTTTCCTAGTAAAGACAAAGCAAATTGATTTTGCTTGTAGTATTATCTACATAACCAGAGAGAGACAGAGAGAGAGAGAGAGAGAGTGGGGGTACAAACAAACTGACCATCGGACGATGCGCGCCCCTGAGGCGGCTAACCTTCGGAGGGGCTATGCGTGCAGAGAGAGAGAGAGAGAGAGAGCAAAGAGTTTCCGATTAAAGCGTGGAGGAAAAGAGTTTTCCTGTCAAATCATAGAGCAAAAACAGTTTTTCCATGAATATATAACGAAAACGGTTTTCCTAGTCAAGCCTAGAGAGATGGGACCTGAAGAAGTGACATGTTTCCACCCGGAAGGCCCTGCGCAGAGGATTCAGGATGTTCGCGCAAAGGCCAGGAACGAGTGGCAGATTGCGAGGAAGCCGAGTAATCGAAAACGTTTACCCTATCCTTTGCGTTGGCTTCAGACCAGCCCCGAAGCTCCAAAGCCTTCAACTCAATGGATCCGATGGACGGGCGTGACGCGAACGTCTCCACAGCAACATGAGCACAGACGACTTGATGTGACAGAGTTGTGACAGTGAGCAATGTAAACTGTGAGACGATTGTGGCTTTTCATGTGACAAAGGAGAGAAAAACTCAATAACCTTCGAATAAGATCGAATAAGCGGATTCGCAAGACGTTTCAGCCTTGCTCTGCGGAGGTCTGTCACAGAGGGTTTCACCTGGCCGGCCGACATTGCTAGTTAGTAAAATTATCCCACGTCAGTTCCGTGTAAGTCTTTGGTGTCAGCAGACAGACTTCGTCAGAAGGGCCGGATGACGATTCACCTGCTAAGGCTGCTTCTAAGCCAACACGCCGAGCTGCTGGTGTTTGCCGTATTTTGCCGTGCAGATACAAGCTAAGGAAAGAGTCAACGGTACAAGGCTTCCATGACGCATTCAGCGAGTTCACCGAAGCCCTAGCATCAGAAGACTCTTGACTGATGTGCAAGAGCCTAGCATCCACCATGTTAACCTAGGGTCTTCTGAAGGAACGAACTTCTAAGTTGTTATGCGAAAAAGAAAGGGTTTATAGTGAATATTATGTATGTGATTCTTATATGTATATATATATATGTATGTATGTATGTATGTATGCTGCAGGATCTTGGTTGTCGGGGGGCCAAAAATGCGCGCGGGACCCCTCTTCGCGCCGCGTAGCTTCAGGAAGTTCCTTCTTTTGGGCAGACTCAGGAGGGTGCGAGCCTCACGCAGTTGAGACAGACCCACATGGATGCCAAGCAAGCTTTGGAAGAGAGTCTTCCCGGCATTCAGCGTTTGGTGTGCTCCAGAATGTTCAGTACCAAAGTTGAAGGTAGGTGCGCAACCCTGAACTCTGAAGGATATCAGCTTGGAATGTGGACGGGGCCATGTACCGCCTCGGCTCTGCCAAGCTGGAGACTGCCGTCCCAAAACACCGTTTGCTTGGCACATGGGTTTGCAACGTTCTACCATTGCCGGCTTGCTCTTGTGTCTTCCGTGTGTCAGTGATCGGTCGATCTGCCTATCTGTGGCTTTGTCGGTTTTATGGTATCTACCTGATGAATCTGTCCATCCGTCTGGTTATCTATCTGTCTATTCATCTATCGATCGGCCATTGCCTACCTATGAAAGATCCATCCAAGCATCTGTCTGTGCTTCTGTATGTCTATGTATCAATCAATCAACCACCCTACCTACCACCTGCTTATCTATCTACCTGTATCTGCTTTTGCACGAATGCGCATGAGGGTTTCTTCCATCTTGCATTTCAGAAACGACGACATCTGCGCACTTCAGACGTTTCAGGAGCAAGTCGAGCAGGCCCTGCTTTCCATGCGCAAGCAGCTGAGAAACGCGGCTTGACTGCAAAAACACACATGGCGCAAAAGCCACATGGCCAGAACAATACAATCAGTCAGCTGCCCACATTGCCCACTTGATCAAGTCACCCTTTGCAGTGCACTGCGACAACAAGCGTTGCGAGATCGCGGGTGGTGTATTGCTGGTGCGTTACACTTGAAGCGCTGATTTGCACAACCACACGCCGCCCTGCTTTTCAGCATGAAGGCCCGTGCGCGGCAAGCTGGAAGGGAAGCATCGCCCAACGCCACCGTGCGGACACTTGCTTTGCAAAACTCGCTTTGCAATTGTACCTGGTACCTCTTTGCTTTAGCCACCTTGCCCATAGTGCCACCACAGTGTCCACGCTCTCAGGTCCAAGTGGCTCCAGGAGGGAGCTGCACTTCACCGTGACACTACAGCCATTGCCAGATCGCTGCTGGGCTGGAAGGCCGGGGAGTCCAGCAGACTCCACGCGCTGTCCTCAACAAGCCCTCGACAGGCGAACCTGCCCGAAGAGCCTGCTCTCATCGACTTGGAGATGAAGAGGCTGCTCAAGGCTGCGCAGACCTCGTGCTTGGGCGCTGAGATTCCTTGTCGGCCTGCACCATGATGTAGGGTTCTGTTTAATGCGAGATATTGGAGAGTGCGCATATACATACATATATATATATATACTATTATAAACCGTGGGTTAAAGAGTTATCTACTCAAATTCATGGACCCCAAGTGCCCTATCCTTCCTGGCCTCGCAAAAGGGACCCCTTCGCGGTAAAGCTGTGCTTTTTCGCGCTTAGGATCCAAAGCCACCACAACTCTGCTGAACACATGAATCGCCACATCGCCCTCCTCAGAAGCGAGTCTGAGGCTGGAGAAGTCGGAAAACAATATGTAGGGTTGAGACATGTTGAGGGTTTAGTTAGGTGTTAGCGTTAAGGAAGCCATTTCCTGCAAGAAGGCCGTCAAGCTTGAGCAGTTCCACGTGGAATCCCAGGTTGTGGAGTTCGACAAGACCCTTGCTTGTGCCCAGAGTCATGTGTATCTGTATGCTCAAGGCCACTCTGACATCCCTTCCCCCATGCAGCCCAAAAGGGTGGCTGTAGCAAATTTGTTGTACGTACTTGTTGCATCCTTTAGAGGCAGGACCGATTGCCTCAACGAGTTTCATCGCACTTACAAGTCGTATTGCCGGCCATGTCGATTTCCGACAATGCTGGGACGCCAGCAGTTGAGTGCACAGAGCAGTGATGAGTAAAAGCCCCCGCGAAGGCCTGTCTTAAGATGCCTGCACTGCCTCGGACTTTAGGGTGAGGCTGGACAGCAAAATCGGGCATCACAAGAGCGTGGCCTTTCCAGGAGGCCTCCTGAAAGTGGACATTCGTCGCTGATCACGCAACCAAATGTGACGCCTGCAATGTAAGACGGGCCAATAACTTGTAGGAAGCCACCCTTGTGTTGTTGGAGGTTTCAAAGCGGTATAGATGCTGTTTTCCGAAAATTCCTGCTGCCGGCACTACCGCTTGCCCAGGATTCTCCTGAAGATCCGTCAGGCCGCAGAGGAGTATTTGGAAGCAGCGAAGGAGTTTCCTGGCAAAGATGCATGCGGACTCTGCAGTCTCATCTCCGTAAGTGTTGGGGTACCACGGGGTACCCTCACCCTTACTGGGGCGCGTGACAGGTTCCTATGACTTGGGGGTCGTAATTTTCGGACCAGATAACACCGCATGTGTATTGTATTTCTTTTGGGCTGTTTTCGTGTGAAGAGCGGTGGGGCACGTGTGCGCACGCGCAGGCACGCCCGCACGTACGCCCTCGCCGCACGTCACCGCGCCCGCACGCACGCTTTGTGTTTGCATTTGTGTTTGTGTTGGTGCTTGTGCCAACGAACACGCCTGACTGTGCTTGTGAAATCGATGCCGGTGCCCATCGACGTACCTGCTAAGGCTGCTAAGGCCAGTTTGCAACGATCTTGGTGGCATCGCATCCAGCTTCATGTGCCCAGACGGGCCTTCCGAGCTCAACCTCGAAGGGGCTTGAAGGGCCCTGCCCGTGAGTGCACGGTGGTGTGTCTACGATGGAGGGTGTGCACAGTGTCGTGGTGGATGTCCTGTCGAGATGTGAGCATGTGTACGTGGTGTCTACGATGTCTTGGTGAGGGTGCTGTCGTGATGTGAGTTTGTGCGTACGCTGGAGTGTGTGCACGGTGGGTCGTGGTGAGTGTGTGTGTGTGTACTGTACGGTGGGTACGTTGGCACGTGCGCAGGCGGACTGTATAGCGGGCGGGCGGACGCCCGCGAGCGCGGGTGGGAGGGCAGCGCAAAACAACAAGAACCCCACATTTCGAAAAGGGGTTGCTGGGAGTCCCCTTGTGTGAAAACTGACTCAGATATTGCTAGGGGTTGTTAAGGTCTGCTAAGCTGCCAGAGCACGAACAATGCCTTACAAAATTTGCTCCAGTCATCTCCTTTTTGCACTCACAACGTCTGCACCACACTGCATGATTATCATGATTATCATGATTGTCCATGCCTTGAGGCAAGTGGGCCATGTGAGCACTGCGACGGAGCTCACTGAAGGCTATTTGTCCCAGTGCAGCGCCGCCCCTTGGAGCAACAGGGCTCCTAGTCAGGTCTGGGCACTGGGCAGAATGCATGTATAGTGCTTATAGTGCTTATAATGCACATGTTTATACGGTCTTGCTTGTTGAATAATGTTGAATATGATGTGTGTGAAGTGCAGTAACCTGACTATGGATCAGACCTTGTAGATGAAAAAACCTGAATAATTAGCAATATCAACAGCGAGAGAGAGAGAGAGAGAGAGAAAGAGAGAAAGAAAGAAAGAAAGAAAGAACGAGAGAGAGAGAGAGAGAGAGTAAAGACATTGACTGCCAAAACCCTCTGATGAACGTTTCTTGGTCTTTGGCTTTCCGGATTACATGAGCAAAGGAAACAATAAAAGAATTCCTGCAGTTTAAGGGGTGGACGTTGGGACTCTCCAAGTGCGTCTCAGGACTTCTTGGAGGTGCAGGTAGCGGCGAAACGTGCCATGCAATCGGGCCATCGAGCAGCGAAAGCGGCACGCAGAGCGCTGACTCTCGACTGCAAGGGTCGCTTGTTCCCCGACGGCTGTGGCAGCAGCCGCCTCCTCATTCAATGGCAGGACCTATCAAGACGTGTTGGGCGCTTTGCTTCGTGATAAGCCAAGGAAGGAGGTTACTCAGCAGGTTGGGCTCCTGGCAGACATAATGGTCGACGGTGGTCTGGCCGCTTGGCAGTTTTCAGGCGGGCTCGCTTGAGCGAAGCTGGATGTCGGTGGTGGTGGGGCCACGTATGGTCACACATACTTTGCTCGCGGCTGCTTCTGGACGAGCTGTATAGATAATTGTTCTTTATTCCCTGGCTTCTGCCCGTGCTGCCTTAGCCTGAGCGTCAGGCTGTAAAGGAATGACATCGGTTCGCACCTGTTGGATGCTTTATTAGTGCAAGTCGGATGCTTGTTCACAATGTTTCCGGGCTCCTCCCTCTCCTATATAGCTGTATCGACCCTAAATCCCTGAATCAGGCGAGCCGGCTGCAACCTCACAAGTGCATGAGTTTTCGTGACTCATACCTATCTGAGAGCTACCGGTCTCTGGTATCCTATCGGCAAGCACAGGGACAAGTATGCTGTTGCTGGCGTAGGAGCCATGGTCTTTCCCAAGCTTAGGCGATGGACGTCATTCATAGTTCCAGGATGATGAAAAATCACCAGTTTGAATAACAGGGAGGAAACCTACACTTTTAGGGGGCTTACCCACCCTTCTCTGGTTTGGACCACGACCAAGCAAGGAGGAGCTAGTCAACACGGTTCCCTGTAGATTGCTACGGGCAATTTCAAGCTTCTCATAACTTCTCATAAGACGGATGAAGGTGTTACAGGACCTTTCACATACGGGAAGGGCTCCTATTTTATTGACCATGCCACCACTTCGAACAGAACCTTGAGGTGTGGCAGAAGGGGGAAACATCCCCGTAAGCCTTCAGACTCCCTCTACTACGACTACGATCCTTTACCACGCCGCCTAGAAGACCTGTTCTCAAAGTCGCATGTGGACCAACCACTCTGGACGTAGAACATGTGGCCCTCATCCGGCACACTGTCTGCACGGTCTTGAAAAAGATCCCTAAACCCTACACCGAATCTCCCTGAAGAAGTTTCGTTGCCCTTTTTTTGCGAGTTTGAGCTGGTGTCCCTCTTCAGGTCCGCTATGCACTGCAAGCAGCAGCAACAGCAGCAGCTGAGTCCAATGCAGACAAGCCGCATCCGGGGGACGAGTCCACGACGGAGAGCTTTGATGGAGTGCCTGGTTCGAGAAGCATCGAAACATGTAGAGGACCGCAGCCTCGTTGGAAGAAGCCCACCCCCAACTAAATCTGCAATTGGCATACATTCAACTGAGGTGCCGGATGTCCCTGTGCAGCGGGGGTATGAATCGAAGATCGTTCTCCAGCAGTTCCAGGCTACGATCTCTCGGACGGCACAGAAGCGCGCGAGAGGGCAGGTGGGCAGTTTCCCAAAATATGCGACTAAAACGTAAACTGCACAGACCCCCTTTTATGCACCACTATGTTTGGAAACAGGTATCTACACTGCTCCAGATGCCCGAGCTGTTCCACGTCCTACACCTGAGCATGTTGACCCAGCTGGCAGAGTGGATGCCACCAGTGCTGCCAAAAGCTCAGGCTGCCTCATTGAGGGTTCGTAGGAAGTTCTTAGGATTGCGAGGGTTTTCAGATGTTTTCAGGGTGTTTGGTTCGTACCTCGGGGATGTTTCGGGCTTTAGTTCGAGAGGGATTCGGAAACATGCTGACTCAGCTTTGCCCACTTCATTCGTTTACCTTCTGGATGAGGCGGCCTTCAAACTGGCGCTTCACCTGCATCATCGCCACGACATGCATGGCTTGGCGCGCAGTGGTGGCCAGGATGCACGGCTCATGCAGTCAGCCTGGCAGCGTCTCAATGCTGAACTTCAAGCGCCTTGCTCGACGTCCGTGGAACCGCTTGTCTTTTTTCAACCCCATGCCCTATAGACCCCAGCCTGAACCTGCACAGATTTTGGCTCGGCTGACCAGTGTTTTTGTGAGGAGATGGCTGGAGAAAGCCGCGTGCTTCATACTGCGCTGGGCGCATTGTTTGCCCAGCAGATGAATGAAGTGCTGACGTTAGCAGCACCAGCACCCGAAAACTGCACTCGGATTGGCCAGGACCCGGGGAAGTTGGAAGAATAGAGAAATGTTGAGGTGTTTCGCTCAAACCGTACTTTGTATTGGGGGAGCGGTATGTCCGTTAAGACAAGGGCAAGGTGCACAGCTCGAAATGTAGGATTGGGACGCACATTCCATGGGTAGCTCCCTAAATTCGGGTCCTTTTTGGGTTTTCTGTTCAATAAGGAACCCTTATGATACCCTCACAAGGAACCTTCGGCCGCATGTCCTGTTCGGAGGAGGGCTGGATGCTGTGGGCTGCCACGCCTTCGGACCCGACAGTTTCTCTGCTTAAGGTTCCTCTTGGCTTCTACGATATGATGTTGTGATATGAAATTCTCTACATACCATTAGATTACAGTTGATTTTGTTTCAGGAGCAAGAGCCTTTCCACCTTCCAACTGAAATGTGACTTGAAGAACAGTGACGCAAGGGATTGGGAGTCTCTAGAGTGAGGACTGTGGTCTTTTGGGTTTACGGTTTAGGGCTTGGAGGGACGAGCCTCCTGAAAATGCTTGCTGCGGTTCTGTTTAAGTAAGGACGGGGTCACAAAGGGACCCTCATTTAGAACCCCCTATATACATGGAGCGGGAGGCATAGCAAGGCTCAACCTTCACGAGATCCAGACTTTTTCTCAGGACACTACTTCAGCTATCATACCAATGAAAACACATCATTTACTATAAACCAATATTATGCATGCTAACTTAATGCTTGGTGACCGATAGTGAGAAGCTGTGGAAATCCTTCTTGTAATCTTCTTGTTTGCACGACGCCGCACATGGGAAGCTGCTCAGTCTCGACGTGAAGTGCTGGTAGGAAGAAAAAGATGCCGGTAGTTGGTGCCCAACTTCCTATGTTCCCGGAACGCAGAATGAGGCCTTCATCATTGTCAAGGGTGCAGCCAAGCTTGTTCAGCATGCTCGAGGCCATCAGCATTGCAGTGAAGCCCGAAATTGCTGCTTTGTGCGCCATGTCATGCTCCTGTCTCTCCTCGCCTTTCATGACAGGAGGTCCACAAACTCATGGAAGCTCATAAACCCTTGCAGTACTGGCAGGGACCCAAATAACTCTGCTTTGGCGCGAGCAGCTATAGGCCACACACAAAGATGGCAGCTGTCCATTTTTCAGTGTTACCTGCACAACCGGCCGAATGACCCTAAACAATACGGCAAAGGAATCAAGTCCTATTTGGGGGTGGGGGGGGGGGGGGGCAACAAGGCCCACAAGAGTGCCCCTCATTGAGCACCCCAAGTGTGTGAGGACGTCATCACCGGAGGTTGGACCTTGCCGCCCTCGCGAAGAGCGCGGATGCAGGCAGGATAGTTTCGAGGTGTCTGCTGTCGCAGATCATGTCTTAATGCGTGACACATTTTGTGGTCACTCGTGGCTGGTTTCGTGCTTTTGCTGGTGAATATCGACTTTGTGAAATGCAGCGGCGCCGGCTTGGCTGCATACGGCTCTGGGGTTGTATGACCTAAGGAGTCGGTAGCTAGTTGCAGCTGATGAAGTGAGTTTCCGTAGTGGCGCTTAGATTTGGCAGGGGAGGTATGATATGCGGCTTCGTGGTTTGACAGTGAGTTTATATGACAACGGTAAGCTTATCTGGCTTATCTTACGTCGCGCAGCGTCTTCTTGCAGAACCAGGTTTCATGCTAGTGTGTATGCAATGGCTGCCCACCAGCGTTTACATGCAGTTTGACGCCTTCCGTCAGGGAACTTTGAGGCTTTGGTTTGCAACTCGCAGATTGGATCCGCCACAGCCTCAGCAGCCACCGCGGTCTTGGCACTCTGCCTGAGGACTTAGGGTTGAGGGCTTTTGGCGGTGTTTAGGGTTTTCACAATGAACATGGGACAGCAGATTGCGGGACATTGGCTACCATTGCTGCTCGCATAGCGCTTTGTAAGTCTTGCTAAGCTGCTACACAAGCACTCCATTGTTGGGAAGTAGTTACAGGCATGCTGTCGAGAAGCGGTTTGATCGCAATTTGATTTTCCGAGGCGCGCGCGCTGCACACTGGTGAGTTTGCAACCTGGCAGACACCAAGCTTGCAGCAGACAGTGAGACAGTGCAAGCTGAGCTCTGGCATTTCGCTATTGCTCCTCCACATTCCCCAATCTCCCTTTCCCATCACTTCCCACGCTGTTGAGTCCTTTCACAGGTGGCCTGCTTTTCGAACGAGACGCATGAGCTTCTTGGCAGAATCCTACATTCACGGGACACTTTGATACTGCGCGGCTGTCACCACACGCGGAAATAGGTGGTAGGGGCATGACGAACCATACAAATCTCTGCAAGCAAAATACTCGTAACAGCTTTGCAAGGTCCGGCTGCCACCTGGTGCTTGACCTCCCGGTGGTGTCACCCATGGCTGAAACTTGAACAGCCTTGTAGGCATGTGGTCCAGCATGAACGCCAGCCCTCGCAAGAGTCTCATGGGCAGAGGACAGAAAAGTGCTGTACGACTTAGGGATGAGGTCGTGCCAGGCTGCGGCAAGTCAGCTCCGCCTAGCACACTCGCAACATTAACTCAGCCCGTCAGACACTGCATCTTAGCATGTCCTCAGCGGTCGAGCGTCCCCCCTACCAACTGTCGCGTGTATAGTACAAGTGCAGATTGATGCAAATTGCATTGCAGGCGCGTCACTTGAGGCACCTTGAAGGAAGTTGCTTCTGCGGACTGACTTCCGGAGCACTGCTTGTGTTTTTTGTTTTTGCGTTTGGAGGGTCAAGTTCTCTTTGCTGCATGGGCTTTCGGCATGTTTTTTCGGATTTGTTCACGTTTTTGTTGCTCTTGAGACGTGGTACTGTTTAGTGCGTTCGAGCCCAGGAGTACTACACTTTTTGGCTCTTTCGTCTTGATTGTTAATGGATGACTTACTCCATTCGTTTTTTTGCGGATTTTTGGGTAGCCTCGTTTTTTCGTTTCCTGGCGGTTCGGTTCTTTTCGTTTCGTCATGTGAACCGGCATAACCTTACAGTCCAAACAGCTGAGTGACTCACACTCTCGTTGGGTGGCAAGCCCAAAACCCTCAACAATACGTTGGTGCATAGGCTGAGCACTCGTTTTCGGCCTGTATGCCCAGCTCCTGAAGATGGCTTGTCGATTGATCGTCCCCGAAAGCTTGCCGGAGGGCTTTGACAGCCCAAGCATGTTGGATAGCCCGACAGGTGTCGGATGGCAAGCCCAAAACGCCCAGGCCCCGAAAACCACATCCTGAAGATTTGCCGTCCAGCTTGCACCTTGCCTTTCTTGATGAGAGTTCCGACGCAGCCCTGAGCCGTCCAAATTCACCTAAAGAAATCCCTAAACCCGAAACCCTAAAGCCTCTAACCCAAAACGTCACGGCCTCCCGGGGGTTTGCTTCCGGCCTCGTGTAAAAATTCCTAAGCTGCAAGCTTCTGGGTCTTAAAACTGCTCTCGGCAGTCCGTGTCCAGCCTGCAACCGGGCATTTGCCTTCCCATGGGCTTCGAAGGCTCCAGGCTAGGTTTCAGCGTCTCAAAACTTGCTCTCGGCAGTCGGTGTTTGCCGGATTTTGCTTCTGCCTCATAGGGGCCCTTCAGGGGTTCAAACGTGCCTTCAGCTGTAAGGTTCTCATGAAAACAGCCGCAGCCTTTCTCATGGGCTTCGCAGGCGGCTATGTTTCGGGGGCTCAACACTTGCTCTCAGCAGTCCGCGAGCTTTTAACCCCGAAACCCTGCAGGTTGAGAGTGTGTCTTGTCCTTCTTCTGGTAGCACATCGGTTTGGCTTGGGCATACCTCATCCACTCCCAAGCACCAGATATAGGTGGGCCCGCCAATCGTGCACAGTAGAATCTGGTATCTGGAACCCGTGCGATATTGCCGGAGTGTGTGTACCAGCATGCTGTTGTACGTTTCAACCAAGTGTGCTGTGTGTTACTTTGCAAATAAAGCATCCCTTTGCATTGTGGTACCTATTGATGAAAGAACAGTGGGACAGGGGTGAGCGGGCTTTTGCTGGAAGGCAAACCCACAATAACACATGGAGGGACAATGCTGCAACATGTGGCTGCTTCGGGGCGGTAGTTTCGAGCCTTTCAAGTGGGGCCTCGTGCCACCATCCTAACCGCTCCCTGCCTGCAAGCAGCATAGACAAGTCGTGGTAGGGTCAAGTGTGTTCCGAAAGTGCATTTGCTCCCACCACCTCGTGGCAGGTTGTCTTGTCTGACATTCCAAAGTACGTGATCGCAACCATGCGTGTCGCGGTCTGCGATGTTATTTTGTTAGTCTCTCGACTTCCAATGGCCAGACTTGAGTGCTGAATGAGTCATACATGGAGCCCCCTAGCTTGATGGCTGAATGGACATAATCCCTCAGTCCACGCCTTGAAGACGGTAAAGAAACAACCAGAGAAGTCTTTGATCCCAAATCCTCAAGCCTGAGCTTGCTTAAGCCCAGCATCCTCTACCACGAACCTTGCAACCTCAAACTACGTGGACTGGCGTGCCGTTTGTCAAAACTAACAAATCTGAAGTCCTTAGGCGTTGAACTTGCTGGGGGGTCTTGGCGCTCGCCGGGAGATGCGCGCAGCCGAACAGGCACCTGCCCTAATAAGGGTTTAGGGTTTTTGGGTATTTTGAGCGTTTTTTCTGTGTGTTGGGTTCGGCGGAGCAGGAGGGGGAAGTATAGCTAGCAGCAGTAGCCGCGGCAACCGGGGTTGCCGGGCGGTTCGGGGGGGAACTTGAATAATGCAACCGGCAGTGGGCAAGAGGCAAGAGGGGAGGAGCGAGGTGTGGATGAGGGAAAAAAGTGCGAATGACCTGCGCTGCAAAGGGCGCCCAGACGTGCGACTCTGCCCGGAGAGTGGGGTTTTCCAGATCCGGGCATTCGTCACGAGAATGGTGGTCTGGGAAAGCCTGCTGGAGCCTTGTGCCACGCCTCATCTTCCCCAGACCCCCAGTTCCTGACCCAGGTGGGGAAGTGGGCTGTTGGCCATGTAGTCTGCACGTAAAATCCCAAGATGCAATCGGACATGAAAGGGTGATTGTATGGCACATAGTGCAGACAGCACGCCCCTGCCAGAAAAGAAAAGATATAGAGTGGGGGTTTCCAGACCCAGGTCATCGCGAGCGCGAGAATGGGGGCTCTGGGAAAGCCCTTTAAAGAGCGGCAGAGTGCCCCGCAGCCGGGTTCAGGAATGGGGGGCCAGAACCGGGGACTGCAAAACCATATTTCGTGCCTCATCTCCCCCAGACTCCCACAATTCCTGACCCAGCTGGCCCGGATGCGGAATGTGGTTGTTGCAGGGTGGCATGGCCCATAGAGCCGGCAGCACGCCCCTGCAGAAAAAACCGAAAAAGTTTCCAGACATTTCCAGACCCAAAATAGTGGGGCAGCAAGCCGGAGAGGGAGAGGGAACCGTGAGAGCTGGGGGCAGGAAGCTGAGTCCAGTATGTGATCTGGCACCCGTACTTGCGAGGGAAAGTACCCCAGGGAAAGAGCTGTGGGGACCCAAAACCTAGGTGCGAACGAAAGGGCTGCATCTCGGGTGACTTGTGAGGAGGCATCAGGGTGTCAGCGTCAAGCGAGAGGAGGATTTCAGGGTTCAAGGTTCAAGGGGTCTGGACTGTAAGGCCGTATAAGGCCAACAAGCAAAAGGTGAGTATTGGGCAAGTGCAACAACCGAACCTGTAGGAGGGTTGCGTATGGCATGGGGTCTCTATTCCTTTGTTGCAGTAGAAGGAGGCGAGGGAGCTTGTGGCGACGGAGACAATACAGGATGCGGAGGAGTTCTACCGTCATCGAGCTTCTTGGCCTTTGTGTATTGATTGACTGCTGCTTAATCGCTACGCCACATGAAGTTTGGCTAAACCTTTGAATGCTCGTGAAGCCCAGAATTGATCTGATTGTAGGGGGCGCCCCCACCCCCTTGGCCCCTGCCTCTAATATCAGTCCAAACAAACGAACGAAACAGGATTGGTCATGCTAAACAGATGTCTTGTGTTTTGGGGTCCCTACAAAGCAACAGGCTCTCAGCGAGAGGAGCATGCAGAGGTGGCTGGACGGCGTGCCTGTGCAACTTGAAGCTGAGAGCCTTGCAGATGTGAGCACGAATGTGTCGCTTCCCGTTCAGTGGCAGTCCCAGCTGGAGATCGTGAGCAAACTTGGAGAGGGGTCGTTCGGGAAAGTCTTCAAGTGCAAGGTCTTGTGCGAGTCGCCTGCCAATATTTACGTGTCTGTCAAGCTCATCACGAAGAAGGATCCGAAAGTTCGAAAGGAAATCATGATTTTGAAACAGATGCGGGGCGCGTCAGACTTCTGCGTTTCAGCAGTCGGCTCCCCGTCGTTCATTGATGACAGCGCTGGGTATTGGATCATGTTCCTTGCCGTGACTTATTGGCACGTGTTGCGGTCAGCGATGTCCCTGCTTGCGTGCATTTGCCCAAGGGAGCAAGGGCTAGGAAGCCGGACTATGATCATCAGTTGATACCCGCCGAAACGGTACGTACTGGTAGGAGAATTAGGAGAAAAACGCACAGAACTTTGTCCTTCGGTGCCTCAGGATGCCCTACATGAACGGCGGCGAGCTCTATGACTTGATCAAGCAGTGCCACAAGAGTGACTCTTGCATGAGGAGCGACCCACAAGGACGCAAAGATTGGTCCAAGCTGAACCCGGCATACACCACACCCTACATCTTGGGCCTGTTTCACGACATTGTGTTGGGCGTGGAGGCACTACATAAACATACTGGGATGCACCACATCGACTTGAAGCCAGGGAATGTGATGCTAAACTGTCAAGGCAAGAATTGCTTTGCCGCCGTTATCGACTTAGGCATTGCTTGCGACCCCAGGCGAGAAGGAGACTGCGGACTCATGGGCACTCCATTGTACATGCCACCCGAGGTTTACCGTCAGAATAAAGAAGGCATGCGGCATCCCGCACGGGATGTGTGGGCCCTTGGAGTAATCCTCTACCAGCTGATGTACGTAAGGACTCCGCCCTTCTTCAGAGATCCCTGGACTTGAGGGTAGGCCGAGTTGGCTTTCGGCAATGCCCCTTTTCATGATCCATGTAGTACATGTAGAGCTCCGATCTTGCTTGTCGATGAGAGCTTTTTTGCATGCCACATGCAGTTAATTTAGGATCCTCGAAAGTTGATCGTCAGCTACGATGTCGATACGGATCCGAATATTCCGGGGACCAAGAAAGTGGACACCTTGGTCATGCAGATGCTGCAGCTTGGCTTCATGTGCCTGCACAGATTTTTGAGTCGCCGGTGTCGAAACAGAGCGAGAAGAAAAGTCCACCGAAAGAGTAGCAGGCGCAGAGTCCTTGGTTGCTTTCCCCTTATTCCAAAGCGCCAACGCTGTGAAACGATGTTTCCCCATCTGCCACTGAGTAAGGCAGGCGCCGTTACCTCAGGACCCTGGACAAAAGATTTGATAAGTGATCCATCCAAGCGACCGGACACAATTGCAAACCCGGACGGTGAATTTCAGTTGTGATGCATGTTGCGTTGCAAGTGACCCAGACCCCACAGCCTTAGAAACGAAACCCTAACGGCCCTAAAGCCCTAAACCTGCAATCCCAGCACTTTCATTTTCCTTCAACACAAGCCTTTCAAAATCAAATCCAAGACCTAGGGAGAACGATTTCCAGAGACGCCTAAGCCTCGAAGAGATCAGGGACAAAGTGAAGGCCTGCGCGGGATCAAATTGGTATCCTATAGGCCTATAGGAGCCAGAATCGTGTTTAACAACCCGGTTTGCTCATGACATAGTATACCCATAACCTTGTTCTAATCTTCTGGACCCCTGTGTTGGACTTTTTGAGTTTGGGAGCCTTGGCGCTTCCGGGCCTAGGGCCCTAGAGCCTATGGGTCAAGGTCTTGTCTTGTTTTTTTGTTTGTTTCCGGGATTTCGGTGGTAGGGTTCAGGCGTTTGGGCTTTTGGAAGCTTTTTCATTCTTGAAATTGGGAAGGGAAGCTTCAGGGCTGAAGGTTTGGGGAGTTTTGGGTTATTTGGGTTGGCAAGTTTGAGCTTTGCTTCAAAGCACGTTATGTGATGGTCAGGTTATAGCGTTTTGGAGTTGTTCGGGCTGTAAGGTTTGGTCGGTTGGGTTTCGCTGGTTTGCAGGTTGTACTAGAACAGTCTTGTGTAGGTTGTTGTGATTGGTGAAGGCTTTTGTGTTCACGGATAGGACTGCGGCGGGGAATAGGGTTCCAAATGCTTTGAGGCCATCCCTTAGCCAACAGGTACTGCCTTTCTCATGTAGCCGATCCATGCTGAATGACCGACAGCTGTCAGGACATAGTTGATCGAGACTACCCGATGGACCAGTATGGGACAAGAATGGTCCGGCAAACCCCGACACAGCGCGGCGCCGCAGTCCAAACTCCCACATGTCTCCAGAGACCCACTCAAATGTCGACCACGATGCCATCGATACCGCTCTCTGGCCCAAACTATGTTCCAGAGCGTCGCAGACCACCTGAGCCACTTCCCGAATCACATCCGGTTCCGGTTCTCGAACCTGCACCACGCCCTGGCATGCGGCCGCGGCGCGCTCATCCACCACCCGAGCCAGAATCAAACCGCCTCAGGCCGCATGAGGGTGACCCGTTGCCAGTCCGCCCCAGGCCATATGAAGGGCTTCCACCTCCGCCGCACGAGTCCTTACAACCCAGGCCAGATCCTAGGTACGTGCGCAGGCTTGATGCAGAGCCTCAGCAAGACCCACAAAGGCCGCAGGTCAGACCTTCTGCACGGGAGCAGCTGGCACAGCTAAAGCTCCTTGGCAGGCCAAGCCCACCAGGAGACGTCCCAAAGCGCAGGATGCCTGAGCCGCTGGCTAGACGACTGAAGCAACTGAATGAGATGAGAGATATGAGAGCAGAGTAGATTCATGTAGATACGAATTCTGAAAGCAGACAGCGAGGAATGTGGGAAGCAGTGCTCTTGTTGTTGCAAGGTTGGAGATGGTTTGATGGGATATGACAATCGATCATGCAGAATAGATGAAAGTAGATGAAAATAAGTCATGAGTTGGTTCGATTTTTTTGGGGTTAGATCCTTCCAAGATTTGGTTTACTGACAAAATGAATTGGAGGGTTGGCAGCGCCGCACCTGCCCAAAATAGAGCTGGAGGTGGGAGTCGTTCGCATTTTCGGCCGTGAACGACAACCCTCTTTTGGTTCGTTGGGTGTCGCGACGCTGGCGCGTGGGAGGTGCTCTTGTTTTCGTCCGCAAACGACAACCCTCTGCGTGTTCCCGGCGTGTCGCGACGCTGGCACGCGGGGAGGCGCTCGCACCGTTGTCGAACGATAACCCTACCCACCTCAGCCTCTCTGGCCTGCTTGACCGGCCGGACAAGCCAAATCTGAATTAATTGCTGCAAGCAGGACCTGCAATACAGCAGGCAACGCGAGACCGCCTTTCAAGTTGTGTTGCCGTGAGTTTTCAAGGGACGTTGTGGCGATCGATTCAAGAATGTTTATGGTCGGAAGCTTTGCTCCGTTTTCTCGCAAGTTGCATCCCTGCATCAGGCTTTGCGTGTTTCCAGTCTTCGAGATCGAAGGGTCTGTAAAACATAGGGGGTGGGGGCGGAGCATGCAGCATAAGGCCCTGGAGCAGTGCAAGGTGGGGACAAAAGCAGCACACTTTCAAGTGAGCCTCCCCCCCCCCCCCCCTCCCTACACCCTCGACCATAAATCCCCAGAGCCTGCAGAGTTCTAGAGCCCTGAAACACACATGGGCCATGATGGACTGTAGGGACAGACTGAATCGGTCCATCCCAATTTGCAGCATCAATTTGCAGCATTGGTTTCTGCAATACTTGCAGGGAGAGAACTTGAACATGTGTCAGGTGCATGTGCGACATAGATCAAAAAGTATTAGCGCAAGACCTTTCCAAGAGGCAAAACGCAAGCTAATTTGGCGAGAGACACAAACAACAATGCCACAGCGACAAGCTGTTAATGGATCACAACAACGCTCGTCACAACACTCTTGTGGAGCTGAAACTACTGAATCGCCGTCTCCCGGCTGGTTTTGCTTCAAAATGCACAAGGGGGAGACCGCGGTTTATTCTCGTTGTGTTCCCGTTGTGTTCCGGTTGTGTTACCGTTGTGTTCCCGCTGTGTCTCCTCCTGCCCCTACAACCCTCCCAACCCTAAACAGGACAAGGTCCTCTCGGTTCCGTACGGGGGCTTCTGCCGTTGAAACCAACCGCCCACAAGCGTTGGAATTTTGCATTAGCCAATGTGGTCAAAAAAATTCAAACAATTTCAAAGCGTTTTGGTCTCAGGACAGGTCCGAAGGCATTGACACATTGAAAAGTCACAAATCCAAATGATTCTTTTTTAGAACTTTTGAAAAAGTGCATTTTTCATTTTTTTGAAAAAGTCAACGAAAGAACCTGGGAAACTAAAATAAACGAATCTGCTGAATTTACATTCCAGACACACTGTGAGACGTGAAATTGTTCTTTTTCAAAGGGATCACAAAACACAAAAATCAACTTTTTTCTTGTTCGACGAATATAATCAACGAAACAAGCTGAAACAAGATGAGCCTTACCAACTTTTTGCAACTAATGGTCTAGCTCAAAAATCGGAAATTCAACATCTCCAAAAACACCATGCAAATACACTACGGCCAACGTGAAAAATAAAGTGTTTGTTGCAGAAACCGTTTGAAACTTATTTATTTCTAAATTCTCGTGCCATCTTGTCAGTCAGAATGGAAGTTAAACATATTTTTCAAACAAGAAGAAACGTGACATGTTACGGTCTTTCAGAACAAACAATCAACTTTTTGAAAATATTTTCTTTAACAAGACTCTGACAACAAATTCTGATTGAGACCACTGCAGAGAGCTGAACAACCCAGTAACGCCTGAAAAAGAATGAAAATTCAACCCAAAAACCTTGAAAAGTGCTGAAACCTGCGTTTTTGAAAATGTGAAAAGAGCTCGGGAGAGTGCTTCGCACCAAACAAGGGGGGCTTGAAGGGGGCTTAAGGGGGGGTCCATCGCTGCCGGCAGCCCGCTGGATGCACTGCTCGTCACCGAGAAGACCTCAGGGCAGTTTACCAAGCAATGTACGTCAGCATATCATACGGAACCGCTTATCGGTCCCCTTGCTCAAGTGCAACACCCACCCGGCCATTTTGAAGGGCATTCAGATTATTTTGTCAGCCAAATTAGCTTGAGTCGCATCAACACCACTTCGGCAGAAAACTTAAACATTTTGAACGAAAAGACCACTTTGACAGAAAACCCAAAAACTTAACTTTGAACCAAAGGGTGTCTCAACACCAAAGGGGAGAGTGTCTCAGCACCACTTTGAGTCACCACTTTGATAGAAAACCCAAAAACTTTGACCAAAGAGTGTCTCAATCAACACCAGCAAAAACAAGCTCGACGATGCGGGGATCTGCGCGTAAGTCTTGTACGTCAGCACCTTGTCCATGTGTTGCGCCGCTGCTTCATGGCCTTTTTCCAAGCAAAAGCCTTTTTTTTTGCGGTAAGCTCCTTTCTACGTCAGCAGATCAGTGAGCAGTCTTTGGCATGTGGGTGTGAGAAGAACAAACGTAGGCAAAACAACAAGAACGGGCTCCACGGAGAGAAACAACACACAGAGCCCAGTCAACATTCAAGCGATGGCCTAAGAGAAGCTATGTATGGCAAAGCTGCTCGAAGCGCAAGAGAGCGAACTCAAGCCAGCCACTCTCAGTGCCAGAAGTCGCGAAAGTTGGTTGCCATTGCAAAACTGATCGCAAACATTGTGAGCATCATCCATCGGAAGTGCATCGATCAATGCTTCCGTCCAACAGAGAGCATGCGTGTTACGATCGATCAAGAGGGAAACGCAATCGTGTGCACTTAGTTGCGATTAGATCGCGTATCGACCTTAGAGCCACAAGCCCCGCCCGCTTCCTCCCCGCACCCCGCCCCCGCACCCCCCCCCGCACACCCACCCCCACACACCCCCCGCAAACATCTAAACTGTGGGCCTCTGTATCTTGAAGCAAAAAACCAGCTGGGAGACCACGATTCAGCAGCCTCAAAGCTCTAAACTGCCGACTCCCGGGCCTTGGCCTCTTTATTCAACCATGAAAAAACCTGTCAATTTCTTTTCGTGGTTTCTGTCCCGCACTGTTGTGGCTACACTTGTTTCTTTTTGTTGTGGTTTCACACCTGTCTCATGTTGGCGAAAGCTGAACTCAGGGTGTA